GAGTGCCTGTCTAGCAAGTATGAGGCCCTGAGTTCAAACTCCAATACCAAAAAAAAAAAAAAATGGAGAGAGAGAGCGAATGTTTAAAAATTGTGTTTAAGGCCAGGTGTGCTGGGATTACATGCCTGTGCTACCAGCTACTCAGGAGGCATAAGTACGAAGAGGCAAGACCAGCCTCTGGGAAAATGCAAGACCCTATGTCGAGGGTTCAAGTGGTAGAACACCTGCAGTACTGCCAAAAAATAAAAATAAATAAAAATGACATTTCAGGGGGGCGTGGGGGTTCTTTCTTTTTCTTTCTTCTTCCTTCCCTCCCTCCCTCTCTCTCTTTCCTTCCTTCCCCTCTCTCTCTGTCTCTCTTTCCCTGGCCCCTTCCTCCTCATTCTGCTTCCTGGCCTCCATGAGTTAAGTAGCTCCCTCCATCACGCTGTTCAAGACCAAACCCTCTGAACCATGAGCCAAAATAAATCTTTCACCCTTTAAGTTGTTCCCTTAGATATTTTGCTCACAGCTACACAAAGGTAACGAATAAAGTGCAAATGAAGAGATTAATGTACAAGTGCTGCCGAGGTCGTGAGTACAGTGAGCGTGTCGCACTGCTGGTGTACAGCCACTTTGGAAAGCCGGCTGGCTTCTATGAACTCAAGTGCACATTTAGCGAGTGAGTCATCAGCTCCCTTACGGGACATTTGTCCAAGAGGAGTGAAAACCTACGTCAGCCTAAAAACTCATGCAGATGCTCATAGACGCTTTAATTGTAACAGCCCCAAACAAACAGCCCAAGGGTTTCTCACCTGCTGATGAATAAATAAAATGAATTATGCATGAGAGCAAACCATCAAACGAGAAATAACACAGATGAATCTCAAAAACAAAATGTGGAGTGAAAGAAGGCAAAACTAGTCAGCAGTGACGAAAACAAATTGGCAGGTGGGGGGCACTGAATGTCAGGGGAAACTTCATGGGGTGATGGGAAGCTTCTATAGCTTAATGGTGGCAGTAAATACGGGGGTGTGCACACTGGTGCGCTCGTCCAACTGTACACTCCACACAGACCGACTTTACTGTACAGAAACCACACCTCGATAAAACTGATTAGAACCCTAAACAGGAAAACTAGGAGAGAACACCGCTGAATATCAAACCCTAGAGAGTTAGCCACACTGTCAGGAGAATATAGTCTGCTATGAGCAACAAAATTGAAAACTTCCTTTTCCTTAGTGCATAAGGTTAAAGAAAATCTGAGCTAGGCCAGGTATAGGTCTTCATGTGGGGTGATGAAAAAGTTCTAGAAGCAGTTGGAGGTGATGGCTGCATGACACTGTGTATTCAATCACTGAACTGTATACTTAAAAATGGTTTAAATGGTGCATTTGTATTTTGCCACAATAAAACATATTTGCTAATCTTTCAGAATGTATATATTGACATGGAGAACCCTGGCGTGGTTGGGAGTCAGGATCAGAGCGGGAGGAAGCCCAGGTAAGATGATCAATGCCTCAAGCCTTGGGGAGCACAGACTCATTGCCCCTGATGTTTGAAGCCCTAGGAAACAGACCCTGCTCTGACACCCCGTTACCCCGTGTTGGTGGAGGTCTGTCTGAGGAGGACCCTGAATGGGGGACTCCAAAACTTGGGCCCCACAGATTCTTGTCTTTAGCACAGAAAAGCATTTCAGATCAAGAGGCATGGCAAGTTAAGAGAGTTTTATTCCACAAGCAGTACAGAAAGCAAAGATGCACTGCACAGGTGAGGAGCAGGCCTTAAGAGGAGCACAATTAGCCTCTGATTATCAGGATTTACACACCAGAGAAAAGAACGGTAAGGAGTTTAGCTTAAGCATTCCTTTAGATAATTGCTCCCTTGCTCTGAGCACTGGTTGCACTCAATCATTCTCTCAACAGAGTTTTGACATTGTCAGCTTGGGTTGGTTTCATTAAATCTGGGTTGCTGTGACTCAGACGTCTCATTTTTCATTTGCAAGCATTTCTGCAATCAAAGAAGTCATTTTTCCAACTGTTTCTCTCAAGATAAATGCTTCCGAAGGGCTGGGGGTGTGGCATGGCTCAAGTGGTGGAATGCTTGCCTCGCTGGCAAGAAGCCATGAGTTCAAACCCCAGTATCTCCAAAAAATAATAAATAAAATAAGTGTTTCTGAACGATGATGGCTCAGTTCCCAGGGCATAATAATCATTGGGAAGGTGAGTGGTGTTGCTTTTCTGCTTACAGGTTAGTGGGGGATTTGGGAGGAGTGTAAGACCAAAGAAAAAAAGGAAAAGAATGCCTGTGAGTTCTTAATCAAGTTGAGTATTAATAGAGGGTTTTAATACAGGGTTTATTTCTGCATTCCTGGCTTCTGATTCCCACGCCTCGCTGTCCCTAATCCATCCTGCCTCAATCCCACCAGACTCCCTGGCGTGAGCAAAGAGGAGGGGGGCCAGGCAGGCAAAATCACCTTGCCCAGGCTACTCTAGACCATGGTCTTCTGCTAAGGCCTGTCCTTTTTGGCTCTGCACTTGCCTGCTAGCCCAACCGCATCCCCTAGGTCAGGGGTTCTCACCCTTAGCCTGCTCCAGTGTGGGGCCAGGTAACTCTCTGTCCCATGAACCACAGGACATTTAGCACATTCTTGACCTCTACCTACTAGAGGTCAATAACATCAATCCAGTGTGACAACCAAAAATGTCTCCAGACATGGCCAAATATCCCCATGGGAGTTGATGCACCCTGGTGAGAATGGCTGCTCTAAGCTAATAGGGTTGGTCTCACCCTTTGGGAAATCTGTGATTCCCTCAATAAAACAAAGTAGATCCCCCTACTTCCTATGGAGTCTCCCAGGGTCAGGGTCCCAAACAGCCTCTTCTTGCCCAGCATGGAGGAGCTGGCCCATCCATAATGGGAAGAGAGAGGGCTTTCTTAGCCAGTCACCTGCTGACCTCGGAAAAATCTCTTTGACTGGCTAGCTCCCCAGGGCAAGTTTCTTCAGCCGTTGATGGAGCAGGATCTGGAAACACTGGGCAGCCCCCATCCCTCTTGGAGAGGCTGAGGACGCCGGCCTCTCCAGCTAGTAGAGACCAGGTAGCTGTGGGGTTCTGGCTCCCCCATTTGTGACTGAAGGCCTAGGATGGATGGAGAAGTCATTCCTTCATCTGTCCTTGCCTCCACGTGTTTGTGGAGGACCAGGGCCACCGCCTCCCCTCTGAAGGACTCAGTTTGATCATTAGTTAAATGGAGCCCATATTGCCTACACATGGCAGTGAAAACGGAACCATGCCTCCTGCCCACCCCACCCTCCAGTTCCACAGCCACACCTGCTCCCTGACCTTCTCCCACTCTCCTCCCAGGAAGCCACCTCTGCCAAGCAAAGGAAGGGCCCTGAATGGTCGTGAAACTTGCAAACAACATTTCCTGACTCAGACTTGATAAGACAGTCACCACTCCTTTGTCTCCTAGTCCCGGTGTTCTTTCCTGATGGTTTTCCCTGTTTGCTGAGGACTTAGCAGGCTGGCAGTTCTGCTACATGGCTCCCTTTCTCCCTCCCCTCCCCCAGTGTCGCAGCATCCATGAAGCTACCCACCACTGGACACCCCTCTTAGGGCCCCTGGGCAGGCTCGCTCCATGGCACTGACAGGTGACCTTAAGCTGTGCTGTACTGTTCATGAGCCAGAGAGAGGAAAGGGGGTGAGATGCTGGCTGGAGAGCAGGGATGCCAAGCAGGGAAGTGGGCACCCCTTGTTTGGCATCTCCATGGTGCAGAAGCAATGGGTGAGGCTCAAGGTTAGACACACTGAGCTGGGGTCTGGCCTGGGCCACTGGCACCCCCTGTGACTCAGGCAGTGATAAACCTCGTCACACCTCATTGTCTTTGGCTGTAAAATGGCCCCTGTAGCGATGTCAGGCTCAAGGCAGCTTTCAGTGTCGAGGCAATGCATCAAGAGCCCTGGCCAAGGAAGTGCTCCATCCGTGGGCGCTACTGTAAGTAGTCCTTGAAGCGGGGCAGAGGGGAGCAGCCCTTTGAAGTGGACAATCTACAAAGACCTTAGGCAACTCCACCCAAGCAAGGCAGAGTGGGCGGCTTGTGCTGCAAGTTCCCCAGGCTGGCCACCTGCTCCAGGCAGTTCCTGTCCACTTTTTCCCTCCCATATGCCCAGACCTCTGCACAACTCAGGTGCTCACAACAAACGCTGGTCCCTTGGCTCTGGACCCGTGCTTTGCCCGGATTGGTTGACATCATGAAGTGTGACCACATTCCTCCTCTTCCAGCTCTGAGACCTTCCTGTGTCCTGGCAAGAGTTCCCAGGGAGAGCTCACGGGCGGCCCCCAGGCTTGCAGAGCATGGCCTGGGCTGTGGGGCTCATTTGTCCAGGGGCTGTGGACAGGAACGCAAATAGTATCCCAGGACACCCTGGACAGAGAGTTCCGGGGTTCTGCAAGAACCCCTGCCAAGGGCAAAGCCCTCGAGGTCCCACAGGTGGTGGATGTTGCTGAGTGGCAGCTGGGTATAAACGGGCAGGCTGTGGGGCTCAGACCACACAGTGCAGGTAAGGGAGGGCAGACTCACCACGGTACTGGGGGAGAGGCTGAGGGCAAGAGGGGGCATGGGTGACCCACCTGGAGCTGAATCAGGGAGTGGAGATGAGGAGGGTCTTCACACAGGTCTCTTTCAGGAGCACTGGGGACCCAGTGTAGAAGGACAATGTAGGGCCCTTGATCAAACCTAGGAAGAACTTCAGGATGGTGACACTGGAGTTCTGTAGAACGCCCGGGGTCCTCCTGAAGCCGTTGTGCAGGTCACATGCACGCATGTACACCCAAGAAACCAGCCTTGGGCTCTTCTCCTTAAGCCCTTAAAGTGTGTGGGAAAGGAAGTTTCCAGAATTCACCCTTACCCCTCCTCTAAACCCCTCACATCTGATATCTTCTTCCCAGGGCCTCCTTGAAGTCTTGCCACCACCAGAGGCTCCTGACCACAAGGCCCACACTTTGGTGCTGCTCCCACCATGCTGCTGTTTCTAGCCGTGGCCGTCCTCACCAGTACCCCCTGCAGAGCCCAGGGTGAGCTCCAGCCCCGCTCCAGTGTGCAGTCCTGGCCTCCTGTGGTTGGGTCCTATGCGTGACTGCTAAATAGGAAGTTGCACCAGTGTCTGAGGACACTGCAGGCCAAGTGCTGCCCACTGCCTCACCTTTCTGTTCCCCTTTCCCCAGAGGTGAATGGGCCAGGCGGTGGCTCCTACTTCTACATCAAAGGTGAAGAGCAGGGGGAGATCCAGGGCATCCGGGTCTTCGTGGGGGTCCTGGGCCTCATCAAAGGGTGAGTAGGGCTCTGGCTCCTGGGCTTCTCCCAACACCCACTGTCCTCACATCCCTGACTGTCCAACACTCCCTCAATCTCAGCTTCCCTGGTCCATGCCAGGCTGAAATGTCCTGAGTGTGCCTGTGGAAAGGGTCACTGAGACTCCGAAGGGTCCCTTTTCCAGGGTGGTTCTGAGGCTCTGGAAGTCAGTGACAGAAACCGTTCAATGAGCTGAAAATAACTCCTTGTCTTCATGAGATTTAAAATGGCTCAAGCGGCAGAGCAAGCACAAGGCCCTGAGTTCAAACCCCAGTCCTCCCCCACACTGTCTTTCGAACTGGGGGAGATCTTGACTCATTCCTCCACTGTCTGCCTCTTGGGATCTGTCTTTCTTGAAAAGTGCCCTGAGTGTGTTGGGTTAGGGTTGCAAACTCTAGCAAATAAAATACAAGTCACCCAGTTCATCTGAATTTCAGATGAACAATGACTAATCTTTTACTTTAAGTGTGTACTGTGCAGTATTTGGAATACGCTTATCTTTTAAGAAAAAAATCAGTATTTGTGACATAGTTACATTTTAAAATGCAATGTTCGGGATATACTTACCCTAAAAAAAGTTCATTGTTTATCTGAAATCAAATCGACGGAGATGCCTTGCGTTTCACCTGGCAGCAGCCCTACTTGGAATGTGTCTTAGCACGCGGGAGCAGGAACAAGCTAGGGTTGGGAACAGGAAAACCTGGGGGTCACCTCTCTTCACTGTAGGACCCTGCTTGGTGGAACATGGCCATTCCACGTGACGACACTGGGCAAAGCAGAGCTTGACTTTGCTGGTTGCTGGCCCTGAGAGTGACCTGGGCCAAGGTCCACCTGGACCGCAGGGGGTCTCACTGTGGCTGTCGCGCAGGCTCTTTGTGGGTGGATGGGGGAGGGGGCGCCATAGAGGGGAAACCGTGAGCTGGGGAAGACCTTGCAAAGGACTCGGCTTCCGGAAGGGACGGCCGTGGGAGAGCCACACGGACACGCAATGGACACGGGCACGAGCCCGCAGCTGACTCGGCCTCTCCCCAGCATCCAGCTGCGGTTCGGCTCGCACTGGAGCCCGCGCTACGGCGCGCCCGGCGGCCGCGCGGAGGAGTTCCTGCTGCAGGAGGGCGAGCGCGTGACCGCGGTGCACGGCAGCGCGCGCGCCTGCGTGTGGCACCTGCGCTGGATCACCAGCAGGGGGCGCGAGGCCGCCTTCGGGCACCCGGCGGGCCTGGCGTTCAGCGGCCACGCTCCGACCCGCGCCAGCAGCTCCTGACGGTCAACGGCCAGCACCAGCTCTTCTGCCTCTCGGCGATCGGCTTCAAGTGGGGGTCCGCCCCAGCGAGGAAGTCCACCCCGGCGCCCATCCCGGCGCCCACCCCGGCGTCCACCCCGGCGCCCATCCCGGCGCCCACCCCGGCGTCCACCCCGGCGCCCATCCCGCCGTCCATCCAGGAGCCCATCCCGCCGTCCATCCCGCCGTCCATCCCGCCGTCCATCCCGCCGTCCGCCCCGGCGCCCGCTGTAGTGCCGACGACCCGCCCACGGCCTGTCCAGGGCTGGGTTGGTGCAGCGCCGGCTGCGAGCTCCGGAGCGGGTCCAGCGTCCTCGCCCAGCGCGCCCTCCTGGCTGCAAAGTGCGCTCGCCTTGCAGGGCTGGTAGGCCAAGAGCCGCCCTGAGTCCCCGTGCCGAATAAAGTCTCTGCACCCATGTGAGCCCGCGTGGTCCTTGTCACCGAGGAGGATGGATTCGGGGCTCTCCCTTGCTCTCTCTCCCACCCACTCACACACCCGGTTTTGGGTCTGGGCCTCTTCCCTCCTCCTCTCCATCCTTGCTCACAGGCATGGGCTGCCTTGAGGGAGCAGGGCTGTCCCGTTCCTGACCATCCTTGGTGCCACACCAGGAGGCACAGGAAGACAGGGTGCCTCGTCCCCCCGCAGCTGTCAGCCCAAGAAAGGTCGAGTCTCCCATCTTCCCTTTTAGCAAGCCAGGCGCAGCACATAAATGAAGCAACTGCCCAGGATGGTGGAGCAGCTGCCAAGGTCAGATGGGAGGCCCCCAGCCAACCCCACCGGCTTTCCTTCCCCCTCACAGGAAAAAAAAGAAAGCTTTCTCCCCCAGAAAGAATGGCAATACACTTACCAAAATATTTTCTTAAGCGGGTCCTGTAGATCCTGGGCTTTGATTATTAACTCCTTCAAAAGCAAGTCTGGCAACTGTGTGGCCAAGTCTGCAGGTGTCATTTGTGACATGCTTGAGGTCATGCCAAAGGAAACCCGAAATTTCCAGCAGATGGCAATACTAATAAAGAGGAGAAAAATGTCCCCACCCGAGGTTGTGGATTCCCTGAATTTTGTCTCCCAGAACTCAGGTTACTGGGACTCTCGATCAGCATTATAAATTAAATAAATATAAAAGCATAGAGAAAAAATGTCAGTGTGTATCTTGTTCAGATGGATGAGGATTGTTCAGGAAATCTTTACCTTGGCCTGGGGTTTGGGGCCCAGACTTCACTGCTGGACCCCAACTCTGCCACTTAGTGTTAAGTAGCCAGGACAAGTTACTTTGCCCTCTGTGCCTTGGTTTCCTTACTTTGCAGATGGGGACCATGGAAATCCCATCCTTAGATGGACATGAGCAGGAGCGCAGGCAGAGCTCTGTCCTGAGCTCTGTGACCCTTGCCTCTGCCTGGGTCTCCACTCAGCTGATTTGCTGATTCTCCCTCATCCTTTTAAGACTTAACTCAGATACCACCTCCTCCAGGAAGCCTTCCCTGAAGTACACTCACACATTGACCAGCATATGTCCCTGTCAATGCAGACACCACAGCAAATTGTCACCATCTGCTTATGTATTTGTCCCCCACCAGGGAGTCCAGATCCTCACCTGGACACTTGGCCCTTCTTTATCCCCCAGTGCCTGGGGAAGCAATGATGTGAACAAGGCCTTGGCAAATGTTTGCTGAGTGAATGACTGAGTGAGTGACTTCCTCGAGGTCCCCGGCACACTCAGAGAAGCCTGGAGCTGATCCTGACCAGGAAGGGTCATGGGGGAGGAATAGCCTTGGAGGCTTGAGTCCTCAGAGATCGTGGGATTGGCTCAGGTCTTTGCAGACTGGCCCCAACTCCTCAGCAGAGTCCATCTCTGCCCACCCCTCATTTAGTTCTTGGCTCCACCCAGGGGTTGTGGTCCCTCAGACCCAAGGATCATGCCTGGAGATGCTGTTCTTGCAGAAGGTTTATTTATTGGAGGAATCAGACGCAAAGAGCCAACCCAGTTACCCCAGTCCCGGCAACACCTCCACCCGACAGCCTCAGCTGGGTGGCCAGGTGATCTGCACAGGGCCCGGGAGGAGCGTCTTCAGTTTGGTTATTGGTTGTAACATTGTGTATTGGTTGAGTTCACTTGGGGATCACCCCACTCAAAGCCAAGGTTCTTTATGCCAGCGAGGTCATAAAAGCCACAGATGCCCTTGAGCACCTGGCCTCTTTTGTAGGGGAAGTCAGAAAACTCCTCTCCGACGGTCTTCCCAAACCAGTAATTACGTCCCTCGTCGGTCGTCACAATCACATTCCGCACATTCACTAGGCTCGAGCCTTGGATGGAGGTGATGAATTCATCAGACCACAGCTCGAACTGTAGGCTGTTCCCACCTCGAACACCGTACATGGGACCCCAGCAGTTCCCATATTTTGCCTGGATGCTGGGAGTGAAGGGAAGCTTTGAACATCCGCCCGGATCCGGGGTGACCCAGCTTCCTCAGTGTCCCTCCCCTGCTCCACTGTGGCTTCTTGGGACACAGTGGTCTCAGTCCCTTGCTCAGCCACCTTCAGGTTCTGTGACCTTGTGCTCATGGCCTTGTCTCTCTGGGACTCAGTTTCCTCACGTGCAAAGGGCATGAGTGTTGGGAGGGGGTCCTGGGGTCTTCAAGCAGGGTTAGGTGATTGCGACCCCTCAGGAGGGGTGGCTTGCTGGCATGTGTCTCGGTTATGGGAGCTGTCCCTTGCCAAAGGTGGACTTCCTCAGCCTGAGCCCCTCTAAGTGAGCAAGGCTGCTGGGGAGCAGGTGCCTTCTACACACCCACGTGTCCTGCACAGCTGGTCTTACCTGCACCCCCATCCTGCTCACCTTGATGCTGTCCCAGAGCCTCCCAAGGTCCCCAGCTCGTGCTGCCCACACTGTGTCTCCTGTGCTACTGTCTCTTTCTCACGTCCCCAGCGCTCACTAAGGGCAGGACAACGATCCACCCCAAGCCTCGAGCAGGGATACGCCGATACTAGGCGACTGTCCTTGGACTCTCTGCCTCTTATACTTCTGGTCACTAATATTCAATCAGTAATCCACTCAGACTCTCACCTCCTTTCCTCTTTTTCCCTAACTGACAGACCTTCCCCTGATTCTCCCATCAGGCATTGGAACTGAGAGCCATTTTTGGTTGAGTTTGGGTTGAAAAGAGAAACATCATCAACCCTCTTTGATTAACCGGAGGCAAAGGCAAGACCTTACAGGTGGAGTCAAGAAGAAGTGGGACTGTGAGCAGGAGAGGAATTGGCTGGGGAGAGGGACGAGTCGAAAAGGAGCAGCTGGTGGCTCTGTGACCCCAGAGATCAAGTGGCCTCAAAATGCTGTTAGGAGCCGGGTGGGGATGTTGGGAGAAGAGGCCATAAATGGACCAAGACCATAGGAAGACTCAGGCCACGTGGGACCATGATGCCCACTCACTTTAAAAGCCGGCCCACAGCATTTCTGGATATCCGAAGCCCCTTCAGGTCATCGCCACTGGATGAGGTGGTACAGAAGTAGGTGCCGCACGTAGATCCATAGAACTCTGTGTGGATGAGAAGCAAGGAGGAGAAAACCCACACAGTCACATGGACACCGTCAGTCTCGTCCCGAAACAGTGGGCCCCATCCCAAAGGCAGATAGGGTGGCCCTGGGACTAGACTTAGTCTGTGACAAGGGCTGGGGAAAGTCCCTGGGTCTCCTGGATAGAGGGAGGCAAGGGTGGCCACCGGGAAGATGGACTGGAGAGGGGCAGACCCAACCAGACTCACTCCTTGGCAGGCTGCTAGTGCTCCCCAGGAGAGCAAGAGTCAGCAGTAGCAGCATGACTTCTGGTCTCGAGTCCAAGGCTCTGGGGGGAGAAGAGGAGGGAACTGATTCCCAGAAGGGGACCAAGCCCAACCTCCCTGGGCCATCCATGGGAGCCAAGCACCTTACCTGACTGACTAGGAGAGTCTGTCCTGGAGACTTGTGCCGGGTGTCCTTCATCTGCCCCTTATATGCTCCTAAGGCTTGGGCCCCTGTCCAGAAGGAAGGAGCCAGGGGCCACCAGGGGGACAGGAAGGAGCTGGGCAGTGGGCGATCTTCCTGGGGGAGTCCCCAGAGCTTTCATGGGGAGGCTCCCGGACATGCTATGTTTGCTGACTTGGCCCTGCAGCCTACACAAACATGGCTGGGGACAGTGACAGGTATTTATTTCACTGTCATCTCTAAGTTCTTTATAATGGGCATCTAGACTGATCTTGACTTCAGAGGTGTTAGAGATTTGCCCAGAGCCCTTCGCCAGGTAGGTTTTGACCCACGTGGTGGAGACAGGGCATGTGTCCTCAGAAGCTCTGTGCAGCCTGGGCCCTGCCTTGCACAGAGTCTGGTTCAGGGCCTCATCCAACCTGAAAGCACCTGGGGTCTGGGGACTTCTGGAGCCCACGGGTCCCTGCTGACCCCAGAGAGCCCAGGCAGATGGTCTAGCTCTTTGTGCCCTGTACCAGGGGCAAGAGGCACCTCAACACTGGTCCCTAGGCCTGTCATTCAGGTGTCTGTGGTCTTTCCTCTGTGCTGGATTTGGACATAGTTGGGGATGAACAGTGTGAAGGTGCTCAGGAGCTATGGGCCAGAAGGACACACGAGGTATGGCTGGTACCATGATGGAGGCAGAGGACTGGGGACAGGAAGTGTCCTGGCCACCCCGGGGTCATGAGAACTGGGAGTCAAGCCAAGAGACCTACCTTTATGCGGACCATGACGGACGCTTCTCTGGAGCTTGGGTCCTGGGCAGCCCACTGGTGTCACAGTCCCCATGCCCTTTCTATCTCATCACATTTGTCTCACTCGGCCCCTCACAAAAGATGCGCACAGATTCCACACAGACTCCTGTTTGGGTCACACTGTTCTGCTCAGACACTAACCTGAGAAGGGAGGCGCTTACCTCAAAGATTTGGAAGGATCCAAAACCACTTCATTGGAAAGGACCCGGGGTCTGGAGAAGAAGCGAGGGTGTAGGGTAATGATGGAGGGGAGGAGGAATGAGAGCAAGTCCAGGGAAGCCCCATGCGTGTCATTTGGACAACTGGTCACTGTGACAGGCTGAAGGCAAGGCTGTCCCCAGGAGTTCTGACCTTTGCAAATCACCACAGGGTTGTGACCATTAAGTGAGAGTCTGACTTGAGTCAGAGAGCTTTCTACTTGAGAACTTCCTACTCTCTAGGGGGGACCTCATTTAGGGGGCCTTTGGTCCCTCTGTGGTCAACCATTTCATTGTTGTATGTAGGTAATAATAGGGTGGCGTGACAATCCACCCAGATTCTCCATAAGGACCAGGATGCCTAAGCCGATGCTGTGTGTGGGCAGCTGTACAAGGGCCTTTCTCAGGAAAGTACAAAGGACCTGAACTAACAGGCACATCTATCTAGAGATGGCTGAGGACACACACAGTGGTGACCACCACACTGGGACACTGCGGAGGTGTGGGAAGGAGTGAAGACCCACACCCAGCTAGGTGCAGATCAGTGTGTCTAGTGCTCCCAAGAAAAAGGGTCACAGAGAATGACTCTGCATGTGTACAGACAGGTTCTGGAAGGGGTGCTGGCAGTAGAGAAGTGGCAGCAGGACCAGCTGGGACGCCCATGACCCGAGCAAGGTGTGTCCTGTGCCGAGGGTGAGCCAAGAATGCGTTTCACACGTTAAAATCAGTAGAAAAATTCAAAAGGAGAACAAGATTTCGTGGCACATGAAAATTTTATAAAACTCAGATGCCACTGTCCCCCAGTCAAATGTATGAAAGTGCTCACGTGCCTCCATGGCTGCTTTCACACCACACAAGCCGTGTAGACAGCTCATGGCAGAGGCCTTTCTGCTCACAGAGCCAACAATTATACTCTCCTCACACAAAGCCTGTCCTGAAGACGCCCATCCCTGTCCTAGAACAAACGACTTGGTGCCACGGTGTTGGCTGGACAGCGTCGAGGGAAAGGAGCTCTGCTCAGTAAGCAGCCTTCAGTTGGGGCCAGGCGGAGACGCTTCTGCCCCCACAATGCCCTTGGTTGTGGGCCTTGCGCTCTCTCTCGGGGAGGCTCACTGGGGTTCAGGCCCCAACTGACCAATGCTGCCGAGGTCAGCACCCATCCTCCCAACCCCCCTCACAGCTCCAGCTGCACTGCAGAGGCAATGGAGGATGGGCTGGGGACACGGCAGGAGAACTCCTCCCGGGGCCCAGGAGGAACCTTTGGGGAGATGGAGGCGGAAGAGCCTAAGCTCTTGGCAGTCTCTGCTCCTGGAGGCAGGGGCCAGGGAGGCCACACAAAGGGGGCTTGTGTTCTCTCCCAGCCCAGCCTGAGGGCACTTGTGCGGGTTTGTTGCCAGTCCAGGTGCCAGAAGCAGGGTCTGTCTGAGCCCGGACTCTAGGAAGCACCTCCTGGAGAGGAGATGGGATTGAAGCAAGAGACAATTGCCAGCCTGGCCAGAGAGGATGATGGCACTTGCCCAATTGAGTGTTAGAAGCTCTTTCTTTCTCTCTCTCTTTCTTTCTCTTCCTTCCTTCCTTCTCTCTCTCTCTCTCTCTCTCTCTCTCTCTCTCTCCCTCACTGGGGCTTAGGGGCTTGAACTCAGGGCCTCATGCTTGCTAAGCACTCCACCAGCCCCCAGCTGGTCTCAAACCACCATCCATCTCTCTATTCCACATCTCCCAGGTAGCTCTAGTCATGAACCACCTCACTTGGCTATTTTGGTTTTTTTGAGACAGGGTCTTGCTATGTAGCCCAGGCTGGTCTCAAACTTATGCTCTTCCTTTCTCAGCCTTCTGAGTGCACCGCTATTCCCCCTGCAAAGCACATTTTCATAGGGTGCTCATTGGTAACAACAGACACACAGTCATGTCATGTCAAAATGCCCACGTGTGCTCGTGCAAGTGTCCCCAAACACACACACTTCCCCAGAAGCCCCTATACATAGGAGCAGGCACAACGACATCCATTTGCCATGTGTGGGGGTGGGAGGCCCTGGTCTTGGAGAAGCTTCACCCTGTACCCTCCAGCCACCTAGACTCAACTGCTGGCCCTGAGCCCACACACAGGAGCACTCAACACAGGCCCTTTGTCATTGGGATCAGAGGTCCTCAAGAGGGAGGATTTACTGAACACTTATTCCCTGCCTTGGCCACAGCTCAGCCTGCACTCTGCCAGGAAACAGAACAATGAGGCCTTCTCCTACAGCAGAATAGGTCTTGGGCTGTCAGCCCTTGTCAGGAGCTGGTTCAGGAGACAAAGCCCTGGTCTTCCCGCCCTCTGAGTGTGAGGCTTGAGAAGACCCTCAGTTCTTCATCTGTAGCCCACTCACAGCTGCAGCTGGATAACCAGCCTGCACTCTATGAGAAGTCTCCAGCCTCAGTTGGAGGCTAGAGTCTGAATTCCTGGCTCTGGTCTTAGGCCATACTGGCTAGACTGAATCCAGTGAAGCTGGAAGGTAGCCTCACCACAGGGGAGAGACTGTTGGTATGGGGAGGGAACTGATCAGAAGCAAAGGGACATACCTGTGCGTGGGTGTGTATCTGTGTGTGTGTGTGTGTGTGTGTGTGAGAGAGATGCTGGGGACTGATTTCAGGGCCTTGTGTTGACAATAGGTGCTCCACCACTTGAACCATACCCCAGGACTTTTTGCTTTAGTTATTTTTGGGATAGGGTCTCAAATTTATGCCTGGACAGGCCTGGGCTTCTTTCTTCCTATTTATACTTCCCGTGTAGCTGGGATTACAGGTATGAGCCATTGCCCCTGGCTTGGGGCTAGCCCTTATGCATGGATTTGTCCCTGAGTGGTTGCCGCTAGGGAATGAGCTCCCCTGCCCCCCCCAACCCAGGAAAAGGCACCCAAGGGCAACTGCGGAGGGGGAAGGCAATTCATCTTTGCATTCCTGAAACAGTTCTACTCCATTTCTGTTGGGTGCCGTGCTCTGGACAAACCACTTTATCTATACTCTTCCCTTGAAAAACTCAACACCTTTACTGGAAAACTGAAACACACCACCCATTTTTGCCTAATCATTTATCAATATTAATGTAATTAATATTCCATTACTGCAATTGTTGAAAATAAACTATATCCAGGTTTCAAATAGAGGGCCTCAGGGTTCCGGGGTTCTGAACTCCCAGGCTGCCAGGGCTCAGCCATTTGTTACTTCGTGGCTTAGTGAGTTCAGGCTGCTCTGACAAAAACACCGCAGGCTGCCTGGCTCAACAAGAGCTGCTTATTTAGGAGGATAGAGGCCCAAGACTCAGGGCTTTGAAGAAGACAGATGCAGGTCCTAGTGGTGGTTGTTTCCTGGCTTAAAGTCAGATGGTTGCCTCTCCCTGTGTCCCCACATGGAAGGGAGAGTGAAATGTGCACCCATCTCTTCTTACTCTTGTAAGGGCTGAACTCCACCCTGGGTCCCCGCTCTCATGATTTCATCTAAACCTACTTATCTCCAAAGGCTCTATCCCCAATACTGTCACATTGGGGGTCAAAACTTCAACGTACGAGTCTGGCAGGACACAAACCTTCACATCAGAGCTGATCTCAGCAGGAGGACAGGGTGCTGGCCCCATGCAGGCCTAGCGTACCTCCACCTTTGGCTGTGGGTGTATGGGGACCTCCCTGGTGCTTTGGAGTTGGGGTACAGCAGCTAAGCTAGTCATAGGAGGGCTGATGGAGTGGCTCAAGTGGTAGAGCACCTGCCTAGCAGGCATGAGGCGCTGAGTTCAAACCCCAATACCAACAACAACAACAAAAGGTAAACTAGTCATAGGAGGTGAGGTGGCTGTGAGGCGGGAAGCCCTGCAGTGGGGAGGGAGGGGGACACTGGACTGTGAACTTGCCTTTGGTCTCTGACATGATCTGGCTACCCTGTGCCTCCACTCCACCGTACAACTCCATTGCGATGGCCCCAGGCCTCAGACTGAGAAAAAGGTCCTGAACTCAGCTCCTTCGCTACTGCCCAGAGAAAGAGAAATGACACTCAAACGTCTAGAAGTATTCCTACCTCCATCTTAGCACCGACCATAGCTACCACGGCTCCTCCAGACCCCTGCACAATCACAGACCACAGCTTCTCTATACTGGGGCCCACACTCTCACCCCCACCCTGAAAGCGCCGCATTAGCTCCTCCAGTCAGAAAGGCCTCTTCTTGGTCCCCACACCTCCAGATGTCCCTGAACCATGCGGCACTGGTCTCTCCTCACACCCACAAGGGTCACTTGGGCTGTGAACTGCCTATTGTCTCTGATACATTCTCTTTAGCCACCATCCACCCATTGCCATCAGGCAGTCCCCAGACACAAACTTAAGAAGGGTTACAGCTCACCTCCTTTTCCTGGAAACGGCCACATGGACTGTAGTCACAATCCCCAGCTCAGAGCTCCCCATTGGCTTCTGTCTCTGTCCTCCTCTGAGTGATCAGCAAGACCTCCTCACAAAACAGGGCCTTCTCTGTCCCCATGTACAGCACCCCCAGAGATCGAGGGACAACGCACCCACTGGGTCAAGGCCCTCTCTGCTGCAAGTAGGGAGACTTGCAACCCCACCTGCCCTTCATTGCCTACTCAACAACTGACATGACCTACAGGGCTGGAAGACAGCACAGGTGGCAGCCCATGCCCAGTTTTAGAGAGATGGAATCTGCCCACCTCTTTCTCCCAGGTTCACAGCTTGGGGAGTATAATTTCCATGAAGCAGGATGTGGGTGGCACAAAGGAGACATCCGATCAGACCATCTCCAGCCTCCTGTGCTCACAGCATTTGGGGAATTTTGCAAGACACATGTCTGCTTTATAGTTCACAGAACCCCAAGGCCGCCTGGCTGGATGAGCCCCTTTGGCCACACTGAGGCTGAGGTCAGGGGCTCCGATGAGTGGAAGGCAGAGTGAATATGTCCTGCTGCCCCAGGTGACCACCTTTAGGTGCTGCTGCAGCTCTCCAGGCGCTAATAGCCTCATCTGGGTTCAACTCAGCTCTGGAGTACCCCGTGACCACAGGACCACCATGCATCGATGTTGAGGTGGGAGTAGAGGTCCAGGAGACAATGCCCATCCATGATGTCCTTGTCCTCACTGGGCCAGTGCTGAGGCCCCAGAAGGATTGTGCCACAGCTGCCCACAATTATAACATCCACGCTAAACTGTTTGCTTCCTTGCCTCTCTCTCTACTTCCTCACCTGTGCTTCCGGGGTTCACCTCCCAAATAAACCACCTACAGCCAAGTCCTGGTCCAGCATCTGGCACTGTGTGATGGGACACACTGGGATGCTCGTTGGTACCTGCATCCCCAGTCTTCCCAGCCCCCAGACACCCAGGAACTCTGCCTTCCATAAATTATCTTTCTGGTTGAACGAATGGAGTTTTTCAGGTCATGGATGAACAGAGGGAGGTGTTCAGAAAACCACTGTATTCCCATCAGGCTCTACAAGGGAACAATTTGAATATGTACAACATTTTTTAACAAATGGGACAGAGAGGAGGACAGGAGCCTGGTACAGCAGGCTGGCCCCACCTGACCCTGATGCCCAAATCTCAGGCACATATGACAGTATGCCAGCATCCACACAGGCTCTGGGGACACAGATCAGTCCCAGGAGTGGCAAAGCACAGGACAGAGTGAAGAACAGAAAAGGCAGTGAAGAGTCTGACCTGAGTGCACTGTGCAACATGAGCAACTGGATCCAGGGGAAGAAAAAACTGACATCAGTGTAAACTCAGGACAGTTGGGCTGACCACCCGTCTCCCCAGCTCATGAGTCCAGCCTGATAGTATAGTCTATCCTGTCATAGATCAAAGGTCCTCCTGAGTCACCTTGGGGAGTGGTATGGATGAGTTCAGCTTGGGGTGGGGCAGGAGGAGACAGGGGAGTCCACAGCAGAAGGGGGAGGTGTGGAACTGGAGAACCAGGTGTGAATCCTTGAGGTACCCAGCTCAGCTTCCGTATCTGCAAAGTGGGGCCACTGTCTCCACCTCCTGGGGCTGCAGGGATGGTCGAGGAGGCACCATTAATGGAAAATGAGAAGTCTGTTTTATGGACTGGATAATTAAGGACTGCAACTGACTTCTCATGAATGAGCCCTAAGGTGGGTTGCGGGGGGACATAGAGACTGCTCACAGGCCCTGAGTTGGAGGGGGGGCTTCCTGGTGGGATGGGAACACTCACACTGCAGGTGTCTACGCTGCCATCCTCAGAACCAGCGCAAATCGTGTCGTTATTGATTACACTGAGTGGAGAGGGTATCCTGAACAGGTCCCTGCACCTGGTGGTGTTTAGGATGGCGACCTGCACTTCCCGGAGGAGGTAAGGTGGTGGCAAAGGTTCTGAGGGTAGGACAGAGACAGAACACATATTAGTTTTTCCTCTACCCTCTGGGCAGGAGAAGGAGGGGAGACACACCTGGCGGTGGTGGCGATGTCCCTGGTGATCATTGTGGATGAGGTGCGATATCACAGAAGGACCAAACAGTACACAGGTGTTGCAGTGCCCGAGACTTGGTTTCCCTACATGTACGATGAGGTGGAGGTCCGAGTGCACCCGTGGAGAGATGCCTTAGCCAAAGCACACTAGGGAGACACTAAGAGGTGGTTTGGGGTTGCGGGGTCCAGGACAAAAATTCCAAACTTTGATGAAAGACAAACTAGAGATTCAGGAAGTTGAAAAAATTCCAAGGAGGACAAACACACAGATCCACACTGAGCACGTTGTAATCAACCATGGAAGGCAAAGTCAGAAAATGGCAAGCAGCAAGAGAGAGAAGCGAGTCATGAGTTCAAGGGACCTCCAGCAAGATCAACAGCCAGCTTCTCTTCAGAAACCAGGGAGGCCAGAAAGCAGGGAAACATTTGTGTAAAGCCAACGGGGAAACAAGTCACACAAGAATTCTATATCATAGCAAAGTTTCCTTGACAAATGAATGAGAAATGAGGAGCTGGGAGGGTCATCACTAGTAGATGAGTCCTGCAGAAAATGGAAAAGGGGGTCCTTCGGGCTGAGACGTAAGATGCCAGACAGTAACTCAGTCATACAAAGAAACAAGGAGCTCTGGTAAAGGTCACTGCACAGGTAAATGTAAAAGCCAGTTGTATTGGAGTTTTGGCTTTTAACTCCTCTTTATTTCTGACCCATTGTAAAAGACAAATGCATGGGGCTGAGGTGTAACTCAGCAGAGAGCGTTTGCCTGGCATCACAAGGCCCTGGGTTCAATCCAGAGCATTGCCCCCCCAAATGCATAAAACCATAATTATAAATCTGTGTTAAGGTTTACAAAATGAATAACACTGTAAATGTCGATAAAAAAAAAACCAGAAAGTGGAACTGGGAATGGTGGTACATGCCTGCAATCTAAGCCATGCTAGAGGCCCAGGTGGGAGGGTTGGAGTCCGAAACTACCCTGGGCAAAAGTGAGAGACCCTACCTGAAATTAAAGTAAAGCAATAAGGGATGAGGGGGCAAGCTAAAGTGCTATTAAGAGTGAGACCCTGACTTAAATCCCTAGTACAGCCAAAAAGAAGTGAAGGAAACCAAGAAAATAAATAAATATCCAGTAAAGGTAATGAGAAGGGAATCAATATGGTTCCCTAAAAAACACCAGTCAAATACAAAATGAGCAAATGAGACATGAAACATTATGAGGTAGCTATAGATACTAAAAAGATATAGCACATGATATAGAAAATAAATAACAAAATAGTACAAGCAATTCTTGTCCGATCAATAGTATCTTATAAAGTAAGTGGATTGAATGCTCCAAATAAAAAACAGAGCTTGGCAAAGTGACTTAAAAACACAGGATCCAAACATGGCATCCATAAAAGATTCACTTAAGGTCCAAAGACACCCACAGGCTGACAGGAAAGGCTGGCCATGCAAATAGTAACCGAAAGCGAGCTAAGGTTATTAAACTAACATCCTACAAATAACCTTTAAATCAGCGCTTGTTGCAAAGTCAAAGAAGAACAATTTACATGGAAAATACAGTCCAATCCTCAGAAAAATATAACACAGTTGCACCAGTGGCTCACACCTGTAATCCTAGCTACTCAGGAGGCAAAGACCAGGAGGATCACAGTTCAAAGCCAACCCCAGGCAAATTTTGAGATCCTTTCACAAATTGTGAAAAAGCCCAACACAAAACAGGGCTGGCAGCATGGCTCAAGTGGTAGAGCCCCTGCCTAGCAAGTGTGAGGCCCTGAGTTCAAATCCCATACCTCCAAATAAATAAATAGCTAAATAAATAGCTCCAAATATGTAAAGCAAAATTGACAGAATTGGTGGGAATAATAGAAAGTTCTATAAAATGTCAGACTTCAATTCCACATTTTAATAACAAGAAAAAGCAAATAGAAGATCGATAAAAATTTGAAGCTGTGGAGAGCACTGTAAGTGAAATATATGTCAAGACACATAAAGAACAGACCACTGGGACAGTAACAAAATATGCGATCTTTTGAAGCACATGTACGATAGTCACTAGAATACAACATATTTCAGGTCTCAAAATGAGTCACAAAACATTATAAAACATAGACATCATACCAAATGCCTTTACTGACCACAAGGAAATGAGACTAGAGATCAGAGGAAGACTGGAAAGTCCACGAATATGTAAAAACTGAGGAACACACTCTTAAATGACCAATGGGCCAAAGAAAATCACATGGAAAATTAGAATATACTTTGAGATGAATGAAAATTAAGCGGTCATGGAGGTGCATACCTGTAATTCCAGCACTTGTGAGGCTGATGCAAGGGGATCATGAGTTCAAGGCCAGCCTGGACTACACAGCGAGAGTCTGTCTGAAACAAAAAGGAACACATTGCACATCCAAACATATGGGATGCAGCCAAAGCAGCTCCCAGGAGGAAACTGATAGCTGCTGATGTCTACATTAAGAAAGGGGGAAATCTCAAATCAATAGCTTCAGTTTACATTCTAATGAACTAGAAAAAGAACAAACTTAACCCGAGGCTAGAAGACAAAAGGAAATAAGAAGCACACTGGTGGAAAAAAAAAAAAAAAACAACCTAGAAAGAAAAAACAACAGAGAAAATTAATGAAACCAAAGTTGGTTCTTTGAAAGGTCAGGGCAAATGGTGATGAAAGTGGTGAAAAGGAAAACAAGGAAGTAGCACCTAGATGTATGCCAGCAAATTAGCTACCCACAATGCTACGGAAATCCGGCAAGACTCACACATGACCAAAAAGACGCACAAGAAAAAGAAAATTCAAAAAGACTTACAATAAAGAGCCAGTAATCAAAGATCTCCCAACAAAGGAAACTCAGAATCGAGCGCTTCCTGGTGATTTCTGAGATTTGACAAAAAACTAATACCAATTCTTCTTGAGTTCTTCCTAAAAAGAGAACAGAAGAAAACATCTCGGACTCATTCTGAGGGCAGAGTGACCCTGAGACAAAAGTCAAACAAAGACACAGCAACCAAAAAAGAAAACTGGAAGCCAATGCCCCTCCCGAGGACACATGCAAAAACCTTCAGCAAAATGCCAGCAAACTGTGTCCATCCGCATATTAAAGGGACTACATTCTGCAACCAGGCATAGCTCATCCCAGGCGGGCAGGATGGTTCCACATTTGACAGTCAGTGTGGCACACGCATGAACAGAATGAAGAAAATAAACACAGATCATCTCAGTTGATGCAGAAAAAGCACTGCACAGAATTCAACACACTTTGCCATCAGAAAAACAAAACTCAATACCTTTTCACGATAAAAGAAAAACGGGCCAGCAGACCAGGAACGGATAATAAAGGCCACACATGAACAGCCCAGAGCTACACTCTTGCTCAATGGTGACACGCTAAAAGCTTTCCCTTAAGATCAGGAACAAGGCAAGGCCGCCTGTGTTCACCTCTGCTGGTCAACACGGTACTGGGAGTTCTGGCTAGTCTGGGCCTGGGCTAAGACCTGTCTCAAAAAAAAAAAAAAAAATCTGGAAACTAAAACATGATGGGGAAAAATCATAACTGTCATTGTTGATGCAAATGTAAAAAATCAAACAGCTGCTTGGCAACACTGTTTGGTGTCTCAAAGGAGGTTCAACACAGAAATACCCAGAAATTGCCCTCCTAAATATATACCTAAAATAACTGAAAAGAGGTGTGCAAAAGAGTTCTGTAAATAGATACGGGGAGGGCCACAACAATGCTAGGAATCGCTGAAAGGTAAATTTTACACTGCTTTGAAATCTTATGGTTATGAATTACATCTCACTGTAAGGATATCAGTGTTTGAGGCCCTCCTGGGCAGCGGCCCTGCACCCTGCCTCCCCCACCCCCAAGAAACCAGGCCAAGGCCACCGGGCCTCCCTACCATTTTTGGCTTCTGGCCACACCCTGTCTGAAAGGGAAGGGAACTGAGCAGTTGACACCCGTGCTGGCAGGAATCAGCAAGAGCAGATGAGAATGGTGAGGAGGCCGGCAAAGGGCTCAACAGTGCCTCAGCGACCAGGGAGGAGCTGCTGGGCCAAGTGTAGCTGGGCCAGGTGTGGCCGGAACAGGGGATAAGGGTAGTGGCTGGCCCAACCTCATGCCACCCCATCGGTCCCCAGCCTCACTCTTATTCTCACTGAGCGCCCCCCAGCCGGTCACCCAGCAGTCCGGCCGGTGCTGGAACATGAAGGTGGAAGACAGGACACAGACAGGCTGGATGTTCCTGCTGTAGGTGACAGAGGAGGCCAGCTTCAGCAGGGCGATGTCACTCAGCACCCCTCTGGCTAGGGGGTTCGAGATGATGTCCTCCACCCTGTACCGGTTGTGGTAGGCCTGCAGGTTCCAGCGAGTTGGCTTGGAAGTCAGCTCCCCAAGCTGGACAGTCCACTTACGTGGATCACGGGACCTGGCAGGTGAGGAGAGAGTGGTCAGGGCCCTGGGGGGAGGGCTGGCCTCCTGAGCACACCTGTGCTCCTCCCTGAGGTGACACAGTGGGACTGTCGCTAATACTTGCTCATCCTGGACGCCATTACCACCAGACAGGCCACAACCAAAGTCCGCAACCTGGGAGGAGCAGGAGAGTGGTTGACCCAGGTGGACTTGTCAACTCCCAGAACTGTCTAAGGACACAGAAATCCAGGCCAGTCCTCTGGGACACTCCTGTGTAGGCCAAACTGGACTGAGCAGATGAGGTGTCCTGTGTGGGGTCCTGGACAGGGTGGACTGAAACAGAAGCTCTGGAGAGAGCTGTCCAGGCCAGGTGAGCAGCCCTGACCTCTGTCACTTGTGGCATGGAGCCATGGGAAGGTGGAACAAGGGCTGTGATATGGTGGTGACATCTGGGGAAGGGGATAACATACCAAAAGGTGCCCGGCAAGGACCCGTGCTTTCTTGGACTGTGCTGGATGTGCATATCCTGATCCTGCTCAGTTAACCTGGTGCAGCACAACCAGAGATGAAGAGAACCCCTAGGAGAAGCCACCGTGCACCAGAAGGCGCTATTAGAATGACCCACTCTGACCCCAGAAACTGAGATGATTCACGGAACAGCAGACAACTGGGAACTTCTATCTCAGATTTATCGGAAAGACTTGAGAGGGGTGTGCAAGCATCAAACAAGGATTATGTGGGGAAAATGCTGGGTGTGGTGGCTGACACCTGTAATCTCAGCTACTAGGGAGGCAGAGACAGGGAGGATCGTGGTTTGAGGCCAGCCCAGCCAGAAAGTTAGTGAGACTCCATTCAACCAACAAGCTGTGTGGGGGCGTACGCTTGTAATACAAGCTATGCGGAATCCACAGGTAGGAGGATCATGGAGGACACCGTCCCTGGGCAAAAATAAATAACTAAAGCGAAAAATGGCTACGGAATGACTCAAGTGGTAGAGCACCTGCCTAGCAAGTAGAAAGTCCTGAGTTCAAATCCCAGTACCACCAAGAGAATTTAAAAAAGAGAATCATGTGGGAAAAGACAACATTTAGAAATGAGAACTATTACTGCAGAAATGAAATGTTTTTAGCAGAAGGGCTGAATACTAAAATGCACATAGCTACAGAATGAATTGCTAAGCTTGAGGAGAAAGTGAGGTGAAAGCTCAGAATTTGGAGCTCAACTTTGGAAAGGTGAGTGCACCAGAGAGGATGGAGAACGCCAGCATTTGTCTACATCGACCATTGCTCAAGCCGGAGACAGGGCTGGTGCTCTTTGACTCGGCTACGCTCGTCTAACCCCAACCCCAACCCTAACCCTATTTTTCCACCATAAACAACGTTAAAATGAAGTCAAATAAGGAGTGTGAAGAGCCAAAGAGCAAGGCAGGCTCTCGGGTCCCATGAGCAGCAGTGAGGAAGTGGGGTGAGTTGTGTTGTCCCCATGGGCTCCAGGTGTCTGCCTGCAGCCTGGGAACTGTGGTGGACTGTGAGGTCTGAGGTTGAAGGAGCATTTTCTGCGCTTTGACTGTCCCTAACACAGACCGGGCGTGACTTGAGTGGTAGAGGACTTGTCCGGCAACGGAGGCCCTGACTTCAGTCCCCTGGGCTGCCATGTCTATCTGAACACTTATCCAGAGACCTTATCTTATCTTATCTTGCCTGTGGCTGGTTTAGAATTGCGATCCTCCTTCAGACTTCTGCAAATACGCAGCACGTATATCTAGTGAGTGCAAGTTTACATGCCAGAAGAGGGGATTTTTTGGGGGTAGGACTAGGGGATTGAACTCAGGGCCTCAGGCTAGCTAAATTAAGCGCTCTGCCACTGAAACCACAGCCCAGTCCTTTTTGTTTCTAGTTTGCTTTTCTTCGGTAGGGTCTCATGCTTTGTTCAGACCAACCTCAGACTACGACCTCCTATCTCTACCCTTCTAGCTTCAAAGACAAGCACGTGCTATCCCGCCAGGCCAATTTTTTTTCCATTTCTTTCTAAATTTTTCTTTTTTTTTTAAATTAAAAATACATCAGTCTGGAGGGTGTCTCAAGAGGTAAAACGCCTGCCTCACAAGTGTGAAGCCCTGAGTTCAAACCCCAGTACCACCAAAAGAAATTAATTAAAAATACATCAGTGAAAAATTGCACTCATTATGAAAGATACAGACATTTTAATATCAGAGGGCTAGGATCCAAGGCTAGTGGCCTCAGGTTTGAAGCACAGGGGTATTTTACATACGCCACCTGGGGTGCTGCTGCTTCAGGACAGGGGAGGTGGAATGTCCTGTCTTTGTCCCTGTGGGGCTCAGGCAGGTCCTCCACCCCAGTGAGCAAGGTGAGGACTGTGTCCCCTCGTTTGAACAATGCCAAGCACACAGTACACTGGGCCAGCACCAATAAAAGGTGGGTTCTGTGATTCTAGGGCCAGTGGTCCCAGGGTCTGGTAAGGATTCCAGACCATTCATATCATGGAGAGGCCAGGGCCCCTGTAGTTGAGTAGTGTAGGAAGCTTAGACCCCACCCAAGGCTGGAGGACAGGCGTTCAGCCCCAACCAGGGCGAGGCAAGGAGACTGCCACAACTGCAGTCACCTTCCTCCTTCCTGGAGTATCTGGAATTCTGACCCCATCACCTGCTACATGGAACTGGTCTCCCTGCCATCCTACTCACCCTCCTTCCTGGAGCCCTTCTAGAGAGCAACAACCCCCCAACTCTCCCTCCCAGCCTGTCCCCCACGAGTGACAATGACATAAGACAGGATTCAGGTAGGATATAGGGAATGGGAGAGACAGGAGCTGGAGGAGGACTATTGAGCCTAGGTTTGGCAGCCAATCCAGAGTGCTGTTTGATTCGAACTCCTTGTCACCTTGTCCTTGGACAGATGCTGGCAGGAACACAGGTACTGGGGACTTACCCATGCCCCACTGGCCTAAGCTGGCACACAGCTCCCAGCTATGACAAATGAGGACGTGTGTTAGGAGACAGCAGTGTGCTTCACGTGTATTACAGCCTCCATGGTTCTCTGTCACCTGAGGCTTAGCTAAAGTTTAGCACTTTTGGGTGGAGGCTGTGCTTAGGGCCTGGAGCCACACTCCCACCTCATTTTGCCAGCCTAGGAGGTTGTGCTGGGGCTGGTGAGAATAGCAGAAAGCATGGGAGTGGGGAAGAGCTCTCACTGGGCTGTGAGGGAGCCCTGTACACGTGTGTTGGTCTCTGAAGAAGACCAGAACCTGCCTCCTTCTGCCTTTGGCTATCTGGGCACCTGCCCCAGATGGGAAGAGGCACATCAGGTGGGAAGAGGAAGAGAGTCTCAGCGAGGAGACGGTCCCTGACGCTGGAAGGGAGGGGGTTGCTGGGCAAGGAGGTGAGCTGGCCAGGACCCCTTTTCTGGCAGAGTATTGGTAACGTCTGGACTGTTACCAATGTGTGGCTGTGGCTATTTTGCTCTACCTGGAGATGATTTGTGGGTAGGCGAGAAGCTCTGCCAGTGCTGGCAATCTGTGCCTTGAGCGCCCAAGGCCTTGAGACTGGACTGGTGGACCCCAAGACTCACAACTCCAAAACCTGAGAGCTCGGTGCCTTTTGCTCCAGGCTTTCAAAGCCAGAGACGTATGGCTCTGAGCATGCAGGGCAAGAGGCGGCTGGAGTGGCTCAGGTGGTAAAGTCTTGCATAGCAAGTGCGAGGCTCTGAGTTCAAACCCCAGTACCACAAAAAAAAAGCACTCAGCGTAGAGGTTCATTGCCCTGGGCCTTAACCACCAATGCCCCTATCCTTGGCAGCTCTTGTAATCCTCAGCTTCCAGCAGTAAACAGCAAGAGGAAGAGCCATACAGTCCTCTGGTACAGACCTCAGGTCCTGGAACCCTCCACCCCTCAGCGACAAGTGCCACCTACCAGCTCTCGGGCCTATCAGCCTCTGACAGCAGCTAGTATTAGGGCCCGTAGGCCTGGGTATCTGAGACCCTTGGCCCTTAAGGCTTGGAAAACTCTCTGGAAACATTCCGTACAGCCTCTGTTGCCTATGGTCCCCAGTGTTCCTGCCCCAGCCACCCTCTGGAACGCCTAAGCTGTCTTCCCATTGCTACTGCCTTTTTTTTTTTTTTTTCCTTGCAGTACTGGGCTTGAACTCAGGACCTCACACCGACTAGGCAGGTGGTCTACCACTTGAGCCACTCTACCAGCCCTGTCTTGTGAAGGGTTTTTTTTTTTTTTCATTTTTCTTTTATTATTCATATGTGCATACAAGGCTTGGGTCATTTCTCCCCCCTGCCCCCACCCCCTCCCTTACCACCCACTCCGCCCCCTCCTTCTCCCCCACCTCAATACCCAGCAGAAACTATTTTGCCCTTATCTCTAATTTTGTTGTAGAGAGAGTATAAGCAATAATAGGAAGGAACAAGGGTTTTTGCTGGTTGAGATAAGGATAGCTATACAGGGCGTTGACTCACATTGATTTCCTGTGCGTGTGTGTTACCTTCTAGGTTAATTCTTTTTGATCTAACCTTTTCTCTAGTTCCTGGTCCCCTTTTCCTATTGGCCTCAGTTGCTTTTAAGGTATCTGCTTTAGTTTCTCTGCGTTAAGGGCAACAAATGCTAGCTAGTTTTTTAGGTGTCTTACCTATCCTCATGAAGGGGTTTTTTTGAGATAGGGTCTCTTGAACTATTTGCCGGGGCTGGCTTTGAACTGCAGTGCTCCTGATCTCTGTCTCCTGAGTAGCTAGGATTACAGGCTTGCTCACTGCTAGGGCTGCTGCTGCTTCCACTGTCTTCTCTCCATTTTACCAGTTCAACTCACTCTGCTAATGATAAAAAGCAAAAGCAAGAAGCAAAAGCAAGAGCAGCCTCTTCTTGGGCCTAAGGCTACACCACCAGGGGGCAGTCCAGGATACTTTCTCCTGGGTGACGCTGACCGGCGGCTTCTATACCAGAAAGGGGTGGGGCAATGTTGTCTGCACCAATCACAGCAGACCTTCACGCAAATGGGAACTGTGTTGCACCAATTTCAGGCCTTGCTGGGCCGTGGGAGAAGTGCTCTGTCTCTCGCTTGGGTGGAAATGTCTGCAGGGTCATCTAGAAGTGACCAAGGCTTGTGATGGCAGAGACTGGCACAAGTTGTTTGAAACAAGTGGTGGCTGGGAAGAGAAGCCAGAGTTGTGCTTTGGCTGCAAGCAACCATGGCTGACCGAGGCTTCAAGGCGTCTGTGGAGTGATTTTGCTCAAAGCAGCAGTCCGCCTGGCTGCTTGGCTAACAGTCCTTCTGTCAAAGCAGCCAGAGCACCCGGGAAGGCTCTAACAGCTGTCAATTAAGGAGTCAAATCACCCCAACATTTTAACTTATTTATAGAAAAAACAAGCATGAAAAGGGGTGCTTATAACTAGGTGCCAGTGGCTCACGTCTGTAACCTTAGCTACTCAGGAGGCAGAGATCAGGAGGATTGCAGTTTGAAGCCAGCTCGATGCAAATAGTTCATAAGATCCTGTCTCAAAAAAACCATCACACAAAAGGGCTGGTGGAGTGGCTCAAGGGGTAGTGTGCCTACCTAGCAAGTGCAAGGCCCCAACTTCAAACCCAGTATCATCAAAAATAGTAATAAAAAGGGTGCTTCCAATAAAGGCTTACCATTGACATGAAGAATGCCTTAATAGTATTTATTTAATAGGGCTCTATCAGTGCTGAACTCCTGTCCCAGTGCCCCAGGGAGACGTAGGTCCCTGGATTTCCCTTCCAGACCCCCCTGGGGCAGACTCTGCTCGCTTGTTCTGGTTGTCAACACTTCAACAGAGAGAGCAAGGACAGCCCCTGTCCCTGACTGGTGCTGCCTGGGTTCCAGGGGAGGAGGGGAGTTATGTATCGAAGGTACTCCCTTGGGTTTGCTTTCTCTCTACCCTCTCTCCTTCATTCATTCCCAGCAGCTGACCTGACACAACGGCCAGGAGTGAGATCCCCTTAGCCCATTGCATGGAGTGTGGAGTCATCGCCAGCGCCCCCGTGTTGAGTAGACAGCAGAGGGACCCCTGCTAGAGCCAGATGCAAAACCCACGAGACTAAGCCAGGTGCAGGCCCAGCCAGACTGTACCAAAGCCACCTCCGAGCCCATGACTACTAAAGGCTGAGGGCCGTCCAGTGGGAAAACCTCACCCAAGCCACACGGGAAGACAAACTGATGTGTGGGATGAAGGGGGAAAAGCGTGTGAGGTGCAGGAGGGTGGGGTCCAGCAGAGCAGCAAACTGGGCAGGAGGCCACATCTGAAGTGGGGGTGCGTTCCAGACAGATGGAACAGTTTCTGTAAAGGCCAGAGACAGGCAGGACCACCCAATACCCCTCACTCTGCGCTGCAGGCAGTGAGGAGAAGAAGAGGGGTGGCTTCATAGTTCTAGAACATGGTAGTGGTATTACCATGAACTTATCCCCAGGGGACTTTCAATCTCTGAGCAAGGGATGTGTGGGAAGGAAAGGGGGCTTCAGTACAGAGTAGGGACTGCATCCTTTGTGACTACCTCCATCACAGGTTTGGGAAATCAGAACCCCTCTGCCACCTTCTTCCCAGGCTCACAAGGAAGAGGGGTGTGTGCTTTCAGGGGGTGCAGGAATGTGGGTGGCACAAGGGGAGCAATTTGGCCCAACTATCTCTGGCCTTCTGCGCTCACAGCATTTGGGGAATCTTGCAAGACACATGTCTGCTTTAACAGTTCACAGTGCCCTCAGGGCTGACTGGCTGGTTGGGCCCCTTGGCCACACTGAGACCACACTAGGGTTAGGGGTCCTGATGAGAAGCAGATAGGGTGCATGTGTCCTGCTGCCCACCCGGCAGCACCTCTCGAGGTGCTGACAGCCTCATCTGGGGTCAGCTCAACTCTGGAGCAACCTGTGACCGGAGGACCACCTGTACCCATGTTGGGGACAGTGTCTTTGTTGTCATTGGACCAGTGCTGAACCCCAGCAGGATTGTGCTTCGGGTGCCCACGATCATATCATCCATGCTCTGCAAACACTTTCCCACTTCCTCACCTGTGCTTCTGGAGTTCACCTCCCCATAAATCACCAATAGCCAAGTCTGTTCCTAGTGTGGCCTTTGGGAGACCATGGTAAGACAGGAGCACCTGGTGCTTGTCTTCCCACCCCAAGACACCCGGGAGCTCTGACCACCCTTCCATAAATCCTCTTTCTGGTTGAACTAACGGGAGAGAGATCTGTTATTAGCAACCAAAACGTGGCTGATGTAGACAGGCAAAATGCTACGGGTCAGAGACAGGCTTGGGTTGAGCTGGACTGGACATGGGTGAGGCAGAGGTGTCCACGAAACACCTTGGGTTCAAGGAATGCTGTGGAAAGATTAGCTCAAACATGTTTATTAGCATACAGGGCACAGTGGACCGGAGCCGGACTCAGCAGAGGGCTCTGACCTACACAGGCCAGGTGGGCTCGGCTGGCCCCAGGAGCCAGCGAGCCCAGGACACAATAAGGACTAGCAGCAGTGGGGAGGGGCCAGGCCTGGGGGTGCCATTGTTGATCATCGTCCTTCGGATCCAGCTGAAGTGCTGACTGACGTTGGTGTAGACTCCAGGCCGATTGGGCCGACCACAGCCCACTCCCCAGCTTACAACTCCAACCTGATACCATAGTCCGTCCTGGTCACAGACCAAGGGTCCTCCTGAGTCGCCCTAGAGAGTGGCATGGGTGAGCCTGGCCTGATGTGGAAAAGGTGAGGCCAATGGAGAGGGAGGGGAAGCAGGGAGTACTGTGCAGCTAGCAGACTGGGTAGGAATCCTACTCTTCCACTCAACAGTAACCTGAGCCTCAGTTTCTGTACCTGCAAAGTGGGGCCATAGTCTAAATCTCGGGGTTGGCCTGCGGTCAAATGAGGGACCATGTGACAGGTTGTTGTTGGGCTTGGGGCTAGGAGTGGTGGGATGCTGGGCCCACAAGACCATGGAGAGGGGTGGGAGTGGGGTTGTGACACTTACAAAGCAGGCATCCTTGCCGCCTTCAGGGTTGCCAGCACAGACCATGTCTCCCCAGATGTTCATGCGGAAGTCTGACTTTTCGAACAGGTGGTTACACATGGAGTTGTTGATGATTGCCACCTGTACTTCCTGGAGAGTGTAGGGGTAGGGCAGATCTGTGGTGGAACGGAGGACAGAGAAACTTGACCCTCCTCTCTGGGGAGGGATGAATAGGCTGGGGCACTCGCAGTGTCTGAGCCATCTCTCTTAATAGCTCACAGCTCCAGCCCCATACTTAACACATCATGGGTGACCAACAGTATCACATAAGGACCCAGTGGGTGGATAGGATGTAGTGTACTCCCCTAAGACTCAGTTTCCCTACCTGTAGAATGCACATGAAGCCCCTGCCTGAGCTAGTAGAGATTCCTCAGCCAAAACACGCACAGGGCAGGGGCTATGGTGGCGGAGATGGTTTTATCATTCGCAAATCCTGCTGCAGTATCCCTGTGCCAGACTATCGGGAAAGCCACTGGCTGCTGTCCTCAGTAACATCTTGGTGCTTCCAGCCGGAGGCAAGAGCTTTTTTTTTGGTGATGGTATTGGAGTTTGAACTCAGAGAGAGCCTCACGCTTGCTAGACAGGCTCTCTACCACTTAAGCCACTCTGCCAGCCCTTTTTCATGTTGGGATTTTCAAGATAGGGTCTCATGAACTATTTGCCCGGGGCGGGCTTTGAACTGTGATCCTGCTGATCTCTGCCTCCTGAGTAGCGTGTGTGATACCAGCACCTGGGTTGTACGATGCATTCTTAAGACTCTTCTATCACCCCTGGAATATGGTGGTACCAGGGTCCACTCCCAGATAAGGAACAGGTCTGGGGAAAGAACCTCCCTCCCAAAAGGCACCAGAGAAGTCAGAGTCTGATGTAAACACATGCATGTTCGGTCTCAATAATCACTTGACCCTGCTGCAGACAACCACAGAGCTAACTTGTAGAATAGACAGGGCTTCCGATACACTGAGAGCTCTTCTAAGACCTTAGGTACTAACTCTGTTAAACCTCACAGCTACCCTAGGAGGGCTGAACTTTTATTACCCTATTGTACAGATGAGGAAACTGAGGCACAGTTAGACAAAACTCCCAGCAGGACAAAAGTTTCTCCAATGTGGGGGGTTGGGAGGGAGCTCCAGAAGTGCCTCCTACCTGCCTTCCATGCAGTGAGAACGAGGGTGAAGCAGGGGGCTTGAAGAGCCCTCTTATCAGCCCTGGGCTAGGAAGGGAAAGGCAGCAAAGTGAGCCTGGCTGTCCCTTGGCTGACACCCACTCGTCCTTTGCAGCAGGGACCCTTCTAAAAGAAGGGAAGTAACCTGTACCTTAGAGGTACATGGAACATTTGAGTTCTCTGTCCCTCCTGTTGTGTGACCTTAGGGACATCCCTTACTCCACCGAGCCAATGAATGCCGGCCCTCTCCTCTCCTCCATTTGCTAGTTCTAGGGCCTTGGGCAACTTCCATAATTCAATGTCCTCCAACTGTAAAATGGGTATGAAAGTGCTCCCAGGCTCATTGGAAGGTAAGTGCAGGAGGAACAGAGCTCTTGCCTTGATCACACCAGGGCCCCAAGCCTGGAACAGGGCCAAGCACACAGTATGCATGCGAGGAGCCAAATCTGTCACTCCTACTACTTACTGGATGGAGCAGCAATGGCCAGGCCAGGGAGCAGCGGGGAGCGCCATTCCAGGCACAAAGAACATGCCCGGTCTGGGAAGCCGGAGGCATCGAGATGCTGCCAGGGAGGCTATGTCCAGTGCTTCTGGGGGATTCTCGTAGAGACACAGGAAGGTGCTAAGTCACGCTGCCTGAGGACCAACAGAGGAATTGCAGCAGTGAGCGGAGGTTGGAGGAGGACGGCTTGGGAATTATGGGGAGAGAGGGTTCTGCTCTCCAGGAGAGGCAGCCAGAACAGTGGTGCATGCAGAAGGCACTGAGGAGCCTGAGTGGAGACTCCCTGATGGGGTGGCTGCAGTGGGATGACACACAAATAAAGCAATGTCAAAGCCCTTCTACGGGCCCCCTGCATGACTGGCCAAGATGGCCTCCCCAGCATCTGGCATCCGGAAGGGAAGGGACCTGAACATTTGGCTCCTGCCCGGGTAGGTGCCAGCACAAGGAGAGAAGCAGACGAGGAGAGAATGGAGAGCAGGTAGGCAGAGGGGCTCAGCAGTGCCCCAGAGACCAGAAAGGGGCTGCTGGACCTAGTATGGCTGAAACAGGGGACAAGGATAGTGTTCCTCCCCCCAGGCCCACCTGTCCCCAGTCTCACTCGTCTCCTCTTGGATGTCTCCCCAGCCAGTCACCCAGCAGTCAGTCCGGTTCTCAAACTTGAATGTGGAGGGCAGAAGGCAGATGGGCTGGATATCCTTAGTGAAGGTGACAGAGGAAGACAGCCTCAGCAGTGCAATGTCATACGGATATGTCCCTGGGTACTTGGGGCTCACAAAGATATTCTCCACTTGGTAACGATTGTAGTAGGCATGCAGGTTCCACAAAGATGGCACGGCACTCAGTTCCCCAAACTGGACGGTCCACTCATCGGGATCCTCAGACCTAGCAGGGGAGGAGAGAGCGGAGGGATCCTGCAAATAGGCCACCTAAGCACACCTCCCTGAGGTGACACAGTGGGACTGCTACTACTTGCTCAGCCTGGACACCATTACCAAGTCCTTCTTTTGGGCCAAATGGCCCCCTGTAGAAACCTGAGCCCTGACAGGCCACAACCAAAGTCCCCCAACCAGGGCGCTGTGAAGGAAGGAGCAGAAGGGTGACTGCTCTCAATGGTCGTGTCCCCTTCCAGAGCTGTCCCAAGTAATAACAGAAATTAAGCCCAGTCTTCTAGGGGATCCCTGGGCAGCCCCTAAAAGACTAAGCAAATGGTCGGGGCTAGTGTGGGGCACTGGGCAGGTGGAGTGAAACAGCTGCTATGGAGAGGGCAGCCTAGGCCTCCCGCTCCTGTGATACACATCCCCAAGTAGATAGAAGGAGGCCAAAAAGTACACCCAAAAGTGCACGAGAATGTCCTGAAAGAACATTCTGGAGAGAACAGAACAGGGTGAACGGAAATGCACGTGGGTTTAGCCAGCTGCCGCCAAGCCTAAGACGCCGTACACCACCACATGGCATCCGCCTGAAATGTGCGTCCAGGTGAGGCCCCCAGGCCAAGGTCAGGGCCCACCGCACCCCGGCGTGCGCCCCAGACTCACCATTCGAAGCAGTGAGCAGCCGTCAGCACCCAGCGGCGGTTCAGCAGGCTCGCTCCGCAGGAATGGGTGCCCCATAGGCGCAGGCTCCCCTGCCATGGCCAGCGGCCGAGCTCGGAGTCCTCTCCACCAATCACGCGCGACGGCACGGTGCGGTGGCCACATGGCCCTGCGATGGCGGGACCGAGCTGCGTAAGGGAGGCCCACGCCCGCCCATGTGGCCCTGGGAAGGGAGGGCAGGGCTCCCCGGGGACCCGCGCGTGTCCCTGCGGGTAGAAGGAGGAGGTGTCTCTGGGGCCTCCCCACGTGGTCCCCAGGTGCCAGGCCCTGCCCGAGGGCCCCCGTTACTTTGAGTTCTGGATCCTGGCGCGAGAGGAACAGATGGAGCGCACTTTGCACGTCGGCGCCTTACCTGAGAGCACGTCCGCTTCTGGGGGAGAGGAGAGGAGAAGGTGAGCTCCCCCAAACCTCCATGCTCCCCATCCTCCCAGCACCCCCGCTTGGCCAGCAGCTCCCCCTGAGCTCACGCGGGTTCTCGGGTCTCACGCACGACACCAGCACCGCCACCACCACCAGCAGCAGCAGCAGCAGCAGCAGAAGGGTCCCGCCGCGCGCCCCCATGGCCGCCTCTCCTGCACCTGGCGCCCCCTCTGCTTCCTGCTGCTCCAGGACTCGCCGGCGCCCCCTGGAGGACAGGCAGCATGGTGACAGCCCTGGCCCACCACTTCTCCCAGCCTGGCCTCCCTGGGCCCAAGGGTGGCTGGGGATCAGGGTCCTACAAGGACAAGTCAGACCACTCCCCTTGAACCCTAACGACTCCTTTCTAGTCTGGAGCCCAGGGGTGCTGGCTGCCCATTGTGTTGCTCGTTTATGGCCCCCACCACTTCCTCCAGGACCACGGCCCTGCCTCTTGGCCAGCAGCCCCCAGGAAAGGCCGTTAGCAAGTGCTGGTTGCTTGCTGATCGGAGGCCTAGCCCTGTTGGGCTGGACCTGGAACATGTTCCTTCACAGGACTTTCTTTGAAAGTGAGGGTCGTGGGCTTTATCCGTCCTAGAGCTGGCAGCAGGCTTGGGCCCCCCTCACCTTCCCAATCTACCCCTGGCCGCAGGGGTTGAATCTTTTTTTTTTTTTTTTTAATATCAAGAATTTAGACTGTCAGTGGATTGCCTTTGTAAAATAAATTTTTGAGAGGACTGGTAGAATGATTCAAGTGGTAGAACACCTGCCTAGCAAGTGTAAGGCCCTGAGTTCAAACCCCAGTACCCGCCAAAAAAAAAGATGGGGAAGGGCTCACACTGGTAAGGCAGGTGCTCTACCACTTGAGCCACTCCACCAGCCCTTTTTTGTGAAGGGTTTTTTGAGATAGGGTCTCACCAGCTATTTGCCCAGGGCTGGCTTCAAACCACGATCCTCCAGATCTCTGCCTCCTGAAAAGCTGGGATTACAGGCGTGAGCCACCAGTGTCCTGCCTCGGAATGGTTTTGGGTTTGAAACACACTCAACATTTTTTTAAGAGAAAAAAAATCACATTTTAACTGATGCATAATTTGCACAGTATGGGGTTCCGTGCAATTAATGTGAAATGACCAGATTTGAGGGAACTGGCATCTCCATCATCTCAAACATTTGCTGTGTCTTCGTGCTGGAAACAGTCAACATGCTCTCCACTAGCTGAGCTGAAATATTCAATAAATCCTGTCAGCACAGTTCCCTCACTTTAGAAGTTATTCCCCCGTCTTCCTGCTCTCTCTCCCCATTCACCGTCCTCTCTCCTCCTCCCTCCCCGGCCCTCCCCATTCCATTCTCTGCTTTGAGATCAACATACAAATCCCAAATGGTATTTGTTTTTCTGTGCCTGGCTTATGTCACGTTCCACAATGTCCTCCAGGCTCATGCGTGTTGCTGCAGATGAGAGGATCTCATTCTTTTTATGGCTGAGTACTATTCCATTTTGTATCTAGACCAACTACATTTTCTTCATCCATTCCTCCATCCGTGGACACTTCCATTGATTCCATATCTTGGCTCTTGGGAGTAGTGCTGCAAAGAGCGTGTAAGGGCTGATGTTGTGAATTAAGTCTTTTTTGCTTGTTGGTTTGTTTGAGACAGGTTCTCACTATGTAACCTACGCTGGCCTTGAACTCTCAAACCTCCTGCTTCAACCTCCCAGATGCTGGGATTACAGGCACGCACTACCATGCCTAGAGTACTGGATTAAATCTTGATGAAGGTTGAAACTGCCCTTGACAAAGACACCAGTGTCCCTGTGGCTTTTGGAAGGGGTCTGTGGAGGGCTGTACCTGCTTGCTGACCTTTTATGTACCCTTGGAGACATAGTGGGGTTGGTGTAATAGTGAGTTCCCCAGCTGTGCCTTCAGGGGCTCCCCCCAGGCAGGACAGCCACTTGGGATACACAGGAGTGTCCCACGAGTGACCACTCCCTGGGATTCCCGGGTCTTGAGCCAGGTGGTGAGCAGGCGCAGACAGAGCCAGGGACTCTGGCTGGGGGTGCCTTAGAAGGCATTTCCAGACAGTGTCCATCATCCAGGGCCCATTGAGGGGGATGCTGGTGCGGTGACTCCAGCCCAGGACCATGTCACCTTCGCTCCACACGCTGGTGCCCAAGTCACACACACACAGAGGCACAGTGGGCACAGACTCGGGCCAAGGCTCTCAGGGGCACAATAGGACCCGGTGGCAGGCCAGGGTTGGGAGGTGAAGGAACCAGATCCCTGCGTATGGTAAGGGGCAAGAGTTTTCCTAAAACTATCCCTCTTTGTGTCCCTTACCACCCCAGTACTTGGGCAGCACCGGGCCAGTCTTGTGCACATTCCCTGCTGCCAGAACCAAGCATGAGTCACCACCCAAGAGCCGTGCCAGCCACCTCCTCCCAGTGTGTGTGGGTGGCAGGGGTTGCCCAGGGAGACTCTCAGCTGTAGCACAAGGGGTCACTCAGGCTGCAAGTTCTGACCAAGACACTTAGGTTGTCTGTGCCCTTGCTTGGCAGCCCCATCCAGCCCAGCCCCCTCTGCTTATGGCCTCTACCCACCATCCTCCTTTCCCGGTGAGCCAAGCGCTCACTCCAGCCACTAGGTAGCCCCTCCCCACAGACGCCTCTCCCACACAGTGCAGACCGACTTCTTCCTGGCATTCAGATTCCTGTGTTTGTTGTTGTTGTTTTATTGTTTGATTCGTTTTGTTTTTATGATACTGGGGATTGAATTTATGACCTCACACTTGTCAGGCCAGTACTTTACCACTTAAGCCATGCCCTCAGCCCCAGGTCCTCATTTGTCACCTCCTTAGCAAGGCTCTCTGTGCTACACCCTCCTCCCACACTCACACACCAGGGAAAGGTGGAGCAGGGAAGAAAGGGAGGAGGAAAATGAGGCACTCCTGCAGGCAGTGTCCCTAAGGTCAAAGGGCTCTGACTGGGGAGGGAGGCAGTAGGTCTGTGGGGCCACCTGCCCATAAGTGGCCCTGCCTGTGGGCCTCACTAAGTTGCTCCCTAGGATGTCCTTGGATAATCTCAGCTCTTTGGAATTCAGAGACAGGATCTTTGAGGCTCAGAAAGTCCCTTGGAGGTCACCAGGTCCTTCCAGGTTGGTGAGGAGCGGCACTTTTTCCCTTTCCTCCCTGCCCTGCTCCATCATGCCAGGCTGCCACCCCACAGGGGTCCTGTAAGGGAGGAGCCTGGAGGAGGTGGACAGGAGCAGCTGCAGGTCACATCCATGCGGGACCATGCTTGAAGGTGTCTTCTGCATGAGGACCCACGCTCCTCCCTGGCATACCCCAGCCGGTAAGCATGGTGTCCTGGGGGTACACATCAGAAATGTCTGATAGAGGAGACTCGGGGACGTGGGGACCATGCTGTATCCTTGGGTGGTTGATCTGGAGACCAGGTGTGATCTGTTTCCTTCCTGCAGAGCTGGCTGTGTGTGCAGGAGTGCACTGTATCCCCTGGTTATTGGCCAGCCTCCTCACCAGCCCCATCCTACCACCATTTTGCTCCCTACTCCCACCCCTAGCTTGCCCAGGGGACTGGCACGTGCCTTCCAGGCTGACCAACCAGCAAGGGACAGCCCTAGAGGCAGACATCCCTGTCACAACAGGCAAGTAGCTGTGACAGGGACACATATGCCTCTCATGTCCAGAGGAAGCTCTAGGGGGAAGCCTGAGTCCAGGTGAGTAAGGTAGCAGAGACAGGACGTGGTGAAGGAAGCCCCTGAATCAAGTGCCAAGTGCTCAGGGGCTGGGGTCCCTTAGCATGTGGGCCTGGGGTAGAGGGGATTTGTGAATCCAGGGGCCATGGGAGCTCTAGGACAGTGTGACCACTTGGCCAGAAGGGTGTCTTGGGACAGAGGCTGAGGTTCCCATTCAAAGGGGTTCTGCCTGTCCCTACCTCCTGCCTCCTTCTGCCCCCAGGAAGTGACTCAGGGATTCCCACTCACACCTGCACTGCTACCTGGGTCCCAGCCTGTGCTCCTACCTCCAGCAGTCATCTTACATAGCCACCCAGTCCCCAGGCTTCCCAGGAGATATGGATTGGGGAAGGAGAGAGGAAAAAGAGAGAGATTAAGAGCAGCACAGCCTGTCACCATGGAGGCACTGGCATTTGTGGCTGTGAGCTGGCATTTCTCCTTAACAGTCCAGGCAGGCACAGCCCTGCCTGTTGCCCTGGGATTGGGCTTCAGATCTGTCTGTGACCCTGGGACTGACCCTCGCTCTGCCCACAACTCTGAGCTGGAACCCCAGACCTGCCCATGATGCTGGTTTTCACCACCAGCCCTACTTATGACCCAAGACTCCCAGGTCCCAAGACCCTGGGGTTTACCCCATGCCTTACTCGACCCTGGCATTAGCTCCCAGTCCTACCAGTGACCCAGGACTCTGAGATGACCTGTTCAGATGTCCATTGAGCTAGAAATAGGACTGCTAAGGGAAATGGATTTGGGGGAGCCTGGAGTTCCCAGTCCTCAGTTTCCCTTTCTGAAAAGGGTTGAGAGCAATGTGCATCTCCCAGGGCTGCTGTGAACACCTGGTGACGTTCTGTATACACTGGATGTTTTGGGGCGTCCTTCTGGCCCTTGTGGAGACTGTGACTCATGGCACAGGAAGAAATGCACAGTGGGAAGACCGTCATCTTTATTGCTTCACAGATAAATAGATCATTCCAGTCCCAAGAGTCCCAGAAACCACCAAAGGACTCCCTGACAGGTGGCAGGCCCTGTGGCTCAGTCCTGGGGTTGATGGTGAGAAAGGGAGTGGAGGTACCAGGCTCTAACAGTGGGCTCTGCTCTGCCCTCAGCAGTCCACAGGCCAGCAGCGAGGACGACAGGCAGCTAAGAGCCCATGGAGAGCAAGTGGGAGGCCAGGGCTTGGCTGAGGGCCCCAACAGTGTAAAGAGGGAGCAATGTGGGGCTTGGAGGACAGGGTATGGGGTGAGTGGCAGAAAGTGTCTGCCCAAGAGGGAATGGGACTCACCAGGAGCCCCTGCTCCTGGCAGAGAGCAGAGAGAAGTCAAGAGTTCAGAACACAGGGGCTGAGACAGGGCACATACTAAGTTAGGCGATCCCCAGGGAGAAGAGGGCACCACCCAGGAACACCAACAGGCCAGAGAGCCAGGTCCCAGCAAGGCTGGGAGAGAAGTTGTTTTCTTCTATGTCTGTGTTCTCTATTGTGGTGGCAATCCACGAAGTATAGCAGCTGACATTGGTGTAAACACCCGGTCTCCTGGGCAGGGCACACTCAGACCCCCAACTCACCACCCCGGCCTGGACCCAGACGTCACCAATATCACAGACCAGGGGGCCTCCGGAATCACCCTGGGGAGAAAGAAGAGATCCAGAAGTGAGGTGGCTGCCCAGGCCCACTGTCCAGTTTACACTGCCCCTACCCCAGTCCCACCAACCTCTCTTCAGCATTCTCCTGCCCACAGCTAGCTAGTAGGTAGATGATCAAGGCCTTGAAGCTTCTGGAAGTTGGCAGGGGTGGGTGGTCTGGTAATGGGTGAAGGGAATCGCTGGCAGATGGGGCTACATAAGAAGTAAACGTCTGCTACAGCTGTGCATTTCAGGGAGGTGCTTGTCCGTGTGGCCAATACTGCTGTTTGTATTTTTTTTTAATTCTAGAATATCTCTTCTTTGAGGTAAAGCAATAGCAGGTGCTCAGCAGTTGGGGTGTTTATAAGAGCAGATGAGGAAAGACAGAACCAACCAAGCTCAGACAGGAACTGCTCATGAAAATACGGTCAAGACTCTCTCTGAGTGTTAGTTTTAAGGGGAAGAAAAAAAAAAATTCTAACCCCAAGGAAAAAGCTCTCAGGGTAGAGATAAGACCACAGTTGCAGAATTGCATATTCTGATTTTTTTCCTTTGATGATGCTGGGGATGGAGGAACTCTCGGTTTTCCTAATGCCTTGGCAAGCTGTCTACCCCTGTGCTCTGGGGAGCGGGGCGGAAGTGAACGCTTACGACCTCAGCTACTCAGGAGGCAGGGGCAGGGGGATCATGAGTTTGAGGCTATCCTGGAGAAATGGTGAGACCCTGTCTCAAAAACAAAATAAAAACAAAAGGGCTGAGGGCATCGCTTAAGTGGTAGAGCACTCGTCCAGCAAGGGTGAGACCCTCGGTTCCATACCTAGTAACCCCCCAAAAAAATAGGGAGACAGGATCTGGGAAAACATTGTTTTCTTTTTGAATAGACCCTTGTATATAGATGTAAAATATAAACAAACAAATAAGCCAGATGCTGGTGGCTTACATCTGTAATTCTAGCTACTTGGGAGGCTGAGATCAGGAGGATCACGGTTCAAGGCCAGCCCAGGTAAATAACTCAGAAAACACTCTCTCAAAACAAAAATACCCTGCCTGGCAGAGTGGCTCAAGTGATAGAGCACCTGCCTAGTAAGTGTGAGGCCCTGAGTTCAAACCCCAATACCACAAAAAAAAAAAAATGAAAGAAAAATGGACTAGAGGTGTGGCTCAAGCAATAGAACACCTGCTTTGCAAGCACGAAGCCCTGAGTTCAAACCCCAGTTCCACCAAAAACTAGTTAATTAACTAATAGATATCTTCCCTCTTGGAAGGGTGCTAGGGGTGACAGGAACGGGGACATCTGCACACTGCAGGAGCTGGGCATGGCTTCCTTACGTAGCAGGAGTCCTTCTGGCCGTTCTCGAAGCCGGCACACAGCATGTCCTCCAAAATGATGGTGTCCTGGCTGGAGACGGAATTCTCCTGGTAGTAGGTTTCACAGGTCTGGGTATCAAGGATTGGTTGCTCCACCTCCTTCAGGGTGAAGGGCGGAGGGAGAGCTGGGGTGGGGGAAAAGCAGAGCTGAGAGGGAGCACGGGCTGGTAGCCCCACAGGCCCAACTTGTACCCAGAGACGAGAGCTGTTTTTTCTGCTTCCTGGAGCTGGGAAACCCCAACTCTGCCAAGGTCGGCCCAGGGTGAGGCCACTGATTTATCTTAACATTCGTAAGCTACAGAGGCATGTTCCCTTCCTCTCCCAGGGGAGTGCTCACAGATGTGTGGTGGCTCCAGGGATCTCAGCCTCCCTCCCAGTGTACAGGCAGCTGAGTGAGAGGGACTCACAGTGGGCACCAGCCTACCTCTAGTTTTAGGACTCTGGACTGTGGTCAAGTCACACCCACCATATACCCCCAGCAGGTGGGCAATCTCACCTGCCAGAGGAAGAAACTAGGACCCAGTGAGCTCTTAGAGGCCACCAAGCCAAGACAAAGCCCTAGCAGGCATGGACTGTGAAAGCCAGGGTGGCAGAATGGATGTGGCCCAGGTTAGGTTGGCATCCCTGAGCCCTCGGTTGGGCCCGGCACTGTTCTTATGGTTAGTGGATTCTGGAAGGATGGGTGCGGGGCCAACCATGGCTAATGGTGAGCTGATGTGGCAATATTTCAAGGTGAACCCCCTGTGGTGGCCATCCTCCATGTGTGGGTTCCACATTGGTCCTGTATGAGGGTGGGGGCTGGGGCAGCTGGCCCTAGGGAGGGATATCAAGACTGTCCCTAAGCCAGGCACCAGTGGCTCACACCTGTAATCCTAGATACTTGGGAGGCTGAGATCAGAAGGACAGAGGCTCAAAGTCAGCCAGGCAAATAGTTTGCAAGACTCCATCTCCAAAATAACCAGAGCAAAATGGGCTGGAGGTGTGGCTTAAGCAGTAGAGGGCCTGCTTTGCAAGCGTGAAGCCCTGAGTTCAAACTGGAGTTCCACCAAACAACAACAACAACAACAAACATACAATACTGTTCTGTGCTGAGGCTCCCCCCTGCCCCACTTCCTCTGCCTTGCTCTTACTTCTGAGTGACCTTACCTGTATTTGAGTTGATGTACCCCCAGCCGGTGACCCAGCACAAGGTGCCAGGAACTAAGGGGTCTCCAGGTTTGGGGAGGCAGACTGGAAGGATGAGGTCACTGAAGGAGACAGATGAGGCCAACTGCACTAGTGCAATGTCACCACCACTGTGCTCCCCCTCTGAGTAGCTGCTGTGCTTGATGTACTGGGCCACGGCTCGAAACTCCCCAGCATCACTGGCTTCCGGGTAGGAGGAAATGGAACCCAGCAACACCATGTAGGCAGACAGGGGCTGGTTCCTGGGAGACAAGAGGACAGGGTGTCCTGTAAGCTGTGTTACAGTCCCATATGCAGGAGGAAAGGCAGTGTTTATGCAGGGGCCCTAAGATTACCACCAGGACTTTTAGAGAACAGAGCAGATGGCAACAATGCCAAGCACCCCCTTTATGGTCACTATTAAAGATCAGTACAGCCCTGAAAGTCTCGAATCATTTCCTCATTCCACAGGTGTGGAATACAACCAAGGAAGTCCTAAAGTCTGTCCAAAGGCCTCCTGTTCGGTGAGTAGTACAGTCAAGATTTTGGATTCACAAGGGATGTTCTGATATGGAAGAAATCAAAAGTTCCTGGAGAAAAGAGTAGGGCTAGACTGACCCCTTCCCCATCCTCCTCCGTCCCCCTGCCAGCACAGGAACAGGGGCCACTATGGACAAGTGAGACATCAGGAGGGCCTCATCTCCTGCCAAGGTGGGTTGAAGCAAGGGTGTTCAAATGAAGAAATAGCGGTGTTTAGAAGGGGCAGAGGGAGGTCCTGCTGGCTCCAGTGCGACATGAAACGTCGGGGGGACACTCACTGACTGAAACAGTGGGCGGCAGTCAGCACCCAGTCCTTGGCAATCAGGGAGCCCCCGCACACGTGCTGTCCAGACTCCCTCAGGCTGACCTGCCAAGGCCACTGGCCGAGCTGGGCATCCTGCCCTGACACAATGCGGGCTGATGCCCGTGGACGTCCACACACTGCAGAAAATAGGCAGAATGGGGTTAAACACGGCCCTCTGCCCTCCCCTAACCCCCTTGGACCTGCCCTCATTTACACAGCTGTTAGCTGTGTTCCACCTGAGGGCAGTGGGGGGTAGATGAGGCTCCAGCACTGGGTCCTCACAGCTTCTGTCCGAGTACAAGGCTACAAGGAGCTGGGATCAGACAGTGCTCTAGATCAGTCGTCAAACCCAGGGTCCATGGGTCCTCCTCCAGCTCCTGTCTCCCCCTCCTTGGATATCCTACCTGAATCCAGGTTTTTGCTGCTGTCACTGTGAGGGACCGAGCTGGGAGGGAGAGTTGGGGGACTGTCGCTCCCTAGAAGGGCTCCAGGAAGGACAGTGAGCAGGATGGCAGGGAGAGCCAAATCCATGATGCACCACGCCCTCAGTATTGCTGGCCTTAGGTCAGAGTTTCAAATACTCAAGGAAGAGGAAGGTGACTGCAGTTGTGGCGGGCTCTAAGGCTCGCCCTGGGGTGGAGCTGAGCCTCCACACCTGTCTTCTAGGCATGGGCAGGGCCTAAGGCCCCTATACTACTCCTGGACACAGGAGTCCTGGCCTCCTCAGGTCACACATGGTCAGGGTCCTTGACCAGATCCTTACTTTGCTTCCTTGGAATCACAACACTCACCATTTATTGGTGCTGGCCCAGTATACTGTGTGCCTGGCATTGCTCAAACGAGGGGACACAGTCCTCACCTGGCTCCCAGGGGCCACTAGGATCCCAGCTCACAGCAGAGGAGCTGAGACTCTGGGGTGGACTCTGGGATGGACTCTGGGGCACAGCCAGAAAATTTCACCTTCTCCCTGGAATCACACCACCCACAGCGCCCACCTTTTATTGGTGCTGGCCCAGTGTACTGTGTGCCTGGCATTATACCAACCAGGGCCACAACCCTCACTGTGCTCACAGAAGAGGAGCCGAGACTCTGGGGTGGAGGACCTGTCTGAGCCCCACAGGGACAAAGACAGGACATTCCACCTCCCCTGTGCTGAAGCACCAGCACCCCAGGTAGTGGAAGGGGAAGGATGGGGCTGGGTTGCAAACCCCAGGGCATGCTGGCAGGAATCCTGGCCAAGCACAGGTCCACTGGCCATTCATGTTCCAACCTGGGGCTCTGGGGGTATGAGGTGGGCCAGAACACCTGGGCAGGTGAGGTAAACACACTGTACAAGGTGTGAAGCAGCTGGAGGAGACTGGATCTCACCAGGAAAAGAAAGACCCTGTTGTGTGTCTAACCACAGACCAAGCACCCTGATGTCCAGTCACTGCCCCACAAAGGGCCAGCTGTGGGCCTGGCTGAGGGGATGAGGGGCCTCACAGAGATTGTGCAGGCTCAGGGAGCATCCAGACAGCCTGGGCACTGGGGCAGGAGGCATGCAGGAGCCCTCCTGATTCCTGTGTTCTTTCCACGTCTGCGTAAGTACCCATCCTATTTGCTGCCTTCCCCCAGCCTCCAGGCAACCCCCTCCCACGGGGCTTGCCTCTTGGGGCACGCTGACCTTCTGAGCCCCAAAATGCTCCACTGAAGCCAAAATCACGCCCACTGACTACTCTGATTTTGCTGCCTTTTCCCTGACTTGTGCTCACCCTCTTAACCTCCCTGTTGACGCGGGAAATGTGGATTGATGAGGATGTCGAGCACTCAGTGTATCTCCACACTCTGGTGTAGGGGGCATAAAAGGTGTGTCTTTTGGTGGAGCATAACTTCACCTTATTTTATTATGTTTATTTTTTGGCCTTCTGGGGTTTGAACTTGTGGCTTCGGATTTGCTAGCAGGCGCTTTACCACTCGAGCCACTCCACCAGCCCACCCATCATTAACTTTAAACCACGTAAAATACCCCTGTGTTTCAAACCTAAGGCCGCTAGCCCTGGATCCTGGCTTATCTGATGTTAAAATGCCTACATTGTTCATCCTCTGTGAAAATTTTCATCAATATATGTTCAATTTAAAATAAAAGGAAAGCCGGACATTGGTTGCTAACATCTGTAATCCTAGCTATTCAGGAGGCAGAGATCAGGAGGATCGCAATTCTTAACCAGCCACGGGCAAATAGTTCAAGAGACCTTATCTCAAAAACACCACCATAAAAAAGGCCTGGTGGAGTGGTTCAAGCAGTAAGAGCTCCTGCTTAGCAAGTGTGAAGCCCTGAGCTCACACCCCAGTGCCACCCACCCCCGCATAAAACGATGATAAATTAAAAAAAGAAAACGTTTAGAAAGAAATGACAAAACTACCTCTTCCCCCACTGAGGCTTACACTCACTGGCTATGTAGACTAGAATATTGCTGACATCTGAAGGAGAGTAAACTATTCCCGTTAACTCTCTATCTAGTTTACGGGTTGCAAAAGAACCTGAAGGTTCACGAGGCACATTTGACCCACAGAGACTCTTCCTCGTTTGTACCCAGCTGCCATGGTGCAGCACGCATAGACGATCAGAGCCAGCACCCGGCCGGCCCAGTCCATCTCTTTTGAAGACCACAGTCCTTACCATCCCACCACCATCCCCCCAGTGAGCTGCCCCACAGGACTCACCATCAGTCACCCTTCCCGTGCTCACAGGCAGCTGGCCACCCGCTGAGTGTGCTGTTGGGACGGTAACTATCCCACCCTGGCAAGGAGTTCACTGGGAAAGTCGAGGGCCCTCGAGTCCTCCTTCCCGGCACGCTCATCACAGCGCTTACTCCAGCCAATGTCACCTTAGAGTGTTCAGATAGACATGGCAGCCCAGGGGACTGAAGTCAGGGCCTCCGTTGCCGGACAAGTCCTCTACCACTCAAGTCACGCCCGGTCTGTGTTAGGGACAGTCAAAGCGCAGAAAATGCTCCTTCAACCTCAGACCTCACAGTCCACCACAGTTCCCAGGCTGCAGGCAGACACCTGGAGCCCATGGGGACAACACAACTCACCCCACTTCCTCACTGCTGCTCATGGGACCCGAGAGCCTGCCTTGCTCTTTGGCTCTTCACACTCCTTATTTGACTTCATTTTAACGTTGTTTATGGTGGAAAAATAGGGTTAGGGTTGGGGCTGGGGTTAGACGAGCGTAGCCGAGTCAAAGAGCACCAGCCCTGTCTCCGGCTTGAGCAATGGTCGATGTAGACAAATGCTGGCGTTCTCCATCCTCTCTGGTGCACTCACCTTTCCAAAGTTGAGCTCCAAATTCTGAGCTTTCACCTCACTTTCTCCTCAAGCTTAGCAATTCATTCTGTAGCTATGTGCATTTTAGTATTCAGCCCTTCTGCTAAAAACATTTCATTTCTGCAGTAATAGTTCTCATTTCTAAATGTTGTCTTTTCCCACATGATTCTCTTTTTTAAATTCTCTTGGTGGTACTGGGATTTGAACTCAGGACTTTCTACTTGCTAGGCAGGTGCTCTACCACTTGAGTCATTCCGTAGCCATTTTTCCCTTTAGTTATTTATTTTTGCCCAGGGACGGTGTCCTCCATGATCCTCCTACCTGTGGATTCCGCATAGCTTGTATTACAAGCGTACGCCCCCACACAGCTTGTTGGTTGAATGGAGTCTCACTAACTTTCTGGCTGGGCTGGCCTCAAACCACGATCCTCCCTGTCTCTGCCTCCCTAGTAGCTGGGATTACAGGTGTCAGCCACCACACCCAGCATTTTCCCCACATAATCCTTGTTTGATGCTTGCACACCCCTCTCAAGTCTTTCTAATAAATCTGAGATAGAAGTTCCCAGTTGTCTGCTGCTCCGTGAATCATCTCAGTTTCTGGGGTCAGAGTGGGTCATTCTAATAGCGCCTTCTGGTGCACGGTGGCTTCTCCTAGGGGTTCTCTTCATCTCTGGTTGTGCTGCACCAGGTTAACTGAGCAGGATCAGGATATGCACATCCAGCACAGTCCAAGAAAGCATGGGTCCTTGCCCAGCTCCAGGGAAATAACAGGAACCCTGGAGGTGTCCTCATGAAATCATCTCTGGTACCCTGGACGATCCTACCACTCCAGGTTGCACTCACAGTGTAATTGTGGTGGGCTCTTGGGACACACGTAATAGTGGACAGTCGGGGAACTGCAGTCTGGGTAGCTAAGGTCAGCCATGGGGAAACCTCATGCATCCCTGACCAAACCCCAGTAAACCCCTGACACCATGGCTGTGTGGCCTTTCCTGATGTCACTGCTTCCCGTGAGTAGTCACAGATGAACCCAAGGAGAGGTCAGCACTGTCCATTTGCCTCTACTGGGGGAGCACATCTGGCAGCTCATGCCTGATGGTGGCATGTGTCCTTCACTGTGCAAACCTTGACCTTGATCACCTGAATTCCTCTGGGTTCTGAGACCTCCTAATGAATCACTGACCTAAGGGCATTGTGCAGATGCCTGCCTGGCTGTCCACTGAGAGCTGGGATTGAAGAGCCAGGGTTACATCCCCATCTCCACAGGAAGGAGTGGATGGTGCCCATGCAGTAAATGTGGGGCATACTGCAGGCGGCGTAGGAGGCCCCAAGCCTGTCCATTGTCAGAACAGGTCCTGCTGTCATCTGTGCATCCAGCAATGGCCCATCACTCCTAGCAGCAGGTGAAACACTGCTAGGCTCCAAGCCTGCTGACCTGCTACTGGCCTTTCCTGGGGGCCGCTAGCCAAGGGCCAGGACTTTGGTCCTGAAGGAGGTCGTGGATGGAGGAAAGTGGGCAACAAGGGAGGCTCCAGACAAGAGGTGTGGGGGTTCACTGACCACTGGTCTACGAGGGGGGTTCGTGCAGGACAGAAAGCCAGGGCACTGATCCCCAGCCACCCTTGGGCCCAGGGAGGCCAGGCTGGGGGAAGTGGTGGGCCAGGGCTGTCACCATGCTGCCTGTCCTCCAGGGGGCGCCGGCGAGTCCTGGAGCAGCAGGAAGCAGAGGGGGCGCCAGGTGCAGGAGAGGCGGCCATGGGGGCGCGCGGCGGGACCCTTCTGCTGCTGCTGCTGCTGCTGCTGCTGCTGCTGGTGGCGGTGCTGGTGTCGTGCGTGAGACCCGAGAACCCGCGTGAGCTCAGGGGAGCTGCTGGCCAAGCGGGGGTGCTGGGAGGATGGGGAGCATGGAGGTTTGGGGGAGCTCACCTTCTCCTCTCCTCTCCCCCAGGACCCCAGGAAGAGAACCTGGCATCGGGTAAGGCACCGCGGACGCGCGTATCCGCGGGGCACCTGCGTAAGGGTGCGGAGGGCGCCTCATGTTTTCTTCTTGTCCGCTGCAGGTCCCAGGAACACCACGGTGCTGTCAAGTAACTGACGGGCCCTGGGGAGGGCCGGGGGTCTGGGGACCATGTGGAGAGGGTCCCAGCATCATCTGCGCCCTCTGGGACAATACCTTACCATGCACGAAGGGTCCCCTCCCCACAGCTCCTCCCATGGGTCCTGGGGTCGCCGTGGGCTTCTTCAGTAGCTCAGTCACTTGCCCGTCTGTCTGTCTGTCTGTCCATCCTAGGACAATGTGGCTACCGAGGTCTTATTCAGCCGCTGATAGTGGGTGGAGCGGAGTCGGTGCCCGGGCGCTGGCCTTGGCAGGCCAGCCTGCTCTTGATGAAGGTCCATCACTGTGGAGGGAGCCTGCTCAACCGCCAGTGGGTGCTCACAGCCGCACACTGCTTCCGAAAGTGAGCTGGGGTGAGAGGGGACCGGCAGTGACCTTGATCTCCACACCCTGCACTGGTTGCACCGTGCACATTGATGTTCTTTTGAGCGTCCAGCTGCTCTGCTGCTGGTCAGACTTTCCCTGGCTGCTCCTGGAGGGAAAACTTTTCAGATTCTTCCAGGGCCCTTTTCCAGAATATGTCATTGTTTTTGGTGTATTCTTGTTTCACCTGGCCTGGACAGCTCTCTCCAGAGCTTCTGTTTCAGTCCACCCTGTCCAGGACCCCACACAGGACACCTCATCTGCTCAGTCCAGTTTGGCCTACACAGGAGTGTCCCAGAGGACTGGCCTGGATTTCTGTGTCCTTAGACAGTTCTGGGAGTTGACAAGTCCACCTGGGTCAACCACTCTCCTGCTCCTCCCTGGTTGCGGACTTTGGTTGTGGCCTGTCTGGTGGTAATGGCGTCCAGGATGAGCAAGTATTAGCGACAGTCCCACTGTGTCACCTCAGGGAGGAGCACAGGTGTGCTCAGGAGGCCAGCCCTCCCCCCAGGGCCCTGACCACTCTCTCCTCACCTGCCAGGTCCCGTGATCCACGTAAGTGGACTGTCCAGCTTGGGGAGCTGACTTCCAAGCCAACTCGCTGGAACCTGCAGGCCTACCACAACCGGTACAGGGTGGAGGACATCATCTCGAACCCCCTAGCCAGAGGGGTGCTGAGTGACATCGCCCTGCTGAAGCTGGCCTCCTCTGTCACCTACAGCAGGAACATCCAGCCTGTCTGTGTCCTGTCTTCCACCTTCATGTTCCAGCACCGGCCGGACTGCTGGGTGACCGGCTGGGGGGCGCTCAGTGAGAATAAGAGTGAGGCTGGGGACCGATGGGGTGGCATGAGGTTGGGCCAGCCACTACCCTTATCCCCTGTTCCGGCCACACCTGGCCCAGCTACACTTGGCCCAGCAGCTCCTCCCTGGTCGCTGAGGCACTGTTGAGCCCTTTGCTGGCCTCCTCACCATTCTCTCATCTGCTTCTCTCCTCTTTTTTTTTTCTTTATTTTCCAAATAGGATCTCACTTTTTATTCCCCAGGCCAGCCTGGGTCACAATCATCCTATTTATGCTTCCTGCATAACTGGGATGACAGGCCTGCGCCACAGTGCCCAGCTTTTCATTGACCGAGTTTCATTGATCGAGAGTCATTGATTAATTGAGATGGGTCTCGCCAACTTTTTGTCTGGGCTGGCCTTGAATCTCCATCCTCCAGAAATACATCTCCTGAGTAGCTAGGACTAGCTACAATAGTGAGCCACTGCACCCAGCTTGCTGTTCTCTTTTGCTGGCACCTGCCAGGGCAGGAGTCAAACATTCAGTTGCCTTTCATTTTACACAAGGTGTGGCCAGAAACTGGAGATGTCAGAGAGGACAGCTAGACCAGGCCTGTGTTTCCTTGCAGAAAGTTGTGGCCATCGCCACTGTCTAACTGCAGAAAGTTCTCATCATCTCTGAAAAAGAAACACATACTCTTTAACCATCCCTCTCCATCCATCCATCACCCCAGGACACAGCCTCTGGCAACCGTGACCTGCTTCCTGTCTTGTGGATTTGCTACTCCAGACATTCCATATGAGGGAGTCACAGAGTGGGTGGCCTTTTGTGTCTAGCTGCTTTCACTTAATATACTGTCTTCAAGGATCATCCATATTGTGACACACGTCAAGACTGCATCCTTACTTACTCTATCACAACATTGGCCATGCATGGCCTCCACAGGCCCACACTCCCACCAAGACTTCACTCCTCACAGCCTCTCCCTCAAACCCCGACGAACTGTGGGCCCCACTTTCTCAGTCTGGATTTACCTTTTCTGTGTGTTTCCTAGAAATGAAATCACACAGTACACGGCTCTCCACGTGGCTTCTTTCATGTAACATCGTGTTTTCAAGATTCATCTACATTAGGGCATGTTGCAATGTCATTCCTTTTTATAGACGACTCTCCTACTTGGAGCTCAGTTTGCTGATCCACTCATGCACTGATGAACACCTGGGTGGATCGATCTGTTGGCTATTGTGAATAGAGAGGCTATGAACAATAATAGTACATGAGGGTTTTTCTGGACACCTCTTGTCAGGTGTTTAGGTATATATTTAAGAGTGCAGCTGCTGGATCATCTGGAGTGTCTGTGTTGATCTTCCGTGAGACACCAACAGTGTTCTAACGCACCTGCACGATTGCAGCAGTAAGTTTTATTTCCCATTTTTTTTTTGAGCCAAGAGGTTGCTCTGTAGCCCATGCTGATCTCAAATTCATGATTCTTTTACTTAAGCCTCTGGAGTGCTGGATTACAGCCATAGGCCCCCACACCATCTCTCTTTTCACTTTCTTTTAGTTTGAACTCAGGGCCTCACGCTTGCTAGGCAGGCACTGTACCATTTGAACCACTCTGCTCGCTCTCTTTTCACTTTCTTGATAGTGTGTCTCAACTGCAAAACTTTTTGCTATTAATGAAATCCAAATTATTTATTTCTTCCCTTGTTGCTTGTACTTTTGGTGTCATGTCTAAGAAAACTTGCCAGCTCTGGAGTCCCTAAGATTTGTCCCTATGTTTTCCTGAAAAGTTTTTGAGTTTTATCTCTTACACATATTTCTGATCCACTTTGAGCTGAGTTTTGTATATATTGCAGCTTTATTCTTTGGATATCCAGTTATCTAAGCACCCTTTGTTGAAGGAGGTTTCTGCACCATAAAATTGTCTTGGAACCTTGTGAAAAACCAATTGTCCATAGATGTCTGTGTCCATCCCATTATCTGCATGTCTGTCCTTATGCCAGGGCCACCTGGTTTGATTGCAGTGTGTTTTAAAACCAGGAAGTGATTTGTTCTACTTTTTCAATATTATTTTAGTTCCTTAGGGTCCCTGGATATTCCACAGAATCTGTAGGTCGTTTCAGGGAGTGTGTGTCCATTTTTTTTTTTTTTTTTGGTGGAACTAAGGGTTGAATTCACCCTCATGGGCGCCAGGCAGACCCTCCACTGCTTGAGTCACACCCTGAGCACTTTTTGCTCTGGCTATTTTTGAGATAGGGTCTCACTTCATGCCCCATTTACCTTGGACTGCAGTCCTCCTATTTACACCCCTATGTAGCTGGGATGACAGGTTTGCACCACCGCCAGCTTTTATTAAAGATTCAGTCTTGAGAACTTCTTTGCCTGGTCTTGTCTTGAACAGTGTCGTTCTGATGAATTCCTCTGGAGTAGTTAGGGTTACAGGCGTGAGTCACTGTATCTGGCCCACAGATGAATTTTGGGTGTTGATTTAGCTTGCTGCAGCTGCTGCCTTGCTTATTCCAGCAGGCGTGTGTGTGTGTGTGTGTGTGTGTGTGTGTGTGTGCGCGCGCGGGAGCGTGCACTCTTTAGCTACCTCTCCACATATGATCATATCATCTGGGGATGTAGGTAATTTGTATTTCTTTCTTTCCAATTTGGGTACCCATCATTTCTCTTTCTTGCCTAATTGCTCTGTAGGAACTTCCAGTACCGTGTTGACAGCAGAGGTGAACACAGGCGGCCTTGCCTTGTTCCTGATCTTAAGGGAAAGCTTTTAGCGTGTCACCATTGAGCAAGAGTGTAGCTCTGGGCTGTTCATGTGTGGCCTTTATTATCCGTTCCTGGTTTGCTGGCCCGTTTTTCTTTTATCGTGAAAAGGTATTGAGTTTTGTTTTTCTGATGGCAAAGTGTGTTGAATTCTGTGCAGTGCTTTTTCTGCATCAACTGAGATGATCTGTGTTTATTTTCTTCATTCTGTTCATGCGTGTGCCACACTGACTGTCAAATGTGGAACCATCCTGCCCGCCTGGGATGAGCTATGCCTGGTTGCAGAATGTAGTCCCTTTAATATGCGGATGGACACAGTTTGCTGGCATTTTGCTGAAGGTTTTTGCATGTGTCCTCGGGAGGGGCATTGGCTTCCAGTTTTCTTTTTGGTTGCTGTGTCTTTGTTTGACTTTTGACTCAGGGTCACTCTGCCCTCAGAATGAGTCCGAGATGTTTTCTTCTGTTCTCTTTTTAGGAAGAACTCAAGAAGAATTGGTATTAGTTTTTTGTCAAATCTCAGAATTCACCAGGGAAGTGCTCTGATTCTGAGTTTCCTTTGTTGGGAGATCTTTGATTACTGATTCGAGATCTCTTTTTTTTTTTTTTTAATGTTTTTGAGACTGGGGTTTGAACTCAGGGCTTCACGGTTCACAAAGCGGGTGCTCTACCATTTGAACCACACCTCCAGTCTTCTTAATTTAGTGTAGGTCTTTTCAAATTTTCTATTTCTTCTGAGTCCATTTGGTGGTGTGTGAGTCACTTGGAACTTTTCCATATCATCTAGGTTATCTGCTTTTTGGTATACAATTGTGCTAGTGTTTCATTGTCTTCCTTTTTGTTTCTTGGGTTGTTTTGGTTTTTTTAATTCATTTGTTTTTTGGTTGGTGGTATTGGGTTTGAACTGAGGGCGTAGCTTGCCAGGCAGGCTCTCTACACTTGAGTCACACCCCGGTCCTCTCTGTCTCTAAAGGTCAGTAGTCACGTCCCCACTTTCATCCTCACACGGGCTGATCTTTCAAAAAACCAACTTTTAATTTTATTGGCTTTCTCTAGGCTTATTCTCTTTAGAGTACTTTTCCCTGTTCTTTTTCTTATTATTTCCTTCTCTGCTGGCTTGGGGCTGAGTTTGTTCTTCTTTTTCTAGTTTCCTAAGATGTAAAATGAGGACATTGATTGAAGATTTCCACCTTTATTAATGTAGGAATTGACAGTTACCAGTTTCTTCCTCAAACTGCTTTCACTGCCTCCCCTAAGTTTGGGTCTGTGGGATGTTCATTTTTAGTCATCTCCAAGTATTTTCTACTTGTCTTTGTGATTTCTTCTCATTTAAGAATCCATCAGCCAGGCACTGGTGGCTCACACCTGAAATCCCAGCTACTCAGAAGGCAGAGAGCAGGAAGATTGAGGTTCGAAGCCAGCCCAGGCAAATGGTTCTTGAGACCCTAAAACCCATCACAAAAAAGGTCTGGGGGCGGGAGGCTCAAGGGGTAGGCCCTGAGTTCAAACCCCAGTATTGCAAAAAACAAAAAAGAATCTGTTGCGTAATTTACAAATATTTGTGAGGCTTTTTTCTAGTCTTCTTTCTCTTTGTGATTTCTAGTCATCCTCCATTGTGGTCAATGAAGACATTTATATGATATCAATGTCCCTCATTTACTCTGACTTGTTTTGTGACCTGACATACATCGTATTCTGAAGACCGTGCAGGAGAATGTATATTTGGCTATCGTTTAAGTGGACGGTTCTGAATTTGTCTGTGAGGTGTACTTGATTTATTTGGAGCATTCGATCCATTTGCTTTAGAAGTTATTACTGATTAGGAAAAAATAACCAGAGCAAAATGGAGCAGAGGTGTGGCTCAAGTGGTAGAGTGTTGCTTTGCAAGCGAGAAGCCCTGAGTTCAAACCCCAGTCCCACCCCCCAAAAAAGAATAAATAATCCAAAAAACTCTACAGACACTATAATAGCCAAGCATGGATGCCTGTAATCCCAGCAGTGAGCAGTATGGAGAACCAGAGGCCAGTTTGAGCTGCACAACCAGACCTTGTTCAGAGAGAGAGAGAGTCCAAAACTCCAATACAACTGGCTTTTACATTTACCTGTGCAGTGACCTTTACCAGAGCTCCTTGTTTCTTTGTATGACTGAGTTACTGTCTGGCATCTTACGTCTCAGCCCGAAGGACCCCCTTTTCCATTTTCTGCAGGACTCATCTACTAGTGATGACCCTCCCAGCTCCTCATTTCTCATTCATTTGTCAAGGAAACTTTGCTATGATATAGAATTCTTGTGTGACTTGTTTTCCCGTTGGCTTTACACAAATGTTTCCCTGCTTTCTGGCCTCCCTGGTTTCTGAAGAGAAGCTGGCTGTTGATCTTGCTGGAGGTCCCTTGAACTCATGACTCGCTTCTCTCTCTTGCTGCTTGCCATTTTCTAACTTTGCCTTCCATGGTTGATTACAACGTGCTCAGTGTTGTGTGTTTGTCCTCCTTGGAATTTTTTCAACTTCCTGAATCTCTAGTTTGTCTTTCATCAAAGTTTGGAATTTTTGTCCTGGACCCCGCAACCCCAAACCACCTCTTAGTGTCTCCCCTAGTGTGCTTTGGCTAAGGCATCTCTCCACGGGTGCACTCGGACCTCCACCTCATCGTACATGTAGGGAAACCAAGTCTCGGGCACTGCAACACCTGTGTACTGTTTGGTCCTTCTGTGATATCACACCTCATCCACAATGATCACCAGGGACATCGCCACCACCGCCAGGTGTGTCTCCCCTCCTTCTCCTGCCCAGAGGGTAGAGGAAAAACTAATATGTGTTCTGTCTCTGTCCTACCCTCAGAACCTTTGCCACCACCTTACCTCCTCCGGGAAGTGCAGGTCGCCATCCTAAACACCACCAGGTGCAGGGACCTGTTCAGGATACCCTCTCCACTCAGTGTAATCAATAACGACACGATTTGCGCTGGTTCTGAGGATGGCAGCGTAGACACCTGCAGTGTGAGTGTTCCCATCCCACCAGGAAGCCCCCCTCCAACTCAGGGCCTGTGAGCAGTCTCTATGTCCCCCCGCAACCCACCTTAGGGCTCATTCATGAGAAGTCAGTTGCAGTCCTTAATTATCCAGTCCATAAAACAGACTTCTCATTTTCCATTAATGGTGCCTCCTCGACCATCCCTGCAGCCCCAGGAGGTGGAGACAGTGGCCCCACTTTGCAGATACGGAAGCTGAGGGTCAGATTGCTACCCGGAGTGGGGGAGGTGTAGAATTCACACCCAGTCTGCCAGCTCCTGTCCCCCTGCCTCTCTACTAGCCCCACCTGTCCCATCCCGGGCCTAGCTCACTCAGCTGCTTCCTAGGGTGACTCAGGTGGACCCTTGGTCTGTGACCTGAATGGACTATGGTATCAGATTGGAGTCACAAGCTGGGGAGAGGGCTGTGGTCGACCCAACCGGCCTGGCATCTACACCAACGTCAGTCAGCACTTCAACTGGATCCAAATGACGATCCCCAGTGGCACTCCAAGGCCTGACCCCTCCCCACGGCTGCTATTGCTTGCTCTGCCCTTGGCTCTCTGGCTCCTGAGGCCAGTCTGAGCCCACCTGAGCCCATGAAGGTATAGCCTAGATCAGAATGCTGTTGCACTCCCCCATCCATGGACACATTCAGGATTGTCACCTAGACTCTGTCCACTTTTGTCACTTGCGCTAATAAAACGTTAGTGTCCAAATTGATGCTTTGCAGAACTTTATGGGGACCCTGGTGGCTTCCTGGATACCTCCTTCTGTTCCCCCAACCCTGGACCCCACCCTAACTCCTATACGTTGTCTAGGTTTTGCTTTTGGACAGCTGAATCCTCTGGTTAATTCAATCTGAAAAAGAATTTATGGAAGGATAGTTGTAGCTCCAGGGTGTCTGGGGGTGCAGCACCTTCTGATCAACAACCCCCATCCCAGTGTGCCTTGTCACGCAAGTGCCACCTGCTCTTGGTCTTACCATTTATCTCACAAGCTGACCCAAGACCAGGACATGGCCACAGGTAATTCATTTGGGAGGTGAGCTGAGGCACAGGTGAGGAAGTGGTGGTTCTTTTACCACAACTATTAAAGAATGAGGCTGAAGGGGAGGTGACTTTTGCCACAGTGTATGCCTCAATATAGGGACTAAGCCAGAGAGTAGGTTGGCAGCTCTCTTCTGCTTCTCCTGAAGTTCAAATCTCCATTATTCAAACTTTCACACACTTATGCAGATGTTTCCCCTAAAACAAGCCAATTTCTTAGCAAGAACCCGTTTTCTTGGTCCACGTGCTCATGTTTCCCCATGTCCTGCAGCCCTGCCCCTGAATCTCCAACTGCAGCTCTGGGCTCTTCTGCCAAATGGGTGCCTATCCTTTCAACCTTCCTGCCTGCTCCCCTCCCAAGGTTTGGATGGGTGACTGTGTGTTCTGAGAGTCGCTTAACGGCCTCATTCCCACTAGTCCTTCCAGCCTTGCAGCTGCCCTCAACCCCACACCACTGGCCCTACCTCCACAAAGCCTTCCAAGGGCAACTGTGGGGTAGCAAAAGATCTGGGTGACAAGGGAGAACACAAGCCATGTTCCAAGCTCTCAAGGTTCACCCAAATAATCTTCAGAACCACCTATGGCACTGGACATCCAGCTGAGAAAAGTCAGGACATGGCGTCGAATAACTGCCAAGGGAGCCACATGACAAAACTCCAGAGAGCAGCTCTCTTCTCTCCCCTGTGTCTCCCCACCCCACCAGGCCAATCTGCCACTGAGTTACACCCCCAGCCCACGTACATGTCTTCAGCGTGGTCCTGGACTAGGGACAACAGAGGTCAAGCCGGAAACTCCCTCCCTCCACCCTCAGCCAAATGCTGGCTCTCAGTTACGCCTCTCAGGCTCACCCCAATCTGCCCTGCTCAGGGAGTTCCCTCAGTCCTCAGTCCTCAGTGCCAGCCCTGCATTGGGAACTCTTCTGCCCGTAAGAGTCCATCATGAACTGAATGTAGGTGTTCCTTCCAAAATTCCTCCTGAAGCCCTGTATTAGTAAGCTTTTCATTGCTATAACAAAAAATACCAGAGGAGGGCTAATTTTACAAAGAAAAGTTCATTCGGCTCACAGTTTTGCAGGCCCTGCACTGGCATCAGTGCACTTCTGCCTTCTTGCTGACAGAGTCCTGAGGCGGAACATGGCATCATATATGTGGCTCCCTCCCTCTCCTTTTAAAGCCAAGATCCAATCATGAGCTCTGCCCTAATGGCCTATCTAATCATCACTTCCCAAAAGCCCCCCCTCTAAAACCACAGTGGGGTTAAGTTTCCACTGTCTTAATACCATTAATACAGACTTTAGGGATTAAACTCTTTTTTTTTTTTTCAGTACTGGAATTTGAACTCAGGGCCTCACTCTTGCTAGGCAGGTGCTCTACTGCTTGGACCACAACACCAGCCCTGTTTTGTGTTGGGTATTTTTGAGATAGGGTCTTGTGAATTTTTGGCTGGGCTGGCTTTGAACCACAATCCTCTCAAGTAGCTAGGATTACAGGCATGAGTCACTGGTACCTGGCAATTAAACTCTCATGAGTTTGGGGCAGGAGGACAACCATATTCAGTGACTGTCTCGTTCAGGGTAAATAAAATCAGTCATAAGAGTGTGGCTAAGATCCCACAGGATCAGTGTTCTTAAAAGAGGAGACAAGACCTCAGTCCCTCTCTCTCCCTCTCCTTCTGCACGCAGAGGTCGGTACAGTCAGGTAGAGGTCACATATCAGGCCTCAGAGTGAAACCGACCTTTCTGGCACCTTGATCTTAAACTTCCCAGCCCTCAGAACCTTGAGAAGTAAATTTCTGTTTAAGCTGCCCAGCCTGAGGCATTTTGTCCATGGCAGCCCAAACTGAGCAATACAGGAGCAAGAGACACAGACCCTGCCTCATGGGGCAGAGAGGAGACAAACGGATGCAAATCAATCCCTCTCCAGTGAATGAATCAGAACCTGGACATGGTGTGGGCAAGTGGGCACCCCAAGCAGGAAGCAATGCAGCAAGGGCCGAGGGACAGGGAGGAGCTGACCAGGCAGAGAAGGGCTGCAGAGCCTGCCAGACAGCAAGCACTGTGTGCAAACCTAAGAGAACTCACAGGCCCTGGGCAGCTCCTGGTCCCAGCCCTCCACTGGCCTTAAGGAAAGAGCAGTCACCTCCCCCTGTCCCCAACATCTCCTGGCCTCACCCCATACCAGGAGCCTTTCTCTGTTCTGGCCACCCCAAATAAAGTATTGTTTCTTAGGGTCATGGCCGTTCCCGCTGCTGCTCAAGTCGAGGGTGCTGCTGACTTTAAACCAATCATCCCCACTCTTAGCTCATGCTGACCTGGGATCCAGGAGGGACTAGGCAGGCTGGGGTCTGAGGCCCAGGTCTGGGGTCTGGGCTCTGTTTGGGGCCAGCTGGTCCAGGTAAGCTGGGATTACCGGACCGAACAATACCGCTCAGAAGCTCAGTGACTGAGCACCGGAAGCAGGATCAGGTTCAGAGATGAGCTGCCAGAGATCTCCTGAGCTTCCCCAGCCTGACCACAGCCCCCTCTCCCTGCCCCCGCTTCTCAGCACCTGGTGTCCTTTTCCTGCCACCTCTAAAGTACTGCTCAAAGCATCTTTGTTTGAGGTTGGTCAGGTGAAGCCACAGCCCCGCCTTGGCCCTGTTAAAATCGCCTGGCTAGGCTCCTCTGCCCTTTAAGCCCCCAGGTCCTCCCCTGGCCCTCAGTAGAGAGGGCACCAGACCGTGAGGGTGAGATCACAGTCCAGGGGCTGCCAGAGCTGGACAGAGGCAGCTGTTGGGTAAAGGAAATGGAGAATGGAGGCAAAAGGATGAGACTCTAGGGCTGCCTTTGAGGCCTAGAAGGCCCAAATCTCAGGCAGAGGAAGGAGGGCTGCATTCCAGGGCCCGTGCAGAGGAAAGGATGTATCGCCTGGGTGGCAGGGACAGGAACTGAGGGCAGGGAGAAGGACCATGGAGCTGGGGAGAGGATGGGGCATGGCCCAGAGCTAAGATACGATTCTCTACTCCCCACTGGCTCCAGATCAGAGTCCAAGCCCTGGGCAGTGCTTCCTTTACCCAGCTCATCCCGCGAGCTAGAATGAGGGGGACTTTCCGTCTCTGGGTCCTGCTCCTGCTTGTACTAGGTGAGTTAGGGCAAGGGTTAGGGACGCTGGCCTTAGGGACCCCGGCTCCAGGTTGCCCACCTCACCCTTCTCCAGGTTTTGTGGCCCTAGAGCACCCTGGAATAATTCAATCTTAATTCCAAGGAACTGAGTCCTCTTTGCCATTGACTTTGAACTCTCCAAGCCCCAGTGTGCTGTGTATAGAGCCTAAGTCTCACCTGCCATCCACAGGGCTCTAGGAAGGGTTAAATCAGGTTGACCAATGGCACAGAATCCTGCAGTGAGGTCAGTGGAACAAATATGTTCCACCTCCTTCTTAATATCTGACACACGCCCCCACCCTGCCCCGTTATCTGACACCAAGTCCCTAATCCAGTTCCTTCTCCCCTTCCTCCTGCAGCAGCTGCTAGGATGAAGTCCTCGGCAGGTAAGGAAGTCTCAAAGCCAGCCCCTCATGGGCCCTGGCCCTGTCTCCCCACCTCCACCTGCCTCCCAGGCTCCTGATTCTGGGCCAACGCTTGTCCTCTCACAGCCTGCGGGCAGCCCCGTGTGTCCAGCCGGATCGTGGGGGGCCACGATGCCAGGGATGGAGAGTGGCCATGGCAGGCAAGCATCCAGCACCGTGGGGCCCACGTGTGCGGAGGGTCACTTGTTGCGCCCCAGTGGGTGCTCACAGCAGCGCACTGCTTCCCCAGGTCAGCTTCCCCACCAGGAGCTCACTTGGGCCGCAGAGAAAGCAAGGCCGGAGAGGTGCAGGGGTGCTGCCTGGAGGGAAGGCAGAGGCGGGGCCAGCTCCCAGTGGGCTGGGCGACTGGGCCCCCCGCCCTCCCCAAGGTCGAGGTCCAGGTGATGTCAGTAGCCCCCACACCTGTTGTGCAGATGGTCACTGCCATCCGAGTACCACGTGCGCCTGGGGGCACTGCGCTTGGGCCTCATGTCACCCCATGCACTCTTGGCACCTGTGTGGCGGGTGATGCTGCCCCTGGACTACGCTGAGGATAAGGCCCAGGGTGACCTGGCATTGCTGCAGCTTCGCCGTCCTGTGCCACTGAGTGCCCGCGTCCAACCTGTCTGCCTGCCTGCACCTGGCTTCTACGCATCACCCGGCTCACAGTGCTGGGTCACTGGCTGGGGCAGCCTTCGCCCAGGAGGTAAGGCATGGAGGCACTGCGGGAGCCCCCTTGTGTATCTGTGTGGGAACCCCAACCCTTACAGCCTCAATCCAAGACCCAGGGCCACTTTTAAGGGCCCAGTCAGACTCAGGGAGTCCCAGCCTGGCAATTTGGACTCAGGCTCACTGAGGATGCCCTGGCCACTCCCACTGCACCTTGCTTCATGCCTTGCTCTCAGAAGTCTCTCCTCTTCTTCCAGTGCCACTCCCAAAGTGGCGACCCTTGCAGGGAGTAAGGGTGCCACTGCTGGACTCACGAGACTGTGACCGCCTCTACCACGTGGGCACTGATGTGCCCCAGGCTGAGCACATAGTGCAGCCAGGGAACCTGTGTGCTGGCTACCTCGAAGGCCACAAGGATGCCTGCCAGGTGTGTCTGTTGTCCCCCGCCACTGCTGTCCTCTGGAATTCACACTTGGAATTCCTTACCTCCCTAGAACCCAGGACCCAGCGGATTAAACCTCCAGGCTGTGGTCCCAGCCCTCCACCCAGTGGCACAACCCCAGGGAACCGGACCTGAGAGAGCTGCTCAGAAGTTTTGAACAGACTGGGACCTAAGATCACCTTTCTCCTGCAGGGTGACTCTGGGGGACCCCTGACCTGCGTGCGATCTGGGCGCTGGGTCCTGGTGGGCGTGGTGAGCTGGGGTAAGGGCTGTGCCCTGCCCAACCGTCCAGGTGTCTATACCAACGTAGCCAAGTACAGCCCCTGGATCCAGGCTCGCCTCAGCTTCTAATGCTGTCCTAGACCCTGACACTTTGGCCCCTCAGCCTTCTGGCCTACCTAGGAACCTGCCCTTCTGACCCGATGCTGGATGCTACTCATCTGTCCATCTCCTTGCCTCCTCTCCTCCATGGGGCTCGTTGACTCTGACTCCACCAACTGTCATTGAGGGATCTTTTGTGTGTTCCAGTGCTGGCATTTCCTCCCTCCCTTCCTGGCTTGTATTTAGCCTCCTTAGTTCTGGCCTGGAATGGGCACGGGGCACCCCAAGATGGGTCATCAGCTGATGGATGGCCCATCTAATGTGTGTGCCTCTCACTTCCTGGAGGAAACCAGTCACATACCAGGATGAGAGGGATTCAAGACCAGGGAGAGTCTCCATTGCTGGCACTGTGTGCAGCCATGAGCAGCTGATAGCTGGCTGACAACCAGCAAAGACCAGGAGCCTCAGACCTATAGCCACCAGGAACCCAGCTCTGCCAGCACCCTGGAGACTCGGAATCAAATTCTCCCTTAGCCTCCAGAGAAGAGCTTTGCCTGGTCAATCCCTTGACTTTAGCCAGCTGAGACTGCCCCCCACTAAGATTTTTGGCCCAACAGTTAATAAAGTTGTGTTGTTTTAAGCTGCTATTGTTACACAGACAGCTGCAAAACTAATATAGAACTGATGGTGGTAGTGCACACCTGTAATCCCAGCACCAGGGAGCTTCTTTCACTCCCTTTTCTTTCTTCCCTCCCCTGTGAAGCCAGTGGACTGCACCAGATGGTCACTGCTGGGTCAGGTCAGGTTGTGCAGGGGTGGAACTCAAAGCTGCTTCCCCTGTCCTGGGGCTGAGAGCAGTCCACTCTTTGCGGGGTCATCAGGGAGTAAGGTGTCCTGATAGGGCACGGCCGTGGTAGGTTAGTCTGCAGAAGGCTGTTGGCACACCTGTGGCAGGACCCTGGTGGCCCTGCTGGGTGATGCCAGTTGCTCACTGCTTCATTTTGTGAGTTCATCCCACACCCTTCATCTCTCTCCCAGCCTGGGGCTAGCCAACTGACCTTCCTTCAGGAAGCCTCCCCAAAGGGCAGCACATGAGACGACATCAAGACAGGAGCAAGTCAGGGGTCTGCTGTGATTGGAGTAATGGGTCCCCATCCAGAGGGCCCAATATTTCTGAGGTGTAGCCAGGCAGCCAAGGAGGGCTCCCCAGAAGCTAGAGGGGAAGCACAGCTGGGCAGGGAGGGGGAAGCCCAGTTAATGAGAAAAAAATCACTCTTCCTGTCACACCTTTAGTGGACACCTTGGGGGAGGGGAGACAGAAGGGGCTTTACTTACCCAGGATCTGTGAGGCAGGCTCCCTATTTGTCAGCTGAGAAAAATGAGGTCCAACGTCACAGCTGAGGCTACACACAACTCGCATGATAGTAGACCGAAACTCATACTCTGCAGTGGCCCTGTCCGCTCAGCCCCTTCCTGGGGCCACAGCGTATGGTGCTGGTAAAGTGTCAGCTCTTCTCAGCTCTGTGCTGCTCTCCCATCTGCCAGTAAGGCCCAGCTTAAAGGGGTCACCTGCCCTGCTGAAGCTGGAGGTGCCCATGGACTACCTTAGCCACATTCTGCCCTCTGACCTGGTCACAGCCTTAACCCCTTCCCTGTGAACCTGACTTACCAGGTGAGAATCTGGGAGACTGTAGTGGTGGAGGTTGTGGTGGGGGGTTTGCACTGAGGCCCAGTGAGGGAAGTCACATGAAGGGAAGGGACTTCAGGGGCTCCTAAGGAACCAGAGGATGCTAGAGAAACGTGAACTTAGGAAAGAGGTAATGAGTGCTAATGCATGGTGAGGCTCTATATGCTTTATAGACTGTCACTGTTAGAGAGGAGGAAACCAGATCTGACCCAGGTTAACTGCCCAAAGCTGCAGGGTTAGTTACAGAGCAAGAATCTGAGCCCAGGGCTGGAGGCATGGTTCTATTGGTACAGCCCCTGCTTAGCCAGAGCAAAGTCCTGAGTTCAAACTCCAGGACCAGCCAGGCAGGAGGCTGAGATCAGGAAGGTCGAGATTCGAGGCCAGCCCAGGAAAAAATTGAGAATTTATCAAATTGAGAACCTATCTCAAAAACACCCAGCACACATGGATGGGGAGGGAAAGGGTGTGGGGTTGGTGGGGACCTGGTGGAGAGGCTCAAGAGCCCCTGCCTAACAAGCATGAGGCCCTGAGTTCAAACCACAGTTTAAAAAAAAAAAAATCTGAGTCCAGAGCCTGTTTGGTCACCAAGTTGATACAGTGCCAGGACAGCAGCACCTTTTTAAGAGAACACAACGGGTTCACCCCTTTGGTGAATGCAAAACCAATAAACCCAACCAGGAGTAAAAGATTGAAGGAAGGTGCTTCAGCAATAGGAACAGCATCTGGGACCCTTACCCTCAGTGTCTCTCTGAACAAAGGAAGAAAGGGAGTTTTACTGGGGAGACTTATCCACGTTCCCACTGCAGACTTGTCATCACGTGTAGAGGTGGGTGCATTCCTGCACGAGCAGTCTGAGTTCATACTTCATACACTGCATTTAAAAGAATTCCTATGTGGTTGGGGGTGTGGCTCAAGTGGTAAAGCGCCCGTCTAGCAAGTGCAAGGCCCTGAGTTCAAACCCCAGTACTGCCAAAAAATAAGTGGAAATGTCAGATGGGAATGCCTCAGGACAGAGAATTTATTACAGTGAGATAGATTACAATGAGCAAAGTGCACTACAGAATCCCTGGGTAGTTTTCACTGGATTAAACCAGATTTTTACTAGATTAATCTGGTACCATGTGTTCCCCCCTCTGGAGGGCCTAATCTAAAAACAAAACAAAACAAAATCCAACTCGAAGGGATGTAGCATCTTATTCTTCCTACTTCCCTGCAAGCACAGGTGCTTAACTGAATTTCTGCCACTAAGCAAGTAGTTAAGACTCTGGCCACTCTTAACTACTGTCAAACTGCAGCCTCAAGCTGGGAGACTGTGGCTCACGCCTGTAATCCTAGCTACTTGGGAGGCTGAGATTGGGAGGATTGAAGTTCAAGTCCAGCCCAATGCCTGTGGTGTAACTGAAATTTGGGAGGATGCAAATCAGTGTCCAAGGGGCTGTTTGGAAGAAACAGCCAGCCTAGGAAATCAAGTCAGCAGGCCTTTCCAAGGCACACCTGCACCTAGGCAGACACGGTTGAGTCCTGGGTGGAGGAGGCACCACCCCAACCTCTGCCCGGCCTCTTCTATCTCATGAACCGCTCCCAGACCACTCCCTAAGCCCAACAGGCTTCGTAGGTCCTTACAGGCCACAAAGCCTTCTTGAACGGGATTCAGCAACTTTGAAGAAGGAACCATTCTTCCACTACAGTGGCCAGAAGGTTCGAATCGTATGCCCTCCCCGAATGGGCGCCTGGGAAGCCTCGAAAGGGTGAGCCGGGTCCTTCAATGTGGCAGACCAGTGTCATAGACTTGGATGCCATGGGTTGGTAAAAGAATTTACCAAGACAGAGTAGAGAAAGCAAAGATGTATTAGGATGCCATTGAAAGGGGACAGAATGGTGGGCCGAGGCAGAATTTGAGTAAGTTTTATACATCAGGTTAAGACATTTTCAATTGGCTATCTCCATTTTTGTGGAACTTCTGATTAGCTGTCTCTTTCTGGGATCACGGTTTGAATTTCTCTGAACAGAACCATCTCAGTTCCACCTGGGCCTCCCATGGGGTTGGATCCACACCTCCCCCATTCTATATGGTCCTTGGTATCCCTTTGTCTGCCATGTTTCCTTAAAATGGGGGCCTCCTCCACATTCGCTGCGACAGAACAAAACCAATCCTAATAGTTTAGTGGGGCAGAGGTCTCATCTTGCAATTGATTCAAGCTGGGTAGAGTGGTAAAGACGTCCCTGCCTATGTATTTGTTGCTCTGGCAGAGGATTCTGGAACAGTCTGTGGGAATATGGCGGGGTCTAATTAAATACCAGAATAAAATTGTACAGAAGGCTGGTACCCGTGTAGCCCACCATGTAGGCTCCAGGCTATTTTGTAATGTAATAGCCTGGAGGAAAGAAGAAACAAATCTGGTTAGAACATTAATAAGGCAAGCACCAATGGCAGAGGATAGAAGGGGAGAAGCCACGATGACCATGACTAAGTATTTTCCCTTGAGCGCCATCCTTGGGTGGCCCATTCTCTAAGTTGAGAGGATTGGTGGGTTAATATATGAATGTTAGTTTGAACTTGTCCTGGTCCATTAACCCAAAAGTCTTCCCCTAGCATAGTACAGGTTTACCTTTGAGCAGCAACAAGCGTATCTAAAGCCCTGTTGCTCTATAAAAGTACTGGCACTGAGGAGTTGATTTGTTTTTATATATCAATGAGGATTGATGTATAAAAAAAGTACAGGCTCCAAACATTGTATGCACATATGAATAAAAGAAAAAAAAAAGAAGCACACAGTTGCTCTATTAAAAAAAAAAGCACTGGCTTTTTTTAAGAGATCATGAATGTTCACACATAGGGAACAACATCTGGATTTTTCCTGAAGTTACAGGAATAGTGGGTAATAGAAAAGCTAATTTTGTCTAATAGCTGCTGAAGATTCGCTGATTAAAAAAAAAAAATGTATGGCAAAAGTTGTTAGGCCTTTTCCAGGTGTGATGCCAAAAAAAAAAAAAAATTGTTGGGCTGGTGGAGTTGCTCAAGTGGTAGAGGGCCTGCCTTGCAAGCACGAGGCCCTGAGTTTAAACCCCAGTACCGAAAAAAAAAAAAAATGTTATAGTCTCCTATGTCTCAGGTTTTAGGGCAGCGTATTTGATCATGGCCTCTCCTAGCCTGGAGTGAAAGAGGGCTGGATTTTTCAGGGGGGCCATGAATAATTTCCCTTAATTATTAAAGTTGATAGGTTTAATCATACCCTCCAAGAGACAAGTAATCATATGGTCTCTTTGATCTCTGCCCCTTGATGCTTCCTGATAGTTCCATCTAGGGTCATCTTTTGGGAGAGCCTGTCCCAGAGGGATTGTGAAGGTTTCAAAACGGGCCTAAATTTGGAATCTTTCCTCATGGGTGCAACAAATGCTTAGAATAAGCCAGATGTCATGCCAGGAAAGATGAAAGGAGACCGTCGGATCTTTGAAGTCCTTAATAAAGGTGAGATCTTACCCAGGCCAATCATAAGAAAGGAATATTCACATGCATTGCCCCTGGTTCCCCACTCAAAACCTCTCAGAGAGGGTGAAGTTCCTTCTTTTGGTTTGGCCTGACCTATGTGAAGGGGATAGAAGCTCAGTTATTCCCGTAAGGAGGAGGGGCAGATAGCCCTGAGGAATCAGAAGAAGGATTTAAGGGAAGGGCAGTTGTTTGGGAGCCAGTTTGGTGAAAGAATTTACCAACATGGATTAGAATGCCATTAAAAGGCGAGACAATAGTGGGTACACAAAGGAGGGTAGGGTTTAGAGTAAGTTCTGTATTTCAGGCCAGGCCACTTTTGATTGGCTGTCTCCATTTTTGTGGCCCTTACTGATTGGTTTGTTCTTCCGGGGATCATAGTTTGAATTTCTCTGGACTCCCTTGGGGCTGGATTCACCCGCCTTCATCCCATCAGTTCTTTGGTATTCCTTTGTTTGCCATGTTTCCTTAAAATGGGTGTCTCTTCCACACCCAGGTGACTGATGCACGCAGTTTACTCTCCCGAGGATGGGGTTCTCTACCTAGGAGTGAGCTCCCCCCACCCCCGGGGCGGGGGTAATGTGGCTGAGGCACATGAACGTGGAAACCTCGGCCTTTGCCACTACCGACAAAGCGCCACCCCCGCAGTCACCCAGGCAACAAGATGGCTGCCACACTCCCCGCAGAACAAGCCACTTCCGTATCACTTAAAATGGCGGCCGCCCGAGTGGGCGTGACTGCGCAAGGCGTAGTGGGCGGGGCGGGGCTGCGCGCGCAGGGCCTATTGGGCCGCGCGCGGGCTGTCGGGAAGGGGCGGAGCGTGGCCGCGCCGGCGCGTCGAGCGAGAAGCAGCTGCCGGGATGGTGAGCGGGCGCGGGGGGAGGGGTGGCCAGGCCGGGCCGGGGGCGGCGGGCCGCGCGGAGGGGGGGGTAGCGGCCGGACGCTGACGCGGGTCCGCGGTCCCCAGGACGTGTTCCTCATGATCCGGCGCCACAAGACCACCATCTTCACGGATGCCAAGGAGTCGAGCACCGTGTTCGAGCTGAAGCGCATCGTTGAGGGCATCCTCAAGCGGCCACCGGACGAGCAGCGGCTGTACAAGGTGCGGCAGGCGGGCGCGTCGGTTGTGCGCGTGGGCACGAGATGGGAGGTCCGGCGGGGGTGTCACATAGCGTCGGGGGGGGGGCTCCCGCGGCATCGAGTCCCCGCCGGACTGCCGCGCCCTGCTGGCTCCTGAGTCTCTGCCGTCGGGGAAACTGAGGCTCAGCGCGGTGGTCTCAGCCCGTCAGAGGTCATGGCAAGGCCGGCATTGGAAGCCCGCTGCGCCTGCCCGAGGGCCCGCCGATCCCGCTGCCCGGGGCTGGATGGGGTGCGACCCGACCCGGTTAAAGCAGAGATAAGCGGGTCCCTCGTTAGGTCAGATCCACGCAGAGCTTCAGAAGACGTTTGTTACCTGCCAGCGGATGTTACAGAAGCCCCTTCCCTTTCAAGCCTAGTTTTCAGTAAGGATAGCTTGGAAGTTGGGGCCCTCCTTGGGGAATCAGATGTATCAGTCCCTGATTCAAGGTTCCCAGAAGCATGAGGTCGGTCGCCTCATTGCATTGATCTGATTTTGCCTGGAAACTTGGAGAGCCGACCCTTTGCTTCAGGTCAGAGCCTCAGCTTCCCTAGTCTCTGAAGGGCTTTCCTTCCTGATGCCTGCAAGGGCTTCCCTTGTGACCCTTAAGTGCCCCATGACTATACTTAGTGTTCCATGCCTCCCTACAAGTCGAAACCTGGTGCCCTATGAGGTGGGAATTCCTCTTCTTTTTTGTTGGTACTTGGGTTTGAATTTAGGGCCCTCCCACTTGGGTAGACAGGTAATCTATCACTTGAGCCACTCCGTCAGTCCAAGGAATTCTCATTTTAAGATCAAGAAGACCTGACATCAAAAAGTTCATCTTTGGCTGGGCACCAATGACTCATGCCTATAATCGTAGCCACTTGGGGGGCTGAGATCAGGAGGGTCACAGATCAAGGCCAATCCTGGCAAATGGTTGTAAGATCTTATCTCCAAAATAACCAGACCAAAATGGACTGAGGTGGGCTGTAGAGTGTCTGCTTTACAAGCTCAAAACCTTGAGTTCAAACCCCAAACCCACCAAAAAAAAGTTCAGCTTTATCAGGTATAAGGGCGCACGCTTGGAAGGCCAAGGGAGAGCGCATCAAGCTCAAGGCCAGCCTGGGCTACACAGTGAGACCCTTTTCCAAGACAAGACAAAACCCAGCCACCTCGTTTAAGGAGGCAGACCAGGAAATCAGACCCAGGTCTGCCTCTCTCCAGGCTAGCTTGTTAGTAGCTCCTAAGAGATTTGCCTGGCGAGTTTTGAGAAAACAGAATCCTGAGTTTGGTGTGGAAGTTCTTGTACACAGTCGTGGAGTCGGTATTTGATCCGTTGCGTGGTTGTCGTGGGTTATACGTGGGGATCTTTCTTTCCTCTGGCCAGAGGTCTGTGGGACATTGCCCTCTAGGACATCTCCACAGACCCCGTTTCTCTCTTCAGGACGACCAGCTTCTAGATGACGGAAAAACACTGGGCGAGTGCGGCTTCACCAGTCAAACAGCTCGGCCACAGGCCCCAGCCACAGTGGGCCTGGCCTTCCGTGCAGGTAAGGAGTTGAGCTGCTAAGTCTGGTTAGCAGCCAAAGAAGAGGGTCTTCAAGGAGCTGTTCTTGGTCTTCTAAGACTTCTGGGAATATCTTCCTGGTGCACAAAGGGCAGGTACTATCTGTGACAAATGACTTGTTAGAGTCCCAATCTTGGCTCAGATTTATAGGAAACTTACTGTGTGCTTAGCCCTGCACTCTGCTTGCTACTTCTGGTGCTTCATCTAGTCTTCTCAGCATCTCCGGGAGGCAGAACTGCCATCATTCTTGTTTTTGAACAAATCACCAAGGCAGTCCAATGCGTGAGGGGCTGCAAGGCAGTTGCCGGAGCCAGATGCCACTAGGCTCTGCGCGGTGCCTCACTTCATCCTCCAGCATCTTTGTTGTTGGGCCTCGACTGCCCATTTTAAGAAATGAGTAAATTGAGCCTCGGTTGGGCAAGTCACTTGCTAGAACACCAGCTCCAGGATCAGATCCAGACAGAGCTTGTGCTCTCCCTATCCTACAGCCCTGCCTAAGCTTTAGACATCTGAGGAATAGAGAGTGGAGTGGCTTATTTCCTTCCACCTAAGAAAAGGGGAGGGGTGATTTGGGGGTTTTATTCACTGCCTTTGGAAACTTAAACAGGTTGTAAAGTTAGAAAAATACAGCTGTGGGGCCAGAGCTGTGTGCATGGCTAAGGAGACGTAGCTAAGGATATAAACAATCATTTTTCTGCCATGGAATAAAGGTAGCAACGGCCGAGGAGGGAAAGCACACCGCCCCCAATCAACACATTTTGGTTCTCGTGAGGATGACTGACTGGACCTCGGCTTTCAGCTGTGTCCCTGTCCAGCCACCTCTACCACCATCTGCACAGCAGAATGTTAGGACCAGTCTCACATGGGGAGCAGACACGGCCTGGGCTGCTGGGAGGAGGTGCCAAGGCAGGTGTGGGGCTGGTATAGGGTACCCTTCTGAGGGAGCAAGGGAGGTCTGAAAGCACATCTGATCTTCCTAAATTGAGGCAGGGCTGTGTTGTCCCAGAAGTAGCCCATTTTCTAATCTGAACAAAGGCACCCTGGCACTGACTGTAGCTTGGGCGTTGTTGATAGCCCCATTTAACATGTTTGAAAATGAAGGCTAAAGGAGCTGACTTGTTCTTCTCATGATCCCCTAGCATGGCTTTCAACCCGTCAGTGACTGTGGAGCCCAGGGTGGTGGCTGTTGTGATGGGCAGTGTTGGGCTAGTTCCTTTTTGCATTTTCAGACCACTTTCCTTACAAAGAGGCAAGTGCAGGTGATCGATCAGCCTTAGGTTCTTAGACCTTGACTGTGAGCCACACCCTCCGCCCCTCAGTGTCAGGCTGAAGAATGAGGCAGATCTTCCCCTCCCAAACTGCTCGGTTAGGGAGGTAACAGTGTAGTCACAAGAATGAGAGAACGTGAAGGCAAGCATTGTCACTGCACATTTGTAGCTTAAAGATGAGCCGGAAGGTGGCTCAGGCTTCTTAACCTCAGCACTGTTAGCATTTGTAGCCAGCATCCTTTCTTACTGGGTGTAAGTTGCAAACCCCACCCCCTTCCCTTAGGACAATCTAGTCTCCAGACATGGCAACTTTCCCTGGGGTGGGGGTTGTGTGCTAATCATTTGAGAACTGAGCCAGGAGCGGGTAGTAAGTCTCCAAGGTAGAAGAAAGGTGTGAAATGGGTTTCATTTCCTCTGCTGGAGCAAGGGTGGGAGTGGGACAAAACAGCCTGTCAAAAGGAAAAAAATAGGGCATTGCTAAGTGCTCCCAAGGTAATGCCCAGGGTGTTAGGGTACAGTGACTATTGGTGGGCTGAGAAGGGTTCTCTGAGGAAGTAACATTTGAGTTAAATGCCCTGCAGCAGCTAACCTGAGTATGACAAGTGCAAAGGCCCTGAGGCAGATAAAGAGCTTTGCATAGGGCACGGAGGGCAAGGAGTTAAGTTCTGTTCAGTGATGGGAAGCCTTTGGAAAGTTAAGCAGGGGAAAGTCTTTTTTTTAGTCACATGGCTGCTCAGTAGAGGTGTGAAGGAAGTAGAGGTCTGGGTGAAGGGTGTGGAGACGGTAGGTATGGGCATAGAGGGACTTGGTGATTGATGTGCAAGATGAGGATAAGGACCTCGGAGATGGGTGGGGGTGGAGGGTGGGCAGATTGGGCCTTTGGCAGTGAGCTACTTCAGTGCTACCAATGAGGCAGCCAGGGGTGGGAAGGTCAGGGCTGTGAGGGAGATGAGTTTCCCCCAAAGGTACAATTAGCAGTCAGGAGGTGGGAGCACTCTCTCCAGCTCTGCTCCTCCCCACAGATGATGCCTTTGAGGCCCTGCGCATTGAACCTTTCTCCAGCCCACCAGAACTTCCAGATGTGATGAAGCCTCAGGACTCTGGAGGCAGTGCCAATGAACAAGCTGTACAGTGAGGGTGAGGGCCCCCTGGGCCCACCTCCAGATGCCCATTCCCCTCAATAAAAGATTTGGGTGTCTACCTGGTTGCTTGCCTCTTTCTCCACCCTGGGATGGGTATTGCTCCACTTGTGTTTGGGTTCTTGTTTACCAGGTTGCCTGCTCTACTGACTGACAAGAGAATTTGGTCCAGTTTCCTCATGTGGGCCGGGTCTGCCCTGAGGCCTAAGCTACTACCATCAGCCACCCTGAAAAAGCAGGGAACAAAAGCACCCCAGCCCACACAGAGGGGCTAGCAAAGTGACTCAAGTGGCAGAGTATCTGCCTAACAAACAAGTGTGAGACTTTGTGGGTTGGGGTTTTTTGGCAAAGTCTACATCCTGGAGCTATTGTCTCAGATGAGTGTTCTGTGAGGGTGCCCGACAGTAAAGGTACAAGTAACTCTTGCCACACCCAAGAGAAATAAAATAATCTCTAGATCAGATTCCTGCATTTCTCATTTTTATTTGACAGAAAAAGTTGCTCTTGCTGTACAGATTTTAAAAAACCAAAATGCCTTTAAGAAACATGAAGAAAAGTTAGGGGGTAGGGACCACAACCTCATGGGGGGAAGGCAACAGGGGGCTGCTAACATCAAGCTTCTGCCCCTTTCAAGAACACCTCACTTAACTTTCCAAGACCTAAACCAACACTCCCCAAAACCTGGGACTACAGCTTGCAGTGCCTTTCTGAGACCAGGCCAGGGTGTCTGTCCTTCCCGCCCAACTCCTATCTGCATTCCCTCCCACCCCAAAGCCTCCAGAACACAGGAACCAGAAAAAACTCACAGATTTAACATTTCACAGGAACCAAAAAGAAAAAAAAGGGAGGGGAAAGGAACCCTCCCCTGAAGATGCTGCCAGGGTTCATTTCAGGGTAGGGGATCAGGCAAGGATCCCCCTGCCCACAGCTCTGTGGGGGAACACTCCCTGTAGCTCCAGAGCAGGGGGTGTGTGGTAGAATCCCCTGATATTTATGGAGACCTGCAACAGAGAAGATGGATCAACATGAAGTCAAGGCTTTGGAAGAAATAATACTTTCCCCATCACTTCCCACCAGACAGAACCAGAAGGAAATCAGCCTTCCAGAGGGGAACACACCTGGAGGAGCGGTGTCGTGTGGGCCGGGGACTAGGCGTCTCCTTCCTGCGCTTGTGGCCTGGAGAGCGGCTATCCCCACGCTGGCCTTTCCGGGGAACCCGCTCAGTGCTAAAACAAGACAACACAGGACAGACATCAGATCCAAAGATGGCACCAAAAAGCCTCCAAACTTTTCTGCACAAGTCAATAGCAGCCACATGAGGCAATGCACTGTGTTGTGGGTTTTACCTCTGCTGGTCCCGTGGCGAGGGTTGGGGCGATGGACGGCGACGCTCCACGGGTGAGTAACTGAGGGACCGAGAATCCCGAAGGGAGTCTATTGGCTTCCGGGGACTGCGAGACCTAGGAAGCAGAATAGACTCCTATAGCGCCACACCCTTCCAAACCCACCAGCTAGCACTCAGGACCACCCACCCAGGTCCTGACCACCAAACCTCACACCACGCAGGGCCAGCCTCAGACCCACCTTTGTCCGCACTCACCCATCCGCCCGCACACCATCCACCGAGTGCCCCCAGTTGGCAGGGCACAAGGTGCAGCGGGGGATGCAAAGATAGAGACAGTCCCTGCCCTTGGAGGAGCTCAGTCTGGTAATGGAGGCCAACAAGGGAGGCACACAGGCCCAGGCCCCGTTATGTGGGAAGCAGTCCCGAAAAGATGGATGTGCGTGCATGGGTGGGTTTGGGGATTCCAGGGGCAAGGGGACCTGGGTAGGGCTGGGAAAGGGCAGGGCAGTCTTCTCGAAGGTGCTGTTTGAGTGGAGTCTTGCAGAACGAGGAGTTCACCAGGCGGACAAGGAAATTCCAGGCAGAAGGAACAGCATGTCCAAAGGCATGGGGCTCTCCTTAGACTGCAAGGCGCTGGGTGTGGCTGGAGCACAGGGCATGTGTGGGGGTGGGCAGGAGGAGCACAGGGCAGGCAAGGGCAGCTGGTGAAGAGCCTCACACGCCATTCCCGCAGAGGTGGGGCTTTATCCTGCAGGCCACAGGGCGTCCCGGAAGGATTTGTGGAGTGGAGGGAAGTAACCAGATGTGCGTTTTAGAAAGATCCCTCTGGCTACGTGTGGAAGAGAATGGCGTGGAGGCAGGGAGACAGGGAGGAGGCTGTGGACAGAGTCGGGAGAAGATGACGGTGGCCAGACCAGAGCCCTGCAGCAGCAATGGGGAGACTTAGAGCTAGAATCCCTGGGACCAGGCTGCATGTCAGGGGAGGGAAGGGGGGAAGAAACCTAGGACCTCCCAATTCTGGTGTGGGACCCACTTGATGGTGCAGCCCTTTACCAGAACAGGGTAGCACAGGAGCAGTGGGCAGGAGAGTGCCCGAGTCCTCCCATACAACCAGATACCGATGTTCACACGAGGCACCCCAGCAGGGACCCCAGGGTCCTTTCTCTGGAGAAATCACCCCCCCTTCAACCTAGGCAAGGCAGCACTCACCTCCGCTCGCCAGGGGGTGGCTTCTTGGGGCTTGCAGGTTTGGGCAAGGCCTGAGGGCCAGGCTTAGCAGGAGAAGGGGAGGAGGAAGAGGAAGAAGAGGAAGAAGAAGAGGAAGAGGAAGAGGAGGAGGAGGAGGAGGAAGACGAAGAGGAGGAGGAGGAAGAGGAGGAAGAGGAGGAGGAGCTGGAACTGGAGCTGCTAGAACGCCTCTTTCGTTTGGCTGGGGCTGGCTCCTGAGGACGTCCCTCTCGAACAGCCTCTTTTGGGGCTGGGGTTGGGCTAGGGACCCTGTGGGAGAAGAATAGTGTCACAAGGAGACAACCTGCCCCAGCCCCAGCCCTACCTTCCTTGGCCTGCAGGAATGGCAGTGGGGGAGGGGTGCCTGAGAAAGGCCCTGGGAGCACATGAAGGCAGGCCAGTGAGCGCTTCCTCTGGAACAGTGGCTAGTGCTGACCCAACCTCTGCTAACACAAGCAACAGGCTGGGGCCCGCAGCACAAGGGATCAAGGTTAAACCTCAAGAATGTCCCTGATGGAAGAATAAGGTCCCTGGGCTCAGATGTGGAAGTTGAAGCTGGGTGGTCTCCCTCCTTGGAGAGCCGCAGCTTGGGAAGGCCCCTGTGAGTGCTGGTTGGCTGGGGAGGGGCTGTCCTGCCTGGAGGCAGGGAGAGGGATGGGATGACCTCTGAAGATCCTTCCAGCCCAGGGAGTTCCTCTTGAGGTCTAACTGCCATCCCTCCTGCTGTAAAATTAAGTCCATTTCCTCTAGTTCTGTCCTCTGTAGAGACGGAAAACTTGTCATTATCCTCTAGAGAATTAACCTTTGGAGACTTTTATCTGTCCCTTCCCTCCCCCAATATCCCCCCGTCCCAGCATTCTACCCACAACTTGAGGGTCAAGGTCCCCCCGTACCTCTTCAAAGAGCCAAGTGCCTGTGATATGATTTGTCCCTCCCTACCCCCAACCCATCCCAATCACTTCCCCCAGAGAAATCCTTAAAATGCCCTCACCTTTTTAGTGCCACCTCAGGTTGAGCAGGAAGGCTAGAGCTCTCTGAGTCACTAGAACTGGAGCCAGATGAGGAAGAGGATGATGAGGACGATGATGATGACGACGACGATGATGATGAGGAGGAGGAGGAGGAGCTCCGCCGTTCCTTTCCTGGTTGCAGGCCGGCCAATGCAGAAGACTGCTGGGCCCCAGTAGTGGCAGGTGGCTCCCCACCCTCAGGGTGGGACACCCCAGGGGCAGGGCCAGAGAGTGTATCATTGTGGTCATTAGCAGAGGATGTGGTCTTTGCCACAGTCCCAGAGGAAAGGGACTGAGACCCTGCTATAGGGGTAGTCTGGGCAATTGAAGAACGGGATTGATCTGAAAAACCAGATGGCACAGGGGACCTAGGACGATCCTGTGCTGGAGGGAGGAGAGACTGTGAAGGAGCCTGAATTCTTGAGGCAGGGGAGGGAGCCCGCTCACAGGTCATTCTAGACTGGTTTGGGGCAGATGGTGGTGTTCTGGATCTGGCTCGGTCAAGCAAGGGGGGTGAAGCTCTGCCACTGACACGCTCATAAGCAGAGAGGGGCACCCTGGGACTGGTGAGGTTTGCACCAGACAATGCTGGAGCCATCCTAGCACTTGCAAGACTTGCAGGGGCCAATGCTGCAGGGGTTCTGGAACTGGCAATATTCACAGAAGCTGTGCCATGTGCAGATCGAGGGCCCACCAGGTTTGCTGGGGTTGAAGCCTGGGGTGTTCTAGAGCTAGAGGGATAATTCGCAGCAGTTGGGGGTGTGCCAGAGCCTGTGAGACTCAAAGCTGCCAAGGCAGCTGGAGTTCTGCCTCCTGCCAGGTTCACAGCTGCTGTAGAGGTTCGAGGGTCAGCAAGGTTCACAGCTGAAGGTGCCACCGCTGTTCTGGGGCTGGCCAAGTTCATGGCTGCTGCTGCAGCTGGTGCTCGTGAATCACCGAGGTTCACTGCTGTTGGCATGGCAGGTGTCCTGGCACCAGCCAGGTTCATGGCTGCAGCAGATGCTGCAGGTATTCTGCTAGCAAGGTTAGCAGCTGGGGCCGTTCTGAGGCTCATGAGTGGCACCGGAGCTGGGACCTGGGACATTCTTGCAGCAAGGCCAGCTGCAGACATGGACGGAGGTGGCCGGGCAGTGCCAAGACTGATGGCCGTCAGAGCAAGTGCAATTCTAGATTGAGCATGATTTTCTGGCACTGATGTTCTCGGATGATCAGGAATCCGGGGACCTGGACCATCCATCATTGAGCCACCAGCTTGTTGCAAGACAGACATGGGTGTTCTAGCACTTCCAAGGGGCTCAAGCATTCCAGGTGATCTACATCGGTCAAGAGGAGTTGGTGACATGCTAGGACGACTGAAGCAGCTCATTCTGGAGCTATTGAGTGCTACTGGAGGAGTCCGAGAACCAGAATGATTCCGTGTTGCTGGAGGAGTAGCAGAACGTGAACGATCAGAACTACTTCCAGATGCAGAACGCCTGCGGATGGCTGGAGGAGACCTTGTTAGGGACCGTTTCCCCCGAGTTGCTCTTGGAGTACGGGACCTAGAACGGCGGCGGATAGCAAGTGGCGAGCGACTTCGAGAACGTTTGCGTGGCAACAGTGGTGTTCGAGACCTTGAGCGTCGCCGAATAGCTGGAGGTGTTCGGGACCTAGAACGGCGGCGAGTCACTGGAGACGTTCGAGAGCGGGACCTCCTTCGGGTCACTGGAGAGGTTCGAGAGCGGGACCTTCTTCGAGTCACCGGGGATGTTCTGGATCTTGATCTTCTGCGAGTGATAGGCGAAGTTCTGCTTCGAGATCGCCTCCTGGTTACTGGTGGAGTCCTAGATCTGGACCTTCTGCGAGTCACTGGTGGAGTTCTAGAACGAGAGCGACGGCGTGTTGGTGTTCTGGACCTTGAACGACGGCGTGTTACTGGTGGTGTTCTGGACCTGGATCGCCTTCGACTCACTGGGGATGCTCTTGATCGAGATCTTCGTCGATTCACTGATGTCCTGGACCTTGACCGTCTCCGACTCACAGGTGAGGTTCGAGACCTGGACCTTCGTCTGCTGATCAGGGGTGTTCTGGACCTGGAACGACGGTGAGTGGCTGGCGAGGCTCGAGATCTAGAACGTTTCCAGGGGGCCGGTGATGTGCGTGACCGTGAGCGCTTCCGACTTGTCGGGGGTGTCCGAGAACGGCCTCTTCTGCGCCGAGAGGAGGTTCGGGAACTCTCCTGCCGGGTAGGTGACCTTGAATGATAACCGGACCCTCCCCTCCGCCTACGAGTAACCCGGGACCTAGACCGGCTTCTCTGTCGTCTCCTCGAGGTTGACTGAGAAGATCCAGACCTATCTCGGCGTCGAGTTGTTCTGGTTTTCTCCCTGCGTGAACGGGAACGGGACCTCTGGAGTCCACGAGGTTTTGGTGAAGGAGACCGGCCTCTCCTTGAAGTTGTCTTAGTGCGCGGAGATGAAGCTGAGCGCCGCCGCCGAGATCTTGACTTTTCTGCTGGCTCTGGGGAAGACACTGAAGGACTTCTTCGGCGTCTTGGGGGAGTTCTGGATCGGGTTTCTGGTGACGATGAGGCAGAACAGCTTCTACGGGAGACTCTGGCCTTCCTAGTAAGCTCAGGAGATGATCGAGAGCTGCGTCGTCGAGGTGGCGTGCGAGACTTGGTGTTTGGCTCTGGTGAGGACCTTGAGCCTCTTCGAGCAGTTCTGGATTTGGGTGGGTGTTCTGGAGAGGACTCAGAACTGGTGCTTCCTTCAGGAGAAGGGCCTCGGTCTTTGCTGGATGAAACTGACCTGCTTCGTCTGGGAAGAATCCGAGGGGCAGGTACTTTGGGTTCAGGAGAGGAATCAGAACCACTCTGAGCCCTGGGTGCCACTCTCTGCTTATCTTTCACTTCAGGCGATGGGCCAGACCTACTGCACCGAGGAGAAGGTCGAGATTTGTTATCAACCTCTGTAGATGATCCAGAGCGACTCCTCTGCCTCAGTGGAGTTCTTATCTTGTCTTTAGAATCTGGAGAGGAGTCTGACTCACTTCTTTCCTGAGGGGATGTACTGGGCTTGCCTTCAATTTCTTGAGAAGACCCAGACCGACTTCTCTGCCCAAGGGGGGTCTTAGACACAGTTTTCTGCTCAACTGATGATTCTGACCCACTTCTTTCTCTCTGGGGAGTGAGACCCTTGTTGTTAAGCTCTGGGGATGATGGAGAATGACTTCTTGGCCTAGGAGTCTGAGGCAATGCTTTTGGTTCAGGAGAAGAATCACATTCACTTTGCCCCCTTGATGGAGTTCTGGGTATGTCTTTCATCCCAGGAGAGGACCCAGACAGGCTGTGCCTAGAGGGAGTCCCAGACCCATCTCTAAGTCCTGGTGAAGACCCAGACCGGCTTCTCCTTGATGGAGTTCTGGGTAAGCCATCTTTCAGTTCTGGAGATGATACAGAACTACTTCTCTCTCTTGAGGGTGTTCTGGGTACTGCATCAAGAACAGGTGAGGACACACTCTGATTTGAAGACATTCCTGCCTTTTCCACTGCATCTGGGGATGACTCAGAACTGCTGCGTCTGGAGGATCTGGTGGACTGTTCTTTTATGTCTAGAGATGGGTCTGTGTCCAGCTGATTAAGGAAAGGTCCATTTAAATCTTCTTTTACCTCAGGAGAAAATTCAGTATTCATTTCTGTAACAGGGCCCGAATTTCTAAATCCTAAAGTTGACTCAAAGCTATTCTCCCTCAGTGGGGAATGAGAGAGCTCTTTATGTTCTGGAGAAATATGTGGCCCACTCCAACATGAAGTCACTGCAGGAACTTCTACTGCTTCCAAAGAAGCCTGTGACTGGCTTTGGTCAAGAGCCAATGACACAGCAGGCTTTTCTTCTACTTCAGGAGAGGATTCAAAGTTACCTCCAGCCATTTCTCTAACTTCTGGAGACATACTGGGCAAGACTTGGTTTGAAGTTTGTTCAGATTTCTCTACTACCTCCATTAATTCCTCATCTTGGCTTGAGTTGGGTAATGTACTATTTTGATTTTTTGTATCTGGAGGTGACCCAGCACTTCTTTCCCTTGATAGGGGTCTGGGTGTGTCTTTCAGTACAGGTGATGACTCGGCTCTATCTTGCACAGGACTAAGTTTATCTCTTGGTCTGGGAGATAACATAGTAACGTTCTCCTGAAAGGGTACGTCTGTTTTCTCTTTTGATTCAGGAGAAGATTCCAATCTGTTCGGTCCCAAGAGAGATTTAGAGTCCACTGCAGTATATGGGGAAGAGTCAAACTGAGATCTGCTCTGCTCAGGAGACATTACTGATTTCAACTTTAGACCTGTTGAAAATTCACTTCTATCTTGCTTAGCTGGAGATCTGGGTGCCAGCTCAGTGATTGGAGATGAGGACCTGGACCGGCCACCCTTAGGAGATGTTTGAGGTTTGCTCTGCAAAGATGGAGATTCCAAGTGACTCTGTCTTACTTCAGGACTTGAAGTATCAGATCTGCGGTCAGGTGAAGGTTGAGATTGTCCCTTTTGTTTCAGAGATGAGGAGCCAAAGCAGCTTTCTCCTGGTGGTGTACTAGATGTTACTCCTAGAGAGAGGGAGAAGGATCCGGAGCAACTTTGTACTGGTGAATCCTTAGACTTCTCTTGAGAACATGGTGACTTTGATCCAGAAAGACTTTGCTCTGCAGTTTGGGGCTTTATTTTGGGGTATGGAGATGTAGACCCTGAGAGACTTTGTTGTGGTGGTGTTCCAGGTTTCACTTTGGTATCCGGTGAGGAGGATCTAGAACGGCTCTGACTTGGCAACAATCTAGATTCCACCTTGGAACAGGGAGACACTGATCTGCTTTGCCTTGGAGGCGTTTTAGATGACATCCTACCAGGACTTGGAGAAGAGGAGCCAGAGTGGCTTTGTGTTGGTGACATTGTCTTCATTTTGGGCTGTGGAGATGATGACCTAAATGGGCTCTGTCTTGGAGGTGTGATAGATTTCACTCGAGGAGAGGACCCAGAGCAGCTATGTCTTAACGGGGTCCTAGATTTCATCTCAGGGTCAGGGGACGATTCAGAACGGCTCCTTCTTTGTGGTGTTGCACATTGCTCATTAGGCTGGGAATTTGTTACAGACCCTTGCCTTGGTGGTGTTCCTGACTTCACTTTAGGGTGAGGAGATAAACTGGAACAACTTTGTCTTGATGGAGTTTTAGATTTCTGGTCAGGTGGTGAAGAACTAGAACGTCTTCGCCTTGGTGGCGTTCTAGACTTAGCTTTAGGCTGGGATGATCCAGAGCGACTGCGCCTTGGTGGCGTCTGTGACTTTTGCTTAGGATACGGAGAGGATCCTGAAAGGCTTCGCCTCAAAGACAAGCGAGATTTTGCTTTGGATCGTGGTGAAGAAAGAGATCTGCTCCGCCTTGAGGAAACATGAGATTTTTTAATTTCTGGACTAGAGTTGGACCTGCTCCTTCTCTGAGATGTTCTGGATTTGTTCTTCCGCTCTGAGGACGAACCAGACCTGCCTCTTCTTTGTGGGGTTCTAGAGTGAGATCTTCCACGTCTAGCTAGACTTCTACTGCGAGACCTTCCTCGTCTCGCTGGTGTTCTAGACCGAGACCTCCCTCTCCGGGCTGGCGTTCTAGAGCGTGAACGCCCACCACGTCTAGCTGGTGTTCTGGACCGTGAGCGGCCACTACGCCTGGCTGGCGTCCTAGAGCGTGAACGCCCACCACGTCTTGCTGGTGTTCTAGATCGTGACCTGCCACTTCTCCTGGCTAGAGATCTACTACGAGATCTCCGTCGTACTGGTGAACGGGTTCTAGATCTACGCCTAGTAGGTGTTCTTGACCGAGATCTGCCCCTCCGAGCTGGGGTTCTTGACCGAGACCTACGTCGGGTAGGCGTTCTGGATCGTGATCTCCGCCTGGCAGGTGTTCTAGAACGGGACCTACCCCGCCGGGCTGGTGTTCTAGAACGAGATCTGCCCCTAGTGGCTGGGGATCTAGAGTGTGACCTGCCTCGCCTTGCTGACCTAGACCTGCCTCTTCTCTGGGTATTTCTGCTCCTGGACCAGCCTGGTCGCTGTGGAGATCGAGAGCGACCACGTCGCTGGGGGCTTCTAGATCTTCCCCACCTCTGTGCAGACCGTGACCTACGCCACTGAGGGGACCGTGACCGAGAGTGACCTCTTTTGGTAGGGGTTCGAGACCGAGATCGCCCCCTCTTAGTAGTGGCTGGGCTACGAGACCTCCCTATCCTACGGGAAGGGGTATGAGAATGTGACTTATCCCGCTTTGCTCGGCCATGTGAACGATTCTTAGATGTGGGAGAAGAAGAGATCTCTCGCCGAGTCCCAGGAGCCAGTGCAGGCTTAGGACTCTCAGGGGAGGAGCTGGCATGCCGAGAAACTTTGGTAGGCTGAGGGGATGGTGGGCAGCTCTCTGAGGAAGATGATTGGGGTGGTTTTGCAGGAGACTTAGGTGGTGAATGATCACGGGTTGGGGAGGCCTCAGATGAAGGATTCACTGGCTCCTGACATAATGGGGTTGTTTCAAGAGGTTGTGGGGAGCTGCCATGTTGCTCAGCAAGGAGCGGAATGGGAGGTGGTTCTGGGCCTGTGTTGCTCCTTTCCGGAGAGGAGCTAGGTCGAATTGCAGATTTCTAAGAGTAGAAGAAAAAGCAGGGATAGACATACATAAGAACCAAAGCTTCTTTGTCTCCCGTAAGAACCCAACACCTTCTCCAATGAGAGTTTTCTTCTATACACTCCATTACACCAACTGGTCCTTTTCCTCATCATAGGTAATCACATTCACTCAACAAGACATCATATAAAATACAATGAGAGAAAAGTAAATTTATGACTTGTCACTTCAAAAGTCATAATCCTGAGATGCAATAACACATTACAATTAGAAACAAAGGCCACTAGAAAAAGGCTACGCGAACAAAGGAAAAAAAAATAGGCTTTATGGGGTTTTTTTGTTTTGTTGGTGTTAGGGGAAGAATACAGAAACTCACATATGCTAACACCCCACCCTGCCAAAAAGGTGGGGTTTTTTGGTGGTGGTGGTACTAGGATTTTAACGCAGGGCTTCATGCCTGGTAGGCAGAGAGCCTACCACTCGAGCCACTCCACAAGCCCTTTTTCTGTTGGGTATTTTTGAGATAGTGGTTTTTTTTTTTCTTTTTCCTTGGGCTAGCCTCGAACCATGATCCTCCTGATCTCTGCTTCCCAAGTATCTCAGATTTACAGACATGAGGAGAAAACAGTTTACTAAACTGGGTGGCAAATGACCTTATCATTGAGGAGTAAGGCAAAGTTCTAAGAACATGACTTTTGTGACAACTGGTTCACCAGGAGCTAGGGGATGTAGCTCAGTGGTAGAGTCCTGCCCTAACATGTGAAACCCCTAGTTCCATCCTCAACACAGGTAGAGGGTTATGTGTGTGTGTGTTGGTTCTACTGTTTGACCAAGATTGCTGAAGTACAGGGTATTGAGAAAGGGAGACCAAACTATAAAAGCCTTAAATATAACTCAAAATCAATAGAAAATGGTTAAAATTTCTGAGATGCAACTGGAAATTAGGAAAGTTACCTCAGGATGGTAGCACAGAAAACAGGTTATGTAAAAATTAATAGTTGAAATGAGAAATAATCGGGTCTCAGAATAAAGAGTATAAACCAACAGAAACTTAGAAGCCCATTCCCTAGTGCTACCCAATAGGTTGAAATATTTCATTTGGTTATGACCATTATACAACAAAAGAGAAAAAAACATAGACACCATAAGTTAAGCTAAATGTAGTTTAAAAAAAAAAACAACCGTAGCTGGGCACCAGTGGCAATCCTAGCTATTCAGGCAAATTGTTCTCCAGACCCTACCTCTAAAAAACCCAATACAAGAGAGGGCTAGGGCTGATGGAGTGGCTCAAATGGTCAGAGTGCCTGCCTAGCAAGTGTGAGGTCTTGAGTTTGAACCACAGTACCACCAAACAAGCAAAAAGCAACCTTTTGTTCTGGGTCAAGTGGTAGACTACTTGCCTATCAAGCAAACCCTATGCCCTGGGTTTAATCCCCAGTACCTAAAAAAAAAAAAGCAGTAACCAAAGCCTTAATAGCATATAAAAGTAGTATGATACTCAGTAAAAGTTTGATTCTAAAAGCTTCACAATTTAATGAGTACAATTCTAAAGTATTTGCAGATGTGGGTAAGAACTTGGTAACTGAAAGTAATGCATACACACAAAAAAAGAATAAATTGATGTAACTATCATCTTCACCCCCTTCACTTCACATCTGTCCTAAAGCCCATACGCTGACAACCCAATAAGCAATCCACTAACTCAGGACATACCTCATTGTCTTCGTAAGGGCTGGTAGGCTGCTTTGTAGAGGGTTCTGGGCTACTAGGCCGTTGTATGTTGGTGGTACCTGGTTCACTAGAAGGTGCATCTCCCTCCCCTCTGCGCCCCGAAGCAGAGGAAGGACTTTGCCCAGTCAAGGAAGTTGTATGAGTTTTAGCTGCAGCACTTCGAGACCTGTGAGAGTCAATGGGAGGATGGGGAAGAGCAAGAAAATGAGCTCAAAGGACAATAGGAAACCCCCTCCCCCCAGTCCCAACCATCTTTGCTAACTGTACAACCCTCTTACAAAGTCTTAAGTCAGTATGATTCCTATCACTCCCAGAAATGCACATTCAGTCCACTTTGTTCTATTTCTTCCCAACACAATCCCAAAGAATATTCTCCCCTCTACCCTTTTATTTACCTCCCCCAAATATCCCCAAACCCTCCACCCAGCCCTTTCCCTACCCACTTTATTCACAACTCACCTCTGAGCCCACCTCCTTCAGGAAGCCTTCCCCGATTAAGGAAGCCAGGGTAAGGATTCCTTCCTCCCCCAGACACCACCAGCAAGCCCTCCCCCCCTATTCTGGCAGTCCATATACATTGTAACGAAACAAAAAAAAAAATAACAAAAACAAAAACAAAAACAAAAAGACAAGGGGAAATGTATATGTCTGTCCATCCTGTTGCTTTAGCCTGTCAGCTCCTAGAGGGCAGGGACCGTGTCTTCCGAATGGTCTGTGCAGCGCCTAGCACACCGTGGGCGCTCAATAAATATTAAATTGATTAACCCATCATTCCCTCTCCCTCCCTTCCTTCTGGACCACCCCTTACCTACTGCGAGAAGTATCAGAGGAAGAAGCTGAGTCAGCAGAGGTTGAACGGTGGGCCCGGCGGCTCTTAGGGGCTGGTGTTGTACTTCGAGACCTAAAGGAAGACCACAACACACCTCAGGAGGCTGACATATCTATACTAGATCCTCTTCACCCGTTCTTCAACGCTTTACTAGTTCTGAACATAACTATTTTGTCCTTCCCTTTCCCTTAAGGAGGCCTTCACCTACTTAACACTAAGTAAATTCCCCTCAAATTTACTCACCGCTTTCGCTTCTTGTCCTTAGATTTACGTTTGCTCTTTGGAGTGGGAGACCTGGGAAATAAAGCAAGCTTGTCAAAAAGCAAATCTTTTTTTAAATGTACTAAAATCAAAGGGCTGGCAAAGTGGCTCAAATGGTAAAGCACCTGCCTAGCAAGCATGAGGCCTTGAGTTCAAACCCCAGTACCACCAAAAAGGTAACAAAATCAAAAGTGAAATGCAAAGGGGCTGGAGCACCTGCCTAGCAAACCCCTAGTACCACCAAAAAAAACAAAAACAAAAACAAAAAAAAAAACCTACCTTCAAAAACCCCAAAACCAAAAAAACCATGAAAAATCAATGATTAAGCTTTATTCCAAGAAAAAGAACCTCCTTCAGACCAAAGCAAGGCCATCAAGTGCACCACTCTTAAGTGTTATCAGTCTTTTTATCAGCCAAAATTGTTCTTACCTGTGCTTCCGTTTCTTGGACTCAGATTCTGACCTGTTGGGGGAGGAGGAAAACCATAAATCCACATCTATGCCTGAATTCTAATAAGCCTTCTCCAATCACTCTAAGTAGTTCCACCTCATACCTGTGTTTCTTCTTCTTTGAACTCTTCTTTCTCTCCCGTCGAGGAGAGCTGCTCTCTGACCTGCTAAAAAATGGGTTCAGAAGCAAAATCAACTTATTTGACTTTGTCTCTGCCCCTCCCCTATGCAATCCATTCTCAAAAACAGTTTCTAAAATACCCAAACAATCCCAACAGTATCAATGGCCCAACCCTAAGCCCTGGACTTCTTTACTTCTAGGTGTACAACCTCCTTAAATCAACAAACCTAAAAATTAACAAAATTTCTAGAAATCCACAATGATTTACTGGCCAATTTTGAATTGAATGATTAACTCCCTTCTCCCTGATTTTACTGATAATTGTCTCCTGCTCTTTTAAAATCCTCAACTTCTAGAGAAAAAAGAACACAAGATTGGTCCTCTGGCTACTAAAGTAACTTTTGATCTAACTTACCGTCCTCTATCTTTCTTCTTTTTCTTCTTCTTCTGCTTTGGGGTTGGTGAGCGAGAACTGCTAGTCTCCCGGACAAGGCTGGATAAAGATAAATGAAGAGAGAGGTGTTATGACAAGTTTTCTTAAAACGTTTTAACCTCAGAAAAACAAAGTCTCAAGAGTTTGGGGAAAATAGTACACAAAAATGTACAAGCAGGATGCTTAGAACCACAAAGCAGAGAAACTGATACTGGTTAAAAACAGGTCTTGGGTACCTGTAAGGTTTGGGAGGCTCTGGAGCTGGTTGTTTAGCTTCTCGAGCACGACGCTGAGGATCAAAAGAACTGCCATCCACGTAGGAATCACTGATGCCAAAGGCAGCACGGAGTCGCTCATTCTTCTTCTCATTCAATTCTGCCAGCTGATGAGTCTCAGTTACCCTGGAGAAAAAAAAAAGCAAATATCTAAAAGATATAGAGAGCAAAGGGCAGAGCTACATTAAGAACCTAATTATACACAGTAGCCAAATAGCCAGAGGTAAGGAAGACAAAGCAAGGGGCAAGTCACAGTTAAGGAGAAAAGGGCAGCAGCACCAACAGTATACAGTCCAGGGAAACCAAGGGAAATCACAACACTCACACTGGCCTCTGCCCTGGGGTCTCCTCCTTGCCCCCAGGGTTCACATCTTTCTCCAACAACATGAGTCGAAAGGTCGCCACTTTCTCCTGAATTTGCTGTTCCTCGTACCTGAAGGACAAATCCCTTCAAGATTAGAGCTTGACAGAATACTTCCCCACTTCCAAAATAGCATGTCCCTCATTCCCAGCAGGGTCCCTTCCCTCTCCATGCACGCATACAATTTTTCACTCACTGTCACCCAAATGCTCTTGTCCTTCTGCTCTTTCCCCATCATCTTCCTATTCACTATACCCTCTAGAACAGTGGATTTTAAACATGCTACAATACAGAGGCCAAGAGATGAAAGTTAAACTGGCAGAGTTCCCAGTGCTCCTTTTCAACTTCAACAAGAACCAATCTTTTATTTCCTGGGATTCCCAAGAAAGGTGTGTTTCATAAAAAGGGTGCCGTTGCTCTAGTTTGAAAACCACTGCTCTAAAAGGTTTGCTACATGAATATGCTCCTTTTCCAAAACTTCACTTCCCTAACCCAGCTCATAATATCCTCTATTCAAGTAGTCTTCCAATTCCTGTTTTTCTGCCTTTAATACTTTCCAAGGCCTCAAATCCATTTACCTTTCTTTTTCCTACCAATGACAACACCTATTATTAAGTTACCTACTTCTCCTGCCTCACTGCTGCTTTCCTGTCTCTCCCTCAAGTGTATTTTTGTTCCTTGATGCTCCCCCTTTCCCATGTCCATCACCTAAATAATCCAGACCCTCTCAGGCACCTATTTATGCTCCAAACACAGTTTTCTCACCTCCCACTTTGCACTATCCCTTAACTGTTCAATTCTCTAGCTCATTTATCCCTACAACTCTTCTTCAGGACTCTTTCAACCAGCCTTAAGCTCCATATACCCCTAACAACCCAGCTGTGCACTCACTCAGTGCTTGGCTCTCCCCTACCCCTTCCCTCACCCCTGCTCTTCCATCATCTCCTCCAGCTCGAGGCATCGCAGCTCCACGCGCCGCTTGCGCTCGTGGTCCAGGATGTCAGGATTAGGCCGCTTCACCAGGGCAGCCTCCAGGCGCCGCAGTTCCTCCTCTCCCTTGTAGTCAGGCCGCTCACCCCGGCGGCCCCGCACCAGGGACAGGTTGCGCTGGACGTAGCCGTTGGTGCCGCTGCCCCGGGGCGTCGGCAGCCCGATCCCGTTGTACATGGCCCTGTGCCCAGGGGGGCACCACCGCTCCTGGGGGGGAGCGGGGAGACACGGGTCAGGCCCCTGGCCCCAAACTAACCACTCACCACCTCCCACATCCCTGCTCTCCTTTAATCCTAGAGTTCAACACTTACACTGAATCTCCAATAACTGCATGATGCTTCCTCAATCCCCTGGTCTCCTAACAAACCCCTCCTCCTTACAGCCTGTTCTCCCAAGGCACTTCCACAGAACTCCAAATCATTCCTTCTTGCATCTAGATTTCCTTATTTTCTCCTACCCTAGGCAGACAAAAATCCTGTTCCTCTCAAATCTCTCCACACTACCTCTTTATTCTTCTTTGGCCCCAATACACACAAGTGGTATCTTCACCACTTGTGTGAAATACTCTTAATACCTAAACTCTGGTAACTGAGGGCATCCTCCAAATGACACCACAAACACCAGACACAGATCTGTGGCCCACAACCAAACACTCTTCCAAAAACGTGCCTACAAATATCTGACTATCCTGTATGAACACAAAATGATCTAAATAGTCCCCACATATCTGAACTGGTAGACTGGCTGGTTAATATAAATATAATATCCTATACAGACTCACACCCAAACTACAGGCCAGCAAGCACATGAGAAACACACATGAATCAAGGATACATAATCTTATACTTCGCCTCCCAAAAAAGCCATTTCACTAACTCTAAATATTTACAGCGCCTATCAACCACCCTGATATTTTACACCTTCAGTTTCATTTCCAATTGGATTTACACCTGTGAGTTACAGCTCCTCAAAATCTGGCTAGCTCTTGCTTTATTACCTGTTTTCAACTCCATTCTTTATTCAAACACATCAAACTAACCTTCCCTACCTACTTCAATTGTTCTTACTGTTGTCTACAACCTTGCCCTAAACTTCTGTGGAAAACTTCAATCTCTACCCCTCACTTTCATTAATACTATAAAGCATTAGCGTCTCTCTCCCAAGCCTGCTTTATTCCTTATGTTAACTCTGTGCTTCCTGCTAGGATCTATTCTCTCAACTTATCCCAACCCCAGCATGACTGAGTCCCCATTTTTTCTGGCTAAATTCACTGGCTGCTTACATTCTCTCCCTTTCTCCTGTTATGTATGCTCTATTTCCTTCTCCAATACATCCTTCTCAAAGATAGCTTCACAGAGCACAAATGTGTGAGTGAAAATTACCCCATGAAAACCTCAAGAAAGAGACAAAGTGAAGAAGTCAGTCAAAGCAGATGATAAAAAGATGGAATTGGATTTAGGGAAGGGTGCCTTTAGAAAATTCCAGAATAAAGCAGCATCATACAAATGCTTAGAGAAAAAGACTAAAGTGAAAAGGGGGGGGGGGAATAGAAGATACCAGGAGATGTTGAATGGATCTGCACAGTTGTAGTTTATCCCTACCCAACTTCCAAGTCTTAGAAAATTAAGAGCAAAGAATAATTATAACAGAATAAAGGAATGAGAGATGAGGTTAAAATTTAAGAAAGGCTCAAACAGAAATTCAGAAATAGAAAATCCTCTTAAGAGTTCAATAAAACATTTTCTCTACCTTTCAACCCTCATTTCTCAAACCAATCCTTCCCTACTCTGAACCTGTCTTTTATTGCCTCCCACACCACACCTAATTTTTGCTTCCCTTGCAAAAGACTTCTTGTCTGCAATTAATTCTTCAGCCTAACCATTCACCCATACTTCCACACCACCTCACGCAAAAATCCTCCCACTTTCTAAAGAGGGAAAACCAGCAGCTGCTAAGCAAAGGGTATTAAGTCACAGTGTTTTGAAAACCGTTAAAGGTGAAACCAAAAATAAAAAAAAAGTTGACACCACAGCAGCCAAGGCAGTATTCGGGACAATAGGAATCCACAGGCTGGGTATGCAAAAGTCACCCAAGGTAACAGAGCAGACAAGAAAAAGCTGCAAAGGAAAGCACAGAGAATTTGCCGGAAAATCGCCAATAAGGAGAGAGAAGGGTATTTACTATTATTAATACACGCAACAAAAGAAACGGCAGCAAAAAGAGGGGAAGGGAGGGCCAGGAAATGGATCTGGATGAGCACGGCGAGCTCAGCACCGGACACTGCAGTAGCTGAGTAGGCACTATGTAGCCCACAAAGCTGAAATAGTAACTCCAGAGAGCGAAGCCCACGATTCAGGAGGGAGAGCAACAGATTCTTTGAGGTTTGATTCTGAGACATCTTTAGAGAACCGTAAATGGAAACACGATCCAGAAGAGTTTCGTGCCAAATGCCTGAAACAAGACGCCACAACGCCTAAGAGAGTGCAGAATCCTCCCAACGAGAAGCTCCAGAAGTCGCCAGCTTTTAACAGGGTTGGGGAAGAAGTATGTAAGGAGCACATGGTCTACCTTACCTACGCAGACTAAATACCCTCGCTCTTTTTCCTTTCAAGATTTGCAGTTTCTCCCCCTAACAACTGCACGGCCGCCCCTAGCGAGTGAGAACCGCCTAAATCCGGGCCACCCCGTTCCAGGCCCTCGCGGGCGGCTGCGCGGCGAGGCCTATTTTCGGCCTTGAGGGATGCGGGAGGGGGCTGCGCGGCTGGCGCCCCGCGGTCTGGGAGGCTCCGGCCACTCCAGCGGCCCCGGGAGGGGCGGGGAGGCTCAACGCTCGAGAGTCACGAGGAAAAGGGATTTGGGGGTGGGAGGGGAGCCGGCGAACGGATCCGGGGGCAGACTGCCCGCCATCACCCCCTCCCCGCCACTTAAGAGGCCGCCAAGGACAGCAGCAGGAGCGAGGGCCGCCTCCGCCGCACATACGGGGGAGGCGAGAAGCCGAGGCTCGCGCGCTCCGCTGGCGCCGAGGGCGCGCGAACCCGAGCGCAGACGGCGGCGCGCGCCGTTGCCGTGGGGGGAGGGGCGGGAGAGCCGAAGTCCGCGCGCGACGGGAACGGCAGGAAGGGGGAGGGGAGGCAGGCAAGCCTGAGCGTCCGCGCAAGCTGAGGCGGCGAACGCGCGCGCGCGCGCTCGCAGCGGCCGGGCTGTTCTACGCGCGCTTTGGCCTCGGGCCGCGGCCGCCGCCCCTCCCCCACCCGGCTCTCGAGCTCCCTTCTTCCTCTCACCCGCCGCCGCCGCCTCCGCCCGTCGCTTCCGAGGGGTAGAGGTGCTGCCGAAACCGCTGCTCGAGTTCCCCAGTCCCTCGGGGTCTAGAGCCGCCGCCTCGCCTCGCCGGTCTGCCCGCCTCAGCCGACGCGGACACCTCCTCGCTTCCTCAGGGGCCGCAGCGGACTCCGACTGCGCCACTCGCACCCCGCCTGGGCCACGCTGCACGTCAGCACGACTAAGTGCGTCAGCACGCACCCGTTCGCCGCAGGGAACGCTGGGAGCCGTAGTACGCCCCGTGACCTCCTGCGCAGGCGCTGAAGCCACACCGGGAAGCATAGTTTTTTGAGGCGCCTGGGAGGTTCGATACCGTCGCCGAAAAACTTCTAGTCCCATTGGCCAGTGCGCGGAGGGGCGGGGGAGTGAACCGAGGCTGCAACGTCTGCAGAAAACCTTCGGCTAGGCACAGAGCCGAGCGCCACATCGAGAGATGCCCCTCCCCCCACCCAGCTCAGACGCCAGCTTTAGGCCCAGAGCATTCTGGGAGTTGTATTTCATTTCTGTCGCGGAACCTGTAGTAGCCCTAGGCCCGGGCGCGGCAGCCATTTTGTATCCCCATGTTGGGCGGCGATGGCGCCATCCCGGGGACTCGGCTGCTTCCCTGTGGCTGTGGGCTTCCGCCGCTAGTCCGCAGGTGCACGGCCCCGGGTCTTTGGTACTCCGGAGGCGTCATCTCAGAGCCCAGCCTTTGGGCTCGGTTGGAGCCACTGAGTCCAGCTGAAGGCCCGGGGCCTGGAGCAGAGCCAGAAGCAGCCGCCTGTCTGTGGGCAGCTTTCACCCGCCCTAAACCGAGCTGAGACCGGGCGGCAGGGCTCTAGTGTGTACAGTAGAAGTGATCAGTGGGCAGTGACCGGGCAGGGATGCGATTTCCCCTGCAGTACGTGAGGGTGCACACGGAGCAACATGGCAGGACAAACATGTTAGAAGCGCCTTGTTTTTCATTTCGGGTACCATTTCCTCTGCTTTTTGTCTGTTTTGTGGTACTGGTCATCACAGGGCCTCATGCATGCTCAGCTAGGGCTGTCTCCCTGGCTGCACCCCAGTCTCAACTTTTGAGGGTCCATTTTCTAGGCCTGACCATCTGGCCTCTGCTGCTGGTCATGACCATGGAGTCACCCTTAGCCACCCGCCCAGCTCATCCCAGGTGGTTTTGCAGGGCATAGGGCCAGGGACTGAACTGCTAGCACCTCCAGTGTGAGGAATTACATCTGAAACAATCCAGCTTCCTTTAACTTATCCACAAAAGGGTTTACCAGGTCCTACAACTGGAAGACCCAAGTTTGGAGGACCTACCAACTTGTGCAGGAATCACGTTTCAGGTTCTAGCAAGCAGGAAGCTGAAGCTGGAAGATCACAAGTTTGAGGGGAGCCTGGGCCACACACCCAGACCCTGTGTCCAGAACAAAAAGTAGGGCCTAGTGTAAGGTCCTGAAGTCAGTTGCGGGCATGCCATGGGAAAGGATTGAGAAACCCCAGACTGTCTTTGGCCTCCTTTTTCTGCATTTTGTGGTGGTATGGGATTCAAACTCAGGGCCTCACGCTTGCTAGGCTTGAACCGCTCCACCAGCCCTCTGGCTTCCTGTTTTTTTCTAGATGTTATTTCTTCCTCTCAGACGTGCTCCCAGCATTCCCATCTTCCGTGAGGCCGTGGAGCCAGGGGCCAGGGGCCCTCACCACAGCCTGCACAATGCTGTTGGGAAGTTCAGCTTCCACAGCGATAAGCTAAACAAAAACTCTAATGAAAGTTAGCCTGCCTCAGCTGTTTCATTATACTAAATGAAAAGAGAAGTAATGTGTTTTCATAATTTTTTTTGTTTGGTAGTTACTGGGGTTTGAACTCAGGGCGGTAGGCAGGTCCTGTATCATTTGAGCCACTCTACCAGCCCTTCTTTTATGTTGGGTATTTTTGAGAAGCCTGGGTTGGCTTCTAACTGTGATCTTCCTGATCTCTGCCTCCTGAGTATCAGCTAGGATTACAGGTGTGAGCCACCAGTGCCTGGCTAAATTTTCTTTTCTTTTGTGTGTGTGGTGGGGGGGATGAGGTGGGACTGGGATTTGAACTCAAAGCTTTTAAGTTTGCAAAGCTGGTGCTCTACTGCTTGAGTGACACTGCCAGTCCATAATTTGCTTTTTTGTTTTAAGTCCCCAGTGGTAAATGTATTTAACAGCCAAGATTTAAATACTAGGCATACATATAGTTACTGTGATGGCCTTACTTCAGTGTCGTATGAAAGGGTAGAACTGGTAAATGGGTGAGTTACTTATTTCAGGATGGTTTTTGGTTTATTTGTTTTTCAGTAAGGGGTTTTGAAATCAGGGCCGTGAGCCCATGGGGCAGGTGCTCCACCAGTTGAGCCAAGAGATACACTTGTTCCCTTGAGTTCACACTGATAGCTCCAATTCCGACTAAAGCTGCCAAGTTTGTTCTGTCCTTTCCCCTCTTTGTCTTTGTAACTCTCTTCCCCAACTGTCACAAACTTGGCTTCCATCTCCCCAATATAGTTACTAATTTTCTTCATCCTACAGTTGTACAAAGGACCTTCAGAATTGCTCATCCATGCTTTTTTTTTTAATACTGGGATTTGAACGCAGGGCCTACCCCTTGAGCCACTCCACCAGCCCTTTTTTTGTGTGTTGTGGTTTTTTTTGAGATAGGGTCTTACAAACTATTTGCCCAGGGCTGGCTTCAAACCTCAATCCTGCCTCCTGAGTAGCTAGGAATCCAGGAGTGAGCCACTGATGCTGGGTTTCATCCATGCTTCCAGCAAGAAAGAGAAAGGTGACTATTGACAATAAAAGTTCAGTATTTATTTGGCATTCTTTTATTCTTTTTGTCTTTAAGCCTGAGGGCATACACTCTAAATATGGTATTCAAAAGTTACTCCAGTTAGCTTGTTTTGCTTTTTCTACTTTTTAAGTGTGTTTATGTTAGTCTTTTGAAATACACTTTGGTTCATTTGTTTCTCTTTACATTAAAATTTTAGGATTCCTCTTTTTTTTTTTTTTTTTGCAGTGCTGGGGTTTGAACTCAGGGCCTACATCTTGAGCCACTCCACCAGCCCTTTCTTGTGATGGGTTTCTTCCAAGATAGGGTCTCAAGAACTATTGCCCAGCCTGGTTTTGAACCTTAATTCTCCTGATCTCTGCCCTGAGTAGCTAGGATTACAGGCATGAACCATTAGTGCCTGGCTTAGGAATCCTCTTTATCCTTATAATTTTTCTTACAGATTTTGAAAAACTGAAATAAATTTTCAAAAATTGTGAAACAGTAACAGGGTTCCAAAAGTCATATCTATTAAAAGCTATATTTAGAGAGTGGTCTTCTTCCCCACCTCCAGTTCCTCAGTTCCTATCTACCACCTTTTGGTAACCAGTCATCTGTGGTTTTTGTTTTTTTTTTTTCTTCCTAGGTTTCTTTTCACTCAAATGAGGAAGTAAATGTGTTCGCTTAATTCCCTTTCTTACATGATGGTAACAGATATTCTTTCCCACGTTTTCCACTTAGCCACATATCCTGGACCTTATTCCATATTAGTTTGTAGAGATTTGTGGCTGCAGTATGTTTTATTCAGCCAATCCTCTCCGTATGAGCAATTAAACTCTGATATTTTGTGATCGCAAGCAAGGCTGCAGTGTGGAACCAAGCACATATGTATTTTCATCTTGTTGGAGGGATCTCTCTGAGAAATCCCTAGAGGTGTGCATGGTGTGACAGAAGTAAAGACACCAGCAGTGTTGTTGCTAAGACTGAATTCCTCTCAGTAAACGTTGTATGAGTTTATATTCCAATTAGCAAAAAATGAAAGTGCCTGCTTGCCCACAGCCTCGCCAATAGAGGGAGTTGCTCTGCTTGTGAATTTTTGCTAATCTGGTAAGCAAGAAATGGTATTTCAGTGCAGGTTTTTTGGTGGAGAAACTCACATAACACAAAACGTCATTTTCACCACTTTTAATTGTACAATCCGGGATCATTAAGGAAATTACTACGTTGTGCAGTCATCACATCACTACTATCCATCTCCAGAATTTTTCAACATCTTGGGAGAAAATCTGCACGCAATAAACAGTGACTCTAAATCCCCTCTCCCCAAACCCTCATGAGCGCTCATCTACACTCCCTCAGCAAAGTTGCCTCTCTAGCTACTTCATGTGAGTGAACTCTTACAATATTTGTCTGACTTATTTCACTAAGCATAATGTTTTCAAGGTTCATGCATGTTGTAGCATGTGTCAGAATTTCACTTTTTTCTTTTTTTCTATTTTGAGCAGCACTGGGGCTTGAACTCAGGACTTCATGCTTGCTAGGCAGGCCCTCTGACCACTTGAGCCACTCTGCCAGCCCTTTTCTGTTATGGGTCTCCTCCCACCCCCATTGGGCCTCTTCATCTGTTTACTCGGGGCTTGGTTTCCTCTCCTAATCTCTGCCTCCTGAGTTGCTAGGATTACAGGCGTGAGCCACTGGTGCCCAGCCAGAATCTCACTTTTATGGCCGAGTAATATTCTATTGTATGGAAATGAGGCAGGATAGATCAAGAAAAGTAAAGCATGGGAAACAGCAGCCAGGAACTCAGAGGTAAAGACTATATTAATAAATGGTTTGGTTAAAAGCATACAGGCACTTTATTCTGTTTTAAACTTCACACTCCCTCAACAAACTGCAACATTTACTAAAAAGAAAAAAAGAGCACCTCTCTCCCTCTGACCTTTCTTGCTTGCCCAAAAATAATTAGTGTGGTCTGTGAGCTGACCAAGGACATCTTAAAGAAAGAACTCATGGGAAAATGACTCCTCTGGGCACAAAAAGTATCTACAAAGAAAAATACTTATCACAAGAATGGATACTTGTCTTGAAGGGAGCATGTGGCAGGACCCATCCTTTGTTTAAAGGGATACTCAAACATCTATGTCACAGTGACCCAAATTTAAGGAGTGGGCCGACCTTGAAATCTTGGGGCCCAATTGGTAAGACAGTGTAATAGTAAAAGCAACTAATCATACCAGGTGTCATAACAAAGGGGGAACACCTTTCCTAAGGCAAATTTCAGCCAAACCCCCAATCCACTTTTTCACTACAAATATCCTTGATGTTAAAAGCCTTGCACAGGGTGCTGGTGGATCACACCTATAATCCTAGCTACTCAGGAGGCAGAGATCAGGA